AAGCGGTGTTTGTATCCATTACACTGTGCGGAACGATACCGACGGTCGAAATAAGCAAATGGTTGCGGATTAATTGACATCTGCACTAGAAGTTAATTAAGTATATATTAAGTAGTTTAGTTAATTAAGTTAAGAAGACCGATAACTCCAAAGGTCGTTTTTTTTATAACCAGCGAACAGGGAATCTTGAGGTCTTCAAGGTACATTCGAACGATGTTTTTTCCAAAACTTTATATGGAGATAGTGTCAGATACTGGAAAAATATTTAATTAAAAACTAAAACATTTAAATAGGATTGGAAAATCCGCATTAATATTAATATATTTAAGAAAAACAATAAGATTATTGTTTTAGATACGCATGCCATTCAACGTAATGAAAACTAACCAAGTGGATATAAATTTCTCATTTAATTGGTAAATTATTATTATTGGGTATCGCTTTATACGCTTAGAAGAATACGAAGCAGTGTCATAAAATTGACATCTGTTATGAAACGACACAGAATCTAGAATTTTATATCTTCTTATCCTTTAAACGAGCAATTTATATATATATATATATATATATATATATATATATATATATATATATATATATGTATATATATATATATAATCGGAATCTCGGAAACGGCTCCAGCGATTTTCAGCGTAGATTCGGGGGCGAAAAATCGATCTACCTAGGTTTCGTTTTCAGAAAATGTCCTTTTCTCCCTGTTTTCAGGGAATGAAAAATATTATTCAAGTATGACGGTAATTTTCGCCGCAAGAGAAAATGTCATTATAGCTCGGTCGGTAATCGGGCGGCCCCAAAACAGACGGCCGTGGTTCGCGTCACCATCATTTACACATTTTTTTTTTTTTAATTTTTTGGTCGATTTCTTTTTTTGTTATTTTTTTCCCTTTTTTTTTAAAGTTCTTTCTTTTGCGAAAACATCAGTTCATATTTTCTTATTATTAAGTCGGTAAGATCGAAAAATATTATGCATGTTTTATTACTCAGTAATTTGTATCTAAATGTAATATCCAAAATACACGATTTACCAAAAAAATAAACAAACCGAGCAAAGCTCGGTCCTCCGGGTACTAAGTTTATATCTGAGCATTGAGGTGCATAGAGATGCTCTAAAGCAAACCGTAAACTCACAACTCGATACTCTTTCTAAGCTTTGCGGCGGTTTTCAGATATCAGCTTCGCGAAGTCTTTGTAGAATCGTATGAGAAAACGAGAGAAACATATTATTGAGAGGGCCTGAACAGCCGTGGGGTGTCGATTTCCTGGACCATAATAATAATCCGATTACATTCATGATTTTTTGAGTTGTAATTTATGCAAATGAACCCTCTTTACAGATTTGTAATAATCAATGCTTATCTACTTATAATCTACACAATAGATGTATTTAAACAACTTTTGTAGGTATCGCTATTTTTCTATGTGAACCGTTATTTTTACGGCTCAGTGTTATCGCGGTCATGGTTTAATTAAAAAATAGTATAAGTATTGATAGACCTGTAAAAATTTCATACAAAATATGAACGACTTAGGCACAGTTCCGATTTTTCTTTAATTAATAGTGTATTTTCTACAGATAACACTAATATAGATAAGAGTCACTCGATAATATTTGGGGACCGTTTGGATCTGTTTAACATTTTATTTAGTCCCAATAATCGCCGGCCTTTGCGTATTACTTTTCTTATATATTTTGTTGCTTATTAAAAATTTATTATGTTAGGGCCACGCACAAGTGTACGCGGTTCCACGAATGGGCAGGTACGTCCGGTTAAGTAGCAAGACCTTACAGAAGACTGGCGTGAAGTAGAGCTGTTATACTTCTGAGTTGCATTTGGTGAGTGAACTGGCCGGGGCCCACTTTATTAAAGGGGGCAACGTATCTGCGACCCTACAGGTCTTGTAAATGACAATGGGGAGCGGTTATCACTTGAACGGGTGGACGGCTCGCTTTCCACCGTGTCATATATAAAAAAGTACGAAATGATAATGATAAGTGTGATCAAAAGTTTGTAACAAAAAAAACGATTTCAAAAATCTCTACTGGCACTAAGAAGTTTAAAATAATTCTTAGTATACTATAATCAAATCTTAAAAATCTACCCTATGTAACCTAACCTAGCTAACCTTTAACAAAATTTAACAATTTCTGGAGTCGGTGTCATTCTTCACTATGGTTAATGGTTGTACATCATAACACCTTGCTAATAAAATGGAAAGAAGCTATTTATTAGATAACCGCAGTATTCATTGTTGCTTAGCTTTGTTTTAGGCATTATAACTGAGAACGCGAAAACAGCGTATTAATTGTGTAAATACACTGTTGTCGTGTTCCCAGCTATATTGAATACATCTACTTAACCTTTTCGAGTATACTGACGCGATGTTATGTTGTGTGATTGCGCAAAACAATACATATTTATGCGGTAGCAGCAATCGCAGTGCCATTGTCTATCTACGAAACATCAGATCTATATGAAATCTAAATAGAATAATATAAAGAATAAACCTTAAAATACATGATGGAGCCATGTCCAAACATACGTAAAAAACATATAACATGCGATTTGATAACCTCTTCCCTTTTCAAGTCGGTTAAAAGTGCGAATCGTATCGACATAATTTCGGCTCTTTTATTAAAGTCGGTTATAATGATTAATACTTCTAGTTTCCAGCACTCACTCGTTTGTCTCCAGAAAAATTAATTACCGTTATCGAAAAGTCTCTATACATTATTCTACAACAAAAAATCGCCTAACTCCTAACCGTTAAAGAATTGAACCTTTCTTCGTTAGCTCAGCGTCATGAGATGATGACTATCATACGCAAATGTTTCAAAATCTTTAGAAAATATATGAAAAACATCGGTAATACTTTTGAGAGTTGCTCCCGATTTCCCTAATATTCCATCATCAGATCCTGAATTTATGCCAAAAGGACCACATCAGGAGTATACTCTTTCAAATGAAAAAGAAGAATTTTGAGAATCGGTCCACAAATGGGGGAGAAATCAGTGAACATACATAAAAAAATTACATAGAGTCGATTGTAGAACCTCTCCTGTTTATAGTCGATTAAAAAGGCAACTAAAGAAAACACCCTTTTCCTATTTTGAATAGTTGAAAAATATGTCCTTCCTTTATGATAGCAGATATGATAGAAGAGTCGTGATAGCTTAGTGTTCGGGCGCTCGCCTTTACTTCAATATACTCGAGCAACCTGAGCTCGATCCTCAGTGCCGGCACCAATGAAGTTTTTAACTTTAAGTGCTGACTTATCACGTGCTCTGCGGTGAAGGAAAACATCGTGAGGAAACCTGCATATTTTCGAAATAATAACAAAAAAAAATATTTATCGAAGATATGTGAAATCCGCCAATCCGAAGTGGGGCCGCGTAGTGGACTATGCCCTGATACCCTCTGTATAGAGGAGGCCTTTGCCTAGCAGTGGTACATGTACTCGTATAGGCTGTAACTTTACGTACAGACGCGCGCCGTCCGCAATGTCATCCCTAGACAGTTTGCTGATTCCCGTTTATACTTTACTTTATGATCTTCCCGAAAACTAGCTGTACGAAGAATTTTTCTCAAAGTAAAGTAAGCGCTTCTGCACATCGCGGATTGGCGGACTTCACATATTTGAAAATATTTTTATTGGTAATATTTGGAAAACAGGCAGATTTCCTCACGATGTTTTCTGTCACCCATTAGAGCGTGATAAATCAGCTCTTATAATTAAAAATATCGTCGGCGCCGGCACCGGGGATCGAACCCGGGTTGCTAATATACTCGATATTGAATTAAAGGAGAGCGCACGGACAATGAGTCACAATTCAACTCAAATCATGGCACAATTCGACGCGAACTATTTAACATATAGTTATTGCAAAAATTATACAACTGATATAAAGCTGCTGCGTTCCTATGTTAAGTAATGAATAACAAAATGTAATAGGAAAAGATTTACTCTTAACAAAAAACTATATGTCGCTTGAACAATTAAAATTTTCAGAGTTGCTATTAAAATGCAAAATGTTCGAGAACAATTGTATTGACTGTATTTTAAGTCTTTTATTGGGATCGCCTCATGAGTCGCTTTACAATATAAGTAGGTATTTAAAAACAAACAATTGCTTGACTCCTTTGATGACCCCGTACGTATAGATTCTGTGACTGTAGACTGTTTATGGGTCATATAACATTCATATTATAATGTTGACACCATTTTCGTTCCCGCCGGTAGCCCTCGAACATTCATTGAAGAATTTGAGTCTCGGGAATATAGCACGCATAGCTTCGATTCCAATCTTAGGAATAATCTTCTTGTAGTAACGGCACGTTCTAAAACGTGAACGTGAAATGTAATATTAATGTTCTGTTTAATATATTATTAATGTTACTAATTTTAATATACCGCCTATACAGGGAGACTTTTTAAAGGTGCCCAAATTTACTCAGACTCGGTAGTACAATCGTTTATTGAAATAGAAACAAACTTTTGTTTTTTCAAAAAAAATTACCATTCTATTCCCTAAAAAACAGAACTTGTTTACAACGCGGTAGTAATTCATAAATACCTAAATTTTACTGTTTACGCACACAAACGAACTTGTGTGCCTGTTAGTTATGAATGATCGCACGTAAAATAAATTAGTTGCGTATAGATCAAATGAATGTAATTAATTACTTACGAGTGATTTAAAACATTTTATAATTTTTTATATAACATTATTTATGTCTAGAATTTAATAAAAAAAATGGATACACTTAGAAAAGCCTCCCTGTATATTACCTCGAATTGTTAGGTGAGTGAGTGTGAACTCCCAGATGTATTTTGGAAGAGAAACAAAATATTTCGATAACAAGAAGGTCGACAAATTATTAAGAATTTTGTAGAAAGATACAACAAGCATACTTATTATGCCCACTGACGTTAAAAGCTCAATAAAATAAAGAGCTAGCATAAATATAAAATAAAAGAAAATGTTTACGGCTGCTTCGGTTCGGATGTTCGAGGAGAAGGGCCGCGCTTCGACCTGCGCTCCGAGCGATCACAACGTGCGTGCGTTCAGCCACATGAACGAGAGGAACGGCCGACAGCAGCTAAACGTTTGGTGAATTAGCACGCACTTGTGGCGGAATGGGGCGCCGCCGAGTCAGTAGGGAATGCGCCACATCTAACCATTCGTCGCCAACCGCTTCCGCGAGCTCATCGAGGACGAGCTCATCGAGAGAATTTGAGAAGTGACGTGCGCTGCGTGCACCTCGGGTGCGAACTAGCCCCAAGCCGCTTATTAATTAGTGGCCAGCCTCGGCAGACCCCAAAGAACAATCGAGACCACCTTGAGACCACCTTGAGACCACCTTGAGACCTAACACCGCCAAGTGTGAAACAGTTGCGAGCACGATGCGGAGAAGCGGTGCCGAAAGAGTGCCGCGGCGCCCGGACCTGGACATGTGGACCCTGCACGAGGTGCTCAGTGGACGGCTGCCGTTCAACCATCTCTACAACGAGCTGATGTCCCGCCACATCGGCGACAATCGCGCTCTCCTCTACTTCCACCTCCTGCTAACACCAGTAATGCCTTACGTCTTGAGCGGTGAGTACACGTACCCCTAGGACCAGACCTTCCAGTAATAACAGACATCATAGTATCCATCTATAATTATCTAAATTTTCGTTGGTAACATTATTTTAAATCAAACTAACTTTTGTGTTGTCGTGTATAATTTCAGATCAATACCTATTCAATGACACTAAAAGAATTTCTACTGCAAGCTGATTATATGGTATAGCTCTTCTACTAACTCTTAGATGACAACATATTAAGAGGCAAAATGTCTTTTAAAGACAGAAAATTTTGCTTCGACGGCGATAGGTAATCGCAAAGCCGTGGACAAGATTCGTTAAAGAACAGCGTGTGATTATCAATATATATATATATATATATATATATATACGAGTCCCTACACGTAAAATTGAGCCATAAAATATTCCATACCCAATAAGCTAATCAAATAGTTTGTCTTATCACTCGAAAGTATACACAAGTTTAGGAGAAGCGACTCGTGCAGTTACACAAATGAAAGCATGGTTGCTTTTTTAATCTAACTAGCATTTTAAATAAACCTTTCGCTAATAATATATTAACTTTCATATGATACTAACGGCCTAAGCAAAATGAGATAAATGGATGAAAAAAAATAAAGTCTTACAAGGGTAAAAATAACTGTTCCATCTCAGGGAAAGTACCTAAAATATTGGACATTTGTCCTTGAAATGGGTTTGCCAAATAAATTAACTATACTACAAGCTATTATCGTACTACAAGCTATTATCGTACTACAAGCTATTATCGTTGTCACATTCGAGTGCAATTTAATTATTCAACGCTGCGTCTTACGGGCGCGTTACCCGGATGAAGCAACTCCGCAGCCGGCAGTGCCGAAAGTTTTGAACCATTAACTAAAAAAAAATCACATTTTAAATCATTCGCGCTATGTACCTACATAAAATGAGAGAACAGCTAATTTCAACAACTTATAGTTCGTGCTTATATGCTCTAGTCTCCACGATGTGACGGCTATAACAATCGTGGTCTTGAAATTTTTTGATTACCTATTTAATAACGGATTTCATCGCAATATTTGTTCTCAATTCATATTATAATGATCATTCAAAATAAGTCAAATATATACAATGGTCCCCACTACAAGGTCTATTCTAACTAATATCGCTTCAGCTATTTAGGCAATATCAATAATATCAATACAAACCATCGATATTTCCTTCGTACAATTTTGGAGTGTTTAAAGTAACGTCGTTGTGACTAAAGCCATCTACACAATTCCCACAAAACTTCCAACTACTTTCCTACCCTGAAACTAAATAATTCAACAGATCACTGATATTGTTACACATAATACGACTGTTCATATTTTCCAATACAATGTCTCTTACTTATTGATGCAGAAATGTGGCGCGTTGTTACATCACGAGATATATGTATCTTAATCTTGCCTGTATTAACCCAGTTAAAATCCACTAATACAGAAAACAATGCAATGCTCTACGCATGGCAATTGCTAACAGCAAACATACATACCTTTCGTTTGGCTTGCTTGATGGAAAGTTAAATAGATACTAATTGTAAGAGTTACGAATCAATACAGTATTTTTTTTTTTCACAGAGTAATGAGCAACTATTATGTACCGTGTAAAAATTATATGACACAAGCGCCATAACACCCACTAATATTTTTGTTCTTAAATAATAATAAAGGGTAAATTTTCACATTATTTTCTGTAATGGCAGGTCACGTGGCCGTACACACCACGTGTCTTAAGCAACTGTTTCTGTTCTTAATGTGTAAATCGTAGGTAATGTAATACAATTTATTAAAAATGATAATTTTTTTTCAATATTAACTAGCCCCGTATGGGCATGGTGTATGTATAACAAGATTGCAGGGTACATTCAGACATTGTATTTGCAAGAAAAGAAGTATGAGAGTTGTGTGAAGTCGTAGAAATAGTGCTTATATTAAGTTTATCGTTTGCATGCATGCTATTTTAAAACATTATTTTAAAACAGGTTAAGGAGCATTATCTGTCTGTCTAGCTCCTCTCTCTCTTTCAACGTCTCTCTCTACCCCTTTTAATTTCACCTTTAACTCTATGATCACTCACTTGAAGTATGTTTTTCTTATTATTTTAATTGATACTTTCTTTTTACTATTATTATTTTTTTTCCTTCATGTACATCCTACCCATCAACAATTCCTTTTGGTAAATTTTTGAGGTTGCCTGGAAGAAATTGCTGTGTAGCAATAAGGCCGCCTTTTGATGACCAATATTTTGTTAAATATTTTGTTTTTTGTACTTTTTCATTTTGTTTTTTTTGGTGTACAATAAAGTATATTATTATTATTATTATTTTAATATTCATCAAGTAATTCACAGAACATCGTGCAAAAAAAAAGAAGTTCATAAAATACAGGAAAATATGTAGCGTACTTTCCTCGGATGAAGACCCGGTCGTAGCTGTCCTTGTGAAATATTTGTGAATTTTTTTGGAAATTTAGTCAAAAGTTTAATAAATTTGATAGGTCGAAAATACTTCACAAAATATAGTAGGTAGCCTTTTTTATGTTAGAAGGTGGAAAGCGAGCTGGCGGTTCAACTGATGTTAAGGGATAACCACCGTCCACGGACATGTGCAAAAACCTTAGGGTTGCACATGCGTTGCGACCTTTTAATAAAGTGGAACCCGGCTACCTCATTCACCAGGCGAAACGCAAAAGTTTGACACTTCCTTCTTGCCCCCGTCTTCTATGATGCCGTGGTACTTACCCGGATGGACCTGCCTATTCGTACAACAGCTGAAGCTGCGACAGACATACAAACGTACCTGTATGTATGTATATATATTTTATGTATATATATTTTATATATATATATTTTATCTCACTTTACTCGAGCAACCTGAGTTATCGAACTTCACTCGAATCAGTATCGACTGATTCGAGTGAAGTTAAAGAGGAGGCCTTTGCCCAGCAGTGGGTCATGGGACAAATTTAGTGTGTTAGGGCCACTCAGCAGCTTCTGCTATTGAACGCATGGGAAGACTTTTCCGGAGATGTACCGCGGCCTCACAAAAGACCGGTGTGAAGTGGGCCTATTAAACGTTCATGAGGTACCCGGGGCCCGCTTTTATTAAAGTTTAGCCACGCATTTGCAACCCATCAGGTGATGTATGTCCATCGCTGCGGTAATCACTTAATACGCGAGCGAATTGGTGCGGTAGGCTGCACAAGAAGGGGTGGCTACTAAAAGCCAAGTGTTGTGTGAGTGCAGAGCAGGCGGCGGAGAGCGGCGGCGCGGGCGGGGCGAAGGCGGCGGCGCCGTGCAAAGTGTGCGGCGACAAGTCGTCCGGCTACCACTACGGAGTCACCTCCTGCGAGGGCTGCAAGGTAAATGCTGCTGGGACACTAATCGCGGCCGTGCAAACCTCTCATGGCCTTCGCATTCATACCTACTTCTCTCCCAATAACAATAAAACTGACACTCATTTATACATTTAAAAAAATTACGGTGGCGGTGGTGGTTGTGGTGGTGGGCAAGGATGCCGCGGCGGCGCAACAGAGCGACCAATTAATCCCAGCCGCCCCTTGAGAGTGCGCCACTTGCAGGGCTTCTTCCGACGCAGCATCCAGAAGCAGATCGAGTACCGTTGCCTGCGCGACGGCAAGTGTCACGTGATCAGGCTCAACCGCAACCGCTGCCAATTCTGCAGATTCAAGAAGTGCCTCGCCGTAGGCATGAGCCGAGACTGTGAGTTACCTCCGCAATCATTCGGTGGCCTTCCACCATTCACTTGCACCATTTTATTCTAATATTTTATAAAAATAAACCTAAGTGAAAATAAATTTAAATATTACGGAGCGCAGTGCAACACAAATGGTTGAATGACTCGCATCTCTATCAAGTAAAAGCTTTTCGATGCCAAACTTCTCATCCGTCATAACTATGCGTCGTAGCACTTCTATATGCTAACAGTCTTCTCTCACTATTTTATTTATAATTATTAAACGTATTCCAGCTAGTTCCTTATACGTTATATACTAAGAAAGGTTCTTCTACATACATTCTTACCCATATCTCAGATGGTAACACATCGTTAAGAATTCCAATATTTTTGAAAACCCCGCATGAATCGATATGACGCTAAGGTTAGGATGTTAGTTTTTTAGCGGGCAATAGTCCCAATATCGAAATAGAAATGTCCCAGATCATTAGCGATTGACGAACTGGACTTGTGTGCGGTACGGTTGAGCAGCGGTGCGTTACGGGCGCGTGCCGAAGCGTCCGCGCGAGAGCGAGCCGCTGCCTTCTGGCGGGGAGATGGCGCCCGCAGCGGTGAATGTGGCGGCGGCGTCCGCGGCGGCTCTTGTGCCGGCGGCGGTGGTAGCGGCACAAGCCCAGGCACAGGCGCAGCAACAAGCGCAGCAACAGGCTCAGCAACAGGCACAGGCACAGGCACAGGTGCAGGTGCAGGCACAGCAACAGGCGCAGGCACAGTCACATACAGCGACGAGCGCGGCCCCCGGCGACCCCGCCGCCTCGGGCGCCGCTCAGCCGCGGCCCCAGCCCGCGTGTGACGACCAGTCCGAAGGGGGCGACGTGGCGCTCGACCTAGCACGCCTCGTGTTCGCGGCGCATCGCAGCAACAACTCCTACACCGAGGAGCTCCGTCGCTCCCTTCACTTGCACGCGGTCATCATGCTCGATGACTCCGACGCCGAAGGTGAGACTCCAATCTGCCATTCACGCGGCTGATCATGAACGCTTCAAGATTATCACCTACACTGTATAATATTAAGTACCCTACATAAAAAAACATAAAATCTCTGCCAAGAAAAATTATTACTCCAGTATTTATTTCGCTACCGTCTTACTGACCTTGTCCTGAAAAGAACCCTTAACCTTTTTTCTGAAAATTTCTACTTTAAATTCACAAAAAGGGTCCAATATAAACACCTAATTTACACACATGGGTCGCTACGACATGATTTCCATGCGAAGTACACACTGGCACTGAGAATCACGCGCACGGTGGAAGGTCGTTATTAAACGAGAATGACAGTGAACAACAGTGGAGTAATACATGTTTTTATTCACTTACAAAAGAGTTTAGATTAATTTCAGTATTATAATAAACAGTAAAGTTCTCTCGAGTTTATTGTTATTTATTTTATTTATTGTTATTCAGTTTATTTATTTATTTTTACCTGATTGCTATATTTACCTCAGGCAAATATAGCAATTAGGTAAAAACAACTTCGATACCGCTATGTCGGGCAACGATCGTCAAACTACGTCGAGTCTTCTCTTCGCCTGTTCCACAATGGCTAAGGACAATATTCTTCGACATGGTTATTCTACCAGCAATTGCCTACGGAGCCGAGACGTGGACCCTCACGGTATGGTGAGTCCACAAGCTCAGAATCGCTCAGCGAGTTGAAGCGTACTCGGGGAATCTTTGAAGGAACGTCTCTGTGATCAGATGATCTGACCAGAAACTAAAGTGATCGACACAGTTCTAATGCTCAGCCAGCTAAAATGGCAGTGGGTTGGCCATGACAGCCACTGAACTCATTACCGTTGGAGTATACTTGTTCTTGAGTGGAGACCGCGTCTCGGCAAACATAGAGTTACGAGAGAAGAAAGAAAGTAGTTAGAAACGAACATAGAGTTTTGATTTTTTTATATGAGAAAGTGCCAATCGAGCTAGTAAAACGGTGGTTCACTTGATGTTAAGAGATAACCGCCGCCACGGTTGCAAATGGGTTGCCAGCTTTAAATAAAGTGGGCCCTGGCTACCTCACTCATCAGACGAAACGCAGAGATGTAACACTTGTACTTTACGCCGGTCTTCTGTGAGGTCGTGGTACTTCCCCGGAAAGGGTCCCTTTCGTGCAACAGTGTTGCGTAGTAGTCTGGGTGTTTTTAACACGTATTTTTTTTTATTTATCTTTTTTTAACATTGCCCTCACTTTAGGATAACATTATCTTGTGTTGTAAGGACGTTTTACAAACATACATTGCACGAGGACAAACACCCAGATGCGAAACAACTATCTGTGGGTTGCACAAATAGTTGTCCCGTGTGGGACTCGAACCGACGACCCCCGACGCAGAAGCCAATACCTTGGCAACTGCGCCACAGACTCATCAATGTATTGAGTGTCTTTAACATTTATTTATTTACAAAAGAAAAGTATGTTTATCTGGTTTCCTGTCACTCAAAGTAAAAGTTTTGCTTTGTGTGTGTAGTAGTGTAGTTTGGGAAATATCGTTTTGTAATGATATGGTCTCCATAGATTTATTAATTTATTTATTTATTACTAGCTGACTCGGCAAATTGTTTTTCCATATAAATTATATGTAGGGTGGAAAACAATGTTTGGGGTGGACCACGCTTAACATTTAAGGGAGATGAAAAATAGATGTTGTCCGATTCTCCACCCTGGCCGATATGCACACAAAATTTCACGAAAATCAGTCGAGCCTTTTTCGGAGGAGTTCAATTACAAACACCGTGACACGAGAATTTTATATATTAGATGTACCTACGCCGGTCCTTAATTATGTATGGGTGCAATATGGTGGTTGAAGTAGGTGGGTGCTCGACGCGCGGCGCCGTGGGGGGCGCGGCCACAAGCATGGAGCTGCTCTCGCTGCTCTGGTACAACTTGGCCGTGCGCATGACTCCGGCCGTGCAGGAGGTGGTCGGCTTCGCTAAGCGCTTGCCCGGCTTCCACTTGTTGCCGCAGGACGATCAGCTCATACTTATCAAGGTACATCTACTCAAAGAATAACAATAATCTTCTGCCCTTTAATTCCTTTATGCCAAGTGCGACGTTATTTTATTTATTCAATTTTGTTCGTAGCGGATTCTTCTTTTTTCCGAGCGAATGAAGCGAAATGTTATGTTTTGATGGATTGTTACATATTATAAGTAATATTTATACTATTTGTATTTTTTTGGCGCAAGCAGGCAAGTAGCCTTTGATGTTATTCAGTGCATAGCGAATTTCTTTTACTTTTACGAATCTTAAGATTTAAGTTGTCGTGCCATATGTTCTGGTTGCCTATGCGGTTTTAATGTGAGCGATGCAAATTTGGCTGCAAACTTCAACATAATTACAGCTAGGGTTCTTCGAGGTTTGGCTGACGAGGATCACGAGGCTTTCTTCTGGCAGCGACATCGTCTTCGACGATGGAACGGTCTTCAGCCAAGGCCAACTCGAGAGAATTTACGATGTTAGTATGAAAATCATCATTTACAGCAATAGTGGAAAAATGCGTACCTGTTATCTCAACTGAAACTAAATTTAATTACTACCCCAACGAAGTTTAAGTGGTCTATATCTTGTTCATGAAAAATATTGTTATAAAACTTCTTGAAATTATTCAATGCTAGCTAAAATCTGAAGTCGGGAGAGAGGAAATGATAAAATAGAGACAATAAGTACATAATACATTTTTAAAGAAAGTTTGAGCTATATGTCTCAAGCAATTAAACCACCAAGATCATCATCATCACCCGCAAGAAGTCCACTTTAGAACATAGGCCTCCCCCTTAGAACGCCACAACGAACGACACTTTGCCATTTGCATCCACCGGTTGCCCGCGACTCTTATGATGTCGTCGGTCCACCTAGAGGGAGGCCTACCAACGCTACGTCTTCCGGTTCGTGGTCGCCAATCGAGAACCATCAGGTCAGATCATGAATTCTATTAAGGTCCTCCAGAGACTCTGCCATTATGACTATGTCGTCTGCAAAACGAAGGTGAGTGTTTAAGACGGATGGAGATGGTGGCGTTTCTAAACAAACATTCAGAACTTCGATATACCTATAGTCGATATGACATCGCCGGAGGGACTGCAATACCGCCGAGGTCTCGATTGTACCAAAGGCTTTTTCATAGTCCACAAACGCTAAGCACAATGGTCGAATACTCCTCGGTCTTCTGTATAATCTGGCGAAGCGTATGGATGTGGTCTATGGTGCTAAAGCCTTTCCGGAATCCGGCTTGTTCGGGAGGCTGGAAGCCATCAAACCTGCGTTCAAGACGATGCGAATGATTCGTAATGACTCTAGAAAACAGCTTATATACATGGCTCAGGAGCGAGATGGGCTTATAGTTCTTCAACAGGATCTTATCACCTTTTTTGAAGAGAAGCACCACCACACTTCTGGCGTGGTACCTTGAATTATGACGGAATTGAACAACTTCTGGCGGACTTGTAGTACCGGTTTTCCACCCGCTCGCAGAAGTTCTCAAGTCGTGTCGCATGGATTTTGAGATTCGTCTATTGATTTTCCATACTCCGACATATCAACTGAAGATTGCAGTCTCATCTCGATCTTTCATTAATTGAATGGTCTGTGGGGAGAGCTTTCGAGGTTTCTTCGGGCGCAGGGTCTTAAAGAACTTAGATCCCACTGCGTGGATAGCTTCCACCAACCCATTGTGAATGTTTTCCGTTGATTCGCATTCTTCAAGGCACTGAAAGCGATTTTGTAATTCGAGTTGAAAGTTTTCGGGATTTTTGATTAGGGCAGGGCAAGGTCGGAGCGTGGACTTCATCAGGCGTGACCTTTCAAGCTTCACCTTGATATTTAATGTGCCTCTAACAGTACGGTAATCACTTTTACCGATTTTCACAGTGCCGATCACGGAGACATCATTGAATATTCGCTTCTTGGTCGTCATGATGAAGTCGATCTCATTTTTGGTTGAACCATTGGGGCTTATCCAAGTCCACTTTCTGGACGTACGCTTCTGGTAGAAGGAGTTCAACAAGTAGAGTCCCTCCTTCTCCATAAAATCGACCAGATTCTGACCCCTCTGGATCCGCTGCCCATAGCTCCCACTTTCAACTCATCGCCATGCCTGGCGCCAACCTTTGAGTTGAAGTCCTCCATAACAACCGTGAAGTAAGTTTTAGAGGCATGTATGGCTGCTGATATCTCCGCATACATAGCCTCCGCCTCCTCGTCGGGATGTGTCGAGCTTGGCTCATATACCTATATGACCTTCAGCGAATACCGATCGGTGGTTCTGAGTATAAGGTACGCTACCCTACTCGACACACTGTCGAACTTCACTACGTTGTTTATGTGGGGCTTACGGACGAGAAACCCAACACCACCCTGGGATTTTCGGTCTCCTTCCCGGAAGAAGAGCATGTTGCCAAAATCCAGTCCTAACCTAACCTAAGTATATCGTATCCTGCCCCTCTCGTCGGACTTCTGATAGTCCCAGTATATCCCAGCGTGGCATCCATGCCACCTAGCGTGGCATCTGCTGGAGATTCTTAGCACCCGCTCCTGCTACACCGTTACCTTGCCTGCTACAAAGGGCAGGAATAGTGAGCCGCCGGGGACTGGTGGCCATGAAGGAAGTGTGTCTGTCAGGGGGGGGGGGGTGCCTTAATCCCCGCTGCTGCCCAACTTCCGGATTCTTCTCTTAGTCGACTTCTACGACACCCTCGGCATGAAAAGGGTGGATGCTATTCTTTCCCGGAAACCCCACGGGGATACCACCATCATAAAGATACTTATGATGGTTGTATCCCCGATACGATTAGGGTAAATCTTGTATTCTATTTCGATAATCAATATAGTACAAAGTTCCAAAGTGAACCAACGGTCGCGTTAAGAATTTCCGAACTATATCACTATCTCTAATCAACTCAGTTACTCCGTAATATTGAGCCCAGACTCACCGCTCTCCCATATTTAAAATGTAACAGTTGCCCCCTCTAATCGACTCCGATCACGTAACTCGTTAGAGCACGGTGTTCACTCCTCACCGTTCCAACATTGAGTTACAAATTATTGTTAAATTGTCGTAATCGAAGACATATATATTTAAATATAGCTACCCGGACATACGTCGTTTTATTATAGTATCAAAACCTTCCGAGGACCTTAAGGATATGTTACTTAAAAAAAGTAGCCGAATTGGTACAGCCATTCTTGAGTTATGCCCTTACCAAAATTCATTTTTATCTATTAAGAAGATGTAAGGAGTTACAAACGGTTTGTGTGTTCGATCCTACAATGTTTTAACAAGAACTAGAAAGCTTATTACAAGGAAAATATTAATGGGATCTGTATTAGCTCTGCGTTTTTAAGATTATTGAAGCTATCAAAGGATGTCAGGAAATTTATTACCATTATCTTGAAATACAATGTATATAAATTAAGTTTAAAAATAAAGTTTTTTAAAGTTTTTATAGTGCTAATCTCTGCACTTAAGATTGAATAAAGTTTTATTAAATATGTTCGGTTACATTCAACATTTCAATGGCCAATCACTGCATTTAAAAGGAGCTTTTCTATTCCTCATTTGTGTAAAAAATACGATGAAAAAGTATAAAATATACCCGCTCGGGCGGTTGCAATGCTGAATGTTTGTTTTCGACATCGCATTAGGAACCTCTAAAATTATCAGTGTGTCTCTACTATATTATGCATGAGTTATACATATAAACCTTCCTCTTGAATCACTCTATCTATTAAAAAAAACCGCATCAAAATCCGTTACGGTTGTAAAAATTTATAGATGACTGCCTCTACGCTTATTTTAAAATAAAAGTATGTCGAATATTGAAAAAAATTTATATAGCTATTTGTATAAAGAAAATCTAAAAGTCGATATGCACTAAAACAATCATATTTGACGTGTTCGGAGCGCAGCCGCAGTGACTTACGTGGACTCAACCTGTGGAAACCTCACATCACGTTTTTGCAATACAAATATTGTGTCTAAACCGGATGCGGAATCCCAAAACAAAATACCATATGATATAATGTGAAAATAAGCATAGCAGTTTGTTAGCTGTCTGATCTTGCGTATGGCCAAGACGGCAACGCTCAACATCTTATCTAATTTAATGCTTATTACAAAAAAAGCTGTTAAATTCTTAAGAATCGTATCGTCTACACGGTCAAAAGCGCCTTAGAAAGTCGCAGAACACACCAATGGTTTCATGACATCACTACTGAATTATTAAATAAATTGGCAAGTGTTTTAACAACATCCGTTTTCAAACACAAGGTAGTTTATGAGCTATGTATAAAATTGCATACAGGCTTTACCACTCGCCGATCTCAAAATCTCCTACCAATTGCATCTAGTCGCTTCGTATATTCCAGCGTCAGTTTGCGTCGGCGATGCTGGCGTACGTGCAGTCTGTGGGAGAGCTGCAGGCCACCGAGGAGGAAATGGCTCTGTTCACGGCGCGGCTGCTGCTGAGCCCGCAGCGCGCTGCCCTTAGCGACCGCGACCGCATCGCGGCGCTGCACCGTGCCCTTGCAGACGCTTTTCAACACGTGGTGAGCTTTAACCCTCCAATATGGCCTACGCACCACTCTTTCAAAGTACAGAGGATCTTAAGGCATAATCCGACGCGCGGAATTTTACATTAAATATTCATTCATCTATTTTTAAACATCCATCTATGTCCATGTCCAAATTTCACCTCGGAGGTAATGATGAACTTTTCATCCATCTAAATGAATGAAAAGTTATTTTTCGATGAGATTTGAGCTCAGCTGTAGTGAATCAAGAGGCGAGTGCCTGGACGTTGTACCGTAATGGCTATGGTTCTAACTTATTAGAGGAAACGATTGAAAAGTGGCGATGGCCCCGCGGTTGCCCGTTGAGCAGATGAGGGAGCGCGGCGTGGCGGACGTGGCGGGGCGGCTGGAGGCGTTCGCGACGGCGGCGCGCACCGCCCGCGCCCTCGGCTCCCGCCACCACGAGCTGCTGGCGTGGCCCCGCGCCCACTGGCCGCGTCTCGTGCTGCCCGCCCTCTTCGCGGAGATCTTCGACATCCCCAAGGGCGAGGACGACGCCGAGGCGCCGCCCGCCAGGGCCCCCCCACACGCCGCCAACATACACGACTAATGGACGGCTAGGCTCAGAGAAGACCTCGGCGCCTGCCTGCCCGAAATCCGGTGCGGGATGCGCTTAATCTATAGCTAATCAAAAGGCGACCTACTGCGGTAGCGGCACTGGTAACACCAGCCACTAAATCAACTCCTATGAAAGACCGAACCTCTGTCATCCATATTGAACGAAGCATCGCTTCGTTGATGTTATACCGATGTTTCACATATGTAGGGGAAGATTGGCAACGTTCGTACACTTTGACTTTGATTTCTAAAAAATCTGATATCAAAGATAAATTGCTTAATCTGTTATTATAACAGATTACAAATATTCAGCTTCTTAATAAAAAATTATGGAATCACTATTTCTTAAAATAAATGAATGAAATGCATTTTAATAAAAGATTTCAAATGTCCGAATCTACCCTACTATATTGGTACATTCGTACATTGGTAGGGGCACATTCGAACGATAGCTTGGTAGGTAAGTACAAGTTAAATAAAATAGCAAATAAAGTATGAAAACTCATATTAATTGCCATTAAAAATAGTAACGATGTAATAAACTAAATGAAAAAACTTTTATCAACAAAATATATTAATATCTTAGAAAAATAAATCAATAAGTAGAAAAAACACAACATAGTGCAGACTGCACTACTTTTTAATCCGGATCAGTTAATAAGAGATTAATATTCTAGTTATTTGGTGTATCAGACATAAGTTAAAGATAAACTATAACTACTTAAACATATCTTTTATACACAGTTTTCAAATTATCGTAAAACTCATATACGACTATTTTATTGAAAGTAAAAGATCTAGCAGCACTCGATTTTTCGGGTTTTCTTTAACTTAGACTACCCGCCTTTCCAGTTTCATCCCATTTTGGCGGATATGTACATTTCAGAGCTTTAGCATAATCATATGGCAGCTTTCCGACGTGTAATATTGTGAGCCTGTAATGCATTTTTGTGCTTTTTTCTATATATTCATTTAATTGGGACTCTTTTTCTTTAGAAAATAATGCTGATAACTGCTGAATTTAGACTGATACGTGCGGCTCATGCCAGCATCATCTCATCATTTATTTTTTTACCCGACTCTCCAAAGTTAATGTTATATTCATCCGCAGCTTTTCTGTAAGATATTTTTTTTTATCATTTTTTATTGCCGAGGACATATTTCATTCATTTATTAATGTAGACCTAGTCTCTTTTTTTCTTGTAATTTCGCACCATTTTTGCGTATTTTCTGAAATAAAAAAACCTGTTAATAGATGTGGGTTATATGCCAAACAGTCAGAGGGCACACATCATGCAGGCGTACGAATCTGCCCCGAAGGTACCCACACACAAATTATTTATAAGAAAACAACAAAAAAGATACATTATTTCTTTCATGATCGTAGTTACTTATCAATTAGCAATAATCCAATAGAATTTATCACTTCACATAACCACGAATATCACCCGAAAACATCGACAAGATATTTACGCTGAGCATGCAAAAACACATTACATACTCTAGCATTATTCGCAATGGCCGCACTGGCGGCTATTGACAACTGACGGCCACACACCCAAAGCTGGAATAAATACGTCGTTCTAACAGGCGGTTATAGCGACTGTATGAAGCTTCCCCCTGTACGAATGGTGCCAATCTTCCCCTATACTGTGGGATCCTCACAGTAATATAAATAAAACAATCATGGTTAGTACACTGTATGTATTGTACACTATATGTACAGTATACTGTACGTATAGTATACTGTATGTATAGTATACTGTATGTATAGTATACTGTATGTATAGTATACTGTATGTATAGTATACTGTATGTATAGTATACTGTATGTATAGTATACTGTATGTATAGTATACTGTATGTGTAGTATACTCTATGTATAGTATACTCTATGTATAGTATACTCTATGTATAGTATACTGTAGGTATAGTATGCTACTAAACTGATATGTTTTTAAATATAGTTTTTCGTAAAATATCCAGAGTTATAGTGTATTTTTGCAATTATTATGTCTGCAGTTGTTAAGATTATAATAGTCATAAAAAGAAAATAGTTTTAATCACCTACATACGTACAATAAGGAAACTGAAATTGCATATCCCAAGAGTATAGAAAACTCGATGTAACATTATTAATCAATGAGTGTATCAGTTCTTGCCAATGTTCACTTTCTAATTAAAACTGTAATAAAAAGTGAAGAAGTTAAATGTATGTGTCCAAATGTGCTTATCTGTACAAAGTATAAAACAAAGTCGGCCCGCTGTCTGTCTGTCCCTGTACATATGCATGCTTAGATCTTTAAAACTACGCAACGGATCTTGATGCCGTTTTTTTTTATTAAATCGTGATTCAGGAGGAAGGTTTATATGTATAAAACATTGCACCCGTGTGAATCCGGGGCGGGTCGCTAGTTTTTTATAAAAAAATCTAAATTGAAGCTGCAAAATAATATGATGTCAATAACTAAAAAAGTTAAAAATGCAATTTCACTTGTCTCATATGCCTTTCGTGTAAAACTTAAAGTTAGTAACTGTTATTAGTCTCATATGAACATTTTAAAGCTTTATCCGTTTTAAATCAATTCTTATCGAAGCCCAATCCTACTGGTACGACTGTCAAATCGAAATATTTAAATACTGATTTAAACTGTTTAAATTAACAACATTGCAGTTATGGGCAAACGACGCCAACTCTTAATAACTTTTGCAGACTTTTGATTTGACTTCTAATGTCTGTTGTAGGTATATTTATCAGTGATCGTGAATAAAACGTAATTATACTCAATCGATGAGCCCTATGGAGTTCAAAGTTAATACAAATAAAAAAGAAAACAACTAACTGTTGATAAAAGTCATACGTGAAAAGCGACTCAAGTCGACCACGTGGAGCAGCGCTCAATTTCGTGTTCATACAAAGTAGGTAATTAACATAACACTCCCGATTACTACTACAACTGCCCGCCTTTAAATGTGCTGTAATTAATACACCTATGACATTAGCGTTATAATATTATGTCTCTAAGCGTAGCTGTATAAAGATTGTGTGTAGAATAGTATACATGTGATAGTATAAGTTGCGAAGGGTAAAGTTGTTAAAACGGAGACTGACAAAACATAGTTCGTGTTTTAATATCATGAGGAACAAAGTCTCATGTTGAAGAGTGGGTAAAGTGTAAAATAAAGCTATTCATAATTTCACAATTAAATTTGTTCTTGTGAAAAAATAGCACGATAGTTTTCAATGTGCGCTGTTGCAGTAACTTTATTATGATTATAAATCCCTCACAGGAAGAACTTAACAAAACTTCCTTTTTAAACATCGAGATTTTTGTTCTGAGACGTGATAGTGAAACGCGAACTTCGACTGTGGGAAAGATGTGTTTAATTTTAAGACTTAATCAAAAGAAATGCATTTAAAATAGATTTTTGTTCTTTTTACTTCTTGCGGCTATTGACTCTCATACATGACGATGTCACGGTCTTCACTTGTAAGTCTTCTTATGAATAATAATATTCGTTAAATATATTAAATAGCATTCTTTAGATATTTACTTATTTATATTTTGCTAAAACCAAGAAAAAAATAGGCGTTATATAAATTCCTTTAAATACATATAACAAACCCCATTTTCGTTTTGTAAATAAAAACATAAAAAATTACAAAAACTTGTGTGAGCATTGGAAAATTACCTTGGCAGATAACCTTTTAGCCTAATAAGTTAATCAATTAATTATTCAGAAAGGAATAAAGTGATAAAGGCAGCAGGAAATTATATAAAGGAGCTATGTATAATTTTCAGAACAACCCTAAAAGCAGATACGTTCATGTCTTGTAAAGGTCCTGCTAAATATAAATCGTATAAATCCATATAAAATATTCACATAATATTTTAAACTACGCAGTGGATGTTTGGCGGCTTAAGGTCGCGCCGTTGCCCCAAATTATATCAATTTTCACTAAATAGTGGAACTAAAGTAACATGCAACATTCGTACATACAATTGACAGTCAATGGGCGGGCTCTCGATAAACGGACAAATTATTCCACTGCTTCATTTGCCTGCCTTGAATGGGCTTAAGGCTTTTTTGGGTATTATTATAGTCAACTATTATTAAGTTTTGTTACTCTTTTTTAGTTTTAATTATAGCAGAAATGTAACTATATTATGATTTGTCAAACTTATGTCGAATTAAATTAATGTATCTTGAAAAGTTTTGTTTATTACCCCAAAAACTGTAACCATCTTCAATCTACATCTATCAACTTATAAAAGGAGTGCAAAAGAAATAATACACCACATAGACATTTTCATATCCATTTAATTCTTATTTGTATTGCCACTTTCTTAAATCACATAGAAGAAACAATGTTTTAAACAAAATATTTCAAAAACTTACAATTTAAGAAATTAAATAATTCTTTTTATCTTTTATAACAATAACAAAGCAAATAGCTAAGAAATTCAAAAACACAAGCGATCACGATTTACGATGTACGCTCGTAGCGATCGAGCAACCTAAACCCCCCCCCTCCCTCCCTCCCTCGCCCCTACCCCTGCGCCACCCTCTGTGCGCTTGGTCGCTGTTCCAGGTTCCAGGCGCGAGATGCCAGTAACGAGTGCGGTTTAACAATTGATCGAAGAAAAAGTTTAGGAGGAGCAAGAGGTCCGGCGCCGGCCCCGCCGTAACAGCGAGTCTAGTGCCGTTTCAGTTTTGAAACTTAAAACCGAACAGACACTAGCGAACGGACAATAAGGAGCTCGCGTGGATTTTTGAGAGGGAAATTGCACTTTGCTGCATGCCCATAAACAAAACTATTATCAAACGCCCTTATAAACTAATAGTGCTATAAGCCATTAATTTGTTAATCTATTAATCTGTCGAATATGTTTTGAGTTCATACAAATGGAGCATGGCAATGGAGGCGACTCGCAATTTGCCGAATTGCGTGCACAGGCGAAACACCACATGGTATTGCAAAATTAATATAACTATTAGGCATGGGAGGCAATTGAGGGCCATCGTGGGCGACCGAATTACTACTACTCTAAGTTACGACTATATAATTTACCTAAAACAAACAGATTAACCCTAAACAGAATAGATTAAATTATACAATATATAGAACTGAAAATATTTAAAGTTTAAATAATTAACATGCAACATCGAAAATATATAATTAAATACCAACACTAAGCGCATTTGTAGAACAAAAACTTATTGAACGGCAAACAGCGGCCAAGTCGTGTCCATGATGAATCCTGGATCATAAGAAACAAGTACATAATCATACAATAGAAGGTTCGGCCGCCTATCTGTCGTACAATGGAAGCGCCTGAGACAAGCGCCTTTACCAATGTTCGCGTATCCACAAATCAAGTCAGAAGTGCTTGTTTCATGAGCATATAAATATTTTTCTTCAATATCAATTTAGTCCTTTGTAAATTGCAATATGACAATAATAATTTTTTTATACCTTGAACGGTAGAATATCAATAGCGCGTGAAAAAAATAAGCCTAAATCCTCCGTTGTGGCAGTAACTTAACCTTTGGACGGAATACTATGTAATGAGAATATGGGACGAGCTGCGATAAGCTCAATTAAAGGTTAATAATATAGTTATGTACATAAATACAATAAGAAATATCCTCGTCTGTGGACTGCAAAGCCGCTTTACAAATCGAAACGAGCACTCCTGAAATGAATGCTATCCTGACTTTCTTATGAGGTTGTTTTAGTTTTGAATCAATAAAACAAGAGCACGGATGTGATCTTTTGGACATCGCGGTCTAGTCCCCGGAGAATAAATATTCATTGGCAAATAATAGATAAGAACAACTACAGAAAAAACGCAGCGAACGAAAGTGCTCTTGAGGCGTATCCATTCCTAGTAAATGTAAACGAACTAGTGTATTAATTTTTCGCGAAACTTCGCAAATTATCATTTTTCTTAATTCTATGTCGCAATGACTTACGCAGCAGAACACATGAAACATCTATCACTTCGCTTTAAGACCAATGACTACAAACTAAGGTGTACACATTTGTGTGTGAACAAGTATTGGCCTGAGCCGCCCGCCCCGCCCCTGGAGAAGCCTTCGGCACCGGCACATCTTGAGCATTTTCAACACTCCAATATAATATTACAATCGATACAATAACTCGATACAACAAGCGCAGCGACATGGCCCAACATGGATACTAAGTTCAAATGTACAAATATAAAACGGCCAAATAAAGATGAGTCGCGCGTACTTATAGCCCCGCTTCCGCTTCCGCTTTCGCCTCCGCTTCAGCCACCGCCTCGGCGTCCGCCTCCACCTCCGCCTCACACACACACATTTCAAGTTTTTTATACATAATATTACGAGAACCGGGGAATGCCACACGCGCAATAAACCTCATCTCACTAGTATTAATCACCTTATATACTACTACTATTTAAAATAACATTAAATACATTAAGATGTGTATAAATAAACGATAAAATCTTCGCTGCTGTCGAATGTGTGTAAATAATTTCTTTGCAGTAGAAAATAGACGTAGGTAACGATGATTCGAAAAATATTTAATTTTTTTAATTTAGATGATATTTCTACAGCTCTATACAATTGGGAGGACTTTGTCTCCTACAAAATAAAATGTGCTCGGGCCTCTCGGCCTGATGAGGACAATTAGAAAGAGACGGAAAAAGAGTGACCGAGACCCTTGTCATGGACTCAGCGGGAACGAAAGTCACCTTTTCCAATGTACAGGTATACAAATTAGTTTATTTTCTTAAAGTAGCACAGTAGTTTAACAACAGAAGTAGTGAGTGAAATGTCAAACGGCACTTAAAACATTGGGAGATGTTCTCGTTTTCTCTCTTGCTTTTCGGAGACACAGATCACAGGAGGGCACAGGACGAGCATCCGAATGCGCGCGAAGGGCGTCGGTCGGCAACAGCGGCGGCGGCGGAGTTGGTGTTGGTGGTGGTGGTGGTGGTGGTGATGGGGGTGGGTGCGGCGACGGCGGCGGTGGCGGTGGGGGTGGGAGGCGCGGCGGTGGCGGCGGTGGCGGCGGTGGCGGCGGCGGCGGCCACCGCCGGCGGCGGCCCCTTCTATGGCGGCGGCCCCGCGGGCAGCCGCGCTCACTTCTTGGTGGGCGTGCCGCGCTGCGTGAGCCCCTCGAAGCGCTTGAATGTGTAGTTGATGAACACCCAGTCCTTGTAGGCCACCTCGCCCTCTTGCGATATCGGCGCCGCGGCTGCAACGAGACACACGAGGGCCAATACCGAACGGGGTCCGTTTATATAGGGTCGGGGCGAAGGCGCACCAGCCGATGGAAGGGGCAGCCACTCACGTATCTCGAGCTTCACGTCTGGGAAGTCGTCGAAGTTGGATGTGTCGTCGATGGAGCGCACGTCGACGCAGATGGCGGCGGGCCGCTCGCGCACGTGGCTCCAGTCCACGCCGCGGAAGAAGCCCACCGACTTGACGTCCTCAATGCCGCGCTGCGAGCCCAGCCTGCCGGCGGCCGTATCATGCATCTCACTCACACGCCGAGACGAACATTTTATACGAATTTATTAAATAATCATTTCCAATCTAGCTGTAAATTATTCCAAACTAGGTACATAATAACTTTTTCAACTTATATATTTGTACAAAATCAGCACGTTTGGACAAAACCACCGACAGCAACGTTATAAAAGTTGGTTGTAAAAGGAACCAGTGATTCGCTGGTAGTGGCTGCAGGAAAGCGGGCGATCGTGCCCTGTGGCGTGCGTGCCCTAGGCCAGGCTCATGTCCAGCAGTGGACTGCAAAAGCCCGATTGTTTTTTTCACAAACAATCACACAAAGAGTACTGACGTGAAAGACATATTTTTTTTAGTTCATTTTTTTATACACTACAGACCTATAACTTCTTCCAGAAAACCAGCATAAAGTAGAAGTGTTACATTTCTGCGTTTCGTCTGGTGAATGAGGTGGCCGGGGCCCATATTATTAAGAGGTGGCAACTCAGCCCTACGGGTGTTGCAAATGTCCATGGGCGGCGGTTATCACTTAACATCAGGTGAGCCGAGAGCTCGTTTGCCACTTTTTCGCATAATACAAAAAAAAATATGCGTACATATCTAAACATATAATTATTTTTAAAGAAAAGAACAATGAAGATGAAAACTTTCTGTTCTGGAGGAGAAAAATACAAGCAATATCTTTCTTATTTGTCATATAATATTGTATTAGTCTTCTGCTTAGGCCCAATCATTAAGTTCCATTGTAATAAACGTATTTTGTAATCTCTGCTATATGGAGCCAATGTCAGTTTTAATTCCGTTCTTGTACTGGAGACGGCGTTCTTATTTCAAACATTGCCACAGTTCTTGCCGCGTCCTATAATATCCATCAATTCGTGACGGGAAATGCCATTACCACTATTTCTATAATAAAATACGAGTAGTATGACAACGTAATGGTTGAATGGGCTGGTTGGGCGGTGTACAGTGTGGGGCGGTGGTAAACCTGCGGTCGGGCTCCGAGCAGAAGCGCAGAATGGTCTCGCGCGCCTCCTCGCTGATGGGGATCTCGGGCGGGAAGGTGAGAGACTCGCGCCACGACATCACCTTGCGGTAGGTCTCCTGCGGGGACTCCGAGCAGAACGGCGGGTAGCCGATCAGCATCTCGTACCTGCCCACACAAATACCCAATCTCTCATCATTACCATCGACTTACGCATCTCTAACGTCATCCTTCGCCTCATTTCACCCGGGCCAAGCTAGCTCGGTCCCAGGGCTGCGGCCAATGGATACTACATACGAAAGTGGTTGTACTAGTCCATTTTATAGCGTTATTATTATAAATTAACTTCAAAACAATACAGTACAATACAGCATTAACTTCAAAATTGTTCTTGCTACGCACACATGGAAATGAAATGAACGTTCGCAACGATGAAATAAAGGGATTTCGATGTCGATGCCATCCACAATAACCTTTCATAAGTACACACGCCACACGAGGAGATGCGCACTTTTAAACCGTGTTTTAAAGAGGAGGCCAGGCCAGCTGGATAAAATGGACAATAAAATTTCGCCAGCAAAATTGTAAGGGTCCGTTGTCGACACAGGACCCCGATTAACAATTCTGAAGCATTCGTATTACCTACGTCAATTATCGTATAGATATTCCTTTGTGTTGTGTATTAGACGTTGGAATGACCTAGATTCGTGCTGCTATTGGACATTCGCAAAGAGCATAATTATGGCGATATTCGCTTGGAAGCTTTCTCAGCAGCCGAAGTATAAAAATACGCAAAGCGATGAACAACCGATATAACGCTCGCATTCTCCTAAATAATATTAACATGCATTTTGCATAAACGGAAACATCCAATCGAAACGTGTAAAAGGCGGCGGCAATGCACACAGCCGTAGCGGGTAAGGGTATACTGACATGATGACGCCGAGGCTCCACCAGTCCGCCTGGGGCCCGTAGCCGGTCTGCAGGAACACCTCCGGCGCGATGTAGTCGGGCGTGCCCACCGTGGAGTAGGCGAGGGCGCGCCTGTTGCGCTTCCACGACTCGGCGCGCCGCTTCGAGTCCATCGCCGACGAGGACGTCGAGACTGCACAATACACAATACACAATACACAATACACAATACACAACATACAATGAGATACGGACGCCGGTGTAATCTCAAAGTCGAAAAGTACAAATGGAATAGTCTCAATTCTCTCGAGACTCTGCTGCTAAATTAGGTGCGAGCTCATGGTCGGTGACGGTGAACGGTACAAACGGTACAAGAAACGTCGTCCACTAGAATCCATCGTTAGCATGGGAACGAACGAACAAATCGTTGCGGCCGTGTCCTTGTCCGCCAAAGCGGTTCGCGGCTGTCGGGTACCTCGGCGTGCGTGGGCCGATACACTCGCCAATGATTTAGTGGCATGCAATTAACACCGGGCAAGAGAGGCGCCCAGCGGTAAAGTGTGCGTTGGGCGTTTGCGTCGTCGTTTGCGGCGTGTTGCGCCGTCGTCCGTGCCGAGGCTGCGGTTAAATGAGGGTTAATAAATTAAAATAATAAGGGCAATGGTGGGCGTACATAGTGCGTATGAGGCGCTGTGGGGGAAGCTATATGCATGCTCACTGAAGTCGGAGGGGGTGGCGCGCGAGAGGTCGCGGTAGAAGTCTGTGCGGTGGCTCTTCTTGAGGCCGGTGCAGAGGCCGAAGTCGCTGAGCTTGATGTGCCCGCGCGCGTCCAGCAGCAGGTTGTCCGGCTTTATGTCCCTGCGCCCAAACACGTGCAGTCAGCTGTTGTCACTTGTCTTTGCAAAGACAAGAGAACACGCACCTGTGTATGAAGCCGAGCTTGTGGATGCTGTCGATGGCGAGCGCGGTCTCGGCCACATAGAACTGGGCGCAGTCCTCGCTCAGAGTGTCCTTCTTCATGAGGAGGGTCATCATATCGCCGCCGGGGAGGAACTCCATTATGAGGTAGAGATTCATTGGGTCCTGGAAGCTGTAGTACATCTTCACCACCCACTGATGATCGGCCTCCACCAACACGTCTCGTTCCGCGCGAACGTGAGCCACCTGCCGTTTGCAATAATTCATTAGGTCACTTTAAGAGTCGCTACAAGCGAAATATTTTAATTATTACACAAAGAGTCGTTGCGGAGTCCTCTCTCACCTGTTCCTTTTCGAGCATGTCCGCTTTCCTGAGTATTTTCATAGCGTAAACGTGTCCCGTGTCCTTCTTCTGCACCAAACGCACCTCACCGAAGGCTCCTCGTCCTATTACCTGGCGACATAGTACGCTTACGTCACTACATTAAAATTAACGCCACTACACACAAATAAAAAACGTAAGACATTTATTTAGTTTCGTATGCAAGTGGCAGTGGATTGGGCAATGGCCGGAACTGTTTGTTTGTACAAATAGGTTATTTGTGAAGACGAACCTTGAGCGGCTCGAAGTCCTCGACGCCGAGGCGCGAACGCTTCAGTCTGAGGAACTCCGTTTCCTTCTGCGCGTGCTGCTGCCGCTTCTCTTGCTTCTGGCCCTCCGTGAGGTTCTCATCTTTGAGCGACTCTTCGAGTTTCTCGAGTCTATGGCCGAGAGATGTACAATGCAATATAAGGTACGGTAAATGTAATCAATGTTTACATTTTCAACATTATGATCTGAAAACATTCGGGCACGCACCTTTGTTTCCTTTCATAGTGCTGTGAGATGAGGTTCGTGTAGAAGTTTTCGAGCGTGACCTTGGCTTTGGTCGCCTTGTCGAGGGTGTGCCCGCTGAAGCGGATATTGTCCGTGCCCGTCATTTCCAGCACCCCTGCAACATCACGTTTCCAGTGTAAAGTAATTTCAATTGTTTCGAATCCTAAATGTGCGCAAACGACCAAATGTGTGTTCGGGAGGACGAACGACGTCAGAAAAGCTACCGAGGACACAATTTTCAACTAGCAAGATCGGAAACACAAAAATTGCTACGGAAAATTGCTACGCCAACAAAATACGAAAAGAACAATAGGCGTATAGCATAACTTGAGCAAACTGCAACTGTTTGATACGGAAAGTGTTTTAGCTATTAAATGGCACATAGCATAAGAGTGCTTCACTGAGAATTTCTCTTTGGGCGAATGTTCGAAACGAAAATGGACGTCCGGACGGATTGTGATCGAACAATGAATGATGCATTCGCATGTGTGGCCGGGAGGCCCCCGCTGACGGACAAACTAATTATCCGAGTGCAAACAAACAGACATATTCACACACTACTGCCAAGTACTGAGTCGAGCTGGCCCGAGCGAACGCAATAACAATCACTAGGAACACTTATAATATTCTCCTTTATTCAAGCCCTCACCTTTCTATCGTACGCTGCAACAAAACACATAGAAAGGTGATATATTAGAAAGCGTATCGTAAAATGTATGAAAAAAAAACACGCCCTAAAATCACATAAAAGAGAACGATTTCTTTGAATGTTTAAGAAATTAAATTGTTTTGGATGTTGATATAGAAACCGAGTGTAAGCAGCACAGCCGCAATAGCGCCGCCTCTGGACAAATCGCGGGGGATCCCAAATCAATAATCTAATAATACCACGCGACTCTTTTTATATGTATCACATATTACAACACGACATCTAATGGCATAAACGCTAATTACATTTATCAAAAACTTATGTAATCAACACAGTAGATGTTTTTGACAAGTATTTAAATTACAAGTCAAAATAACTACTATATTACTTGGTCGATTTTACGCACAATATATTATAATGTTAAAAAATTTAGGAGCATTAAGGATATTATTTTTTAAGCGAAAAGTATTCCTACTTTACCAGAAATTGCTACACAGTATTATCCAAAATTATGCAGTTTGGTATTCGCATCATGAGCGAACCTATTTTCATTTATTTAGCGACACCATCTCATGTTATTAATTGGCTCCATTCGTGGCTGAAGTGATATGACTAACTCCCCAAAACGTGATTATTATGAGTGGGCGCATAGTTAATTCCGGGATGCGCCTACCCCACGGCCCGCCAGCATCCCTCAATCAGATTACAACATATACCAAGCGAAGCCACTGTTAGCACACAATAGGCCATATATCCACAAACACAATAATAATAGTAGCGAGAGCAAATCTTATTATACTATAGACAGTATATTATGTACATTTCCGCATTTATTATTAAACAATCAGCATAATTTTTCTACGAGTCTGTCATCAGTTGAAAATGTGAATAAATATTGGAGGCAGCTCGCGACTTGCGTAAGTCGAGGCGGGAGCTCAACCTTGGCGGCCTAAATTGTTTCAATTCGCCGAGTGTTGCCTCCGTTGCCGTCGGTTGCTCAGCCGAGGCTGCCCTTGCTATCTTTGCACATTACCGTTACGATGTAAAACTTTACGGGTCATACGGTAACGTTCCGTCATATCTAAAGACAGCAACTTCTTCTTATCCATTTGGAATACTGACGCCATCAATGTCAAAGGAACACTCGGGTACCGCGCATATATTGTGCGAATTTAAACCTTTCCATTTAAAAAGATAGAGGTAAGGTAAAGTGGATCTTAATACACCTTTATTGCATTTTCAACAGGAGAATCCTTTCGGAAGGTTGGAACAGAATAAGAGGTATTATTTCGCAGCTTTATTAATGAGTTGTCAGTAAAAAGTGAAACCAACATTATTATATAATTATATGGCAACCCCCAATACTATAATTATACACAAATTTATTCTTTCCAAAAATCATATTTGAAGTTGTTAACTCTCTTGCTTTATGCATACTATTGCTTAAGTACCTACAAAAAGTTAGAAGACAAAAGCAATATTTATAAAATCCAATATGCAATTTAAATTGTTGTACGAATTAAAGGATTATAAGATTAATTTTAATTTTGAAGCTAGTCTAGTAAGAGTGTTTCAATGTATAATTAGTAGACAACGAATAATGTAGTTTTTGATACAAAAACAAATTGTAATTACATGAACTAATTTAAATTAAAAAAATAAATTGTATTAATATCAAATAAACTAATTGATAATAATCTTTTGTAAATAAGGGTAGAACCGTTATTTAAATTAAGATAAGTAGGAGATTCTAAAAAAATAAAAGAACAGTGCTTGAAAAACTTTCAATGTACATAATTATTTAATTTAGATTTGATGGATGCAGGTGGCTTAAGATCCTACTTTGTGGCAGTCTATGGGGGATGCCTATGTTCAGCAATGGGCTAAAATGATGATGACAAATAATAGTTATATGTGGGGGTTATAAATGTGTGCATTAAAAAAAAATCACATATACCCTTGTGCATACACCATACACAGAAGTATGTGCTGCTGTTCAGAAAAGTCATGATATAAAGTTAGAACTTACCCGGGGGCTGGGGCGCTGGTGCTGGTGTTTCTGGGGCCACCGTAGTGCCCACTGTGCTTTTTCCCCAAGACACGGCTCACTCTAAATAAACATTTATAGTTTTTATAAAACGTTATAAGTAATTCTTCTATTTGTGTAGTTTTAGTATTGAAGTACTTGATAAAACTTGATGTTTTTAATTTTTTATTTTCCATTGTATTTTTTGCTACTTGTGTGAGTTTTATATTCCACTGTAAATTGCTTTTATTAATCATGCTTTTACAGAATCAATTAATATATTTTATATTAAAAATTTATCAGGTATATACTTTACATAAACAGGAAAAAATAATTTGCCTTAAATGCAGTGAGAAATCTAATTTATATGCAAAGTTAAAAAATTCCTAGCCTCAATAAAAAATTATATTATTACTGTCCACGTTTTCTTCATAAAATCCTAGTCAGAACTGTAAGCAATAAGATTGGATTGTCTGAAATTTTGGCTATTTGCATTATATTCCTCACTTTCATTTGGCCTTTGTGCGATTGTTTATTTCAAGTGAATTGGTCAAAGTTTAAATTACAGGTGTATAAGAATAAGCACCCTAAAAACAACTACACCTACTTATTTTTGATGTTAGATATATGCTGAGCTGTGGACTCAAACAGGCTGAAATGATGATGCTGATGAAAGCACCTGCATGTATTCCAATATCTGCTCTGCTTGTTCCCTTTCCAACTTTATACAGCAATAATTTCAATGAGACAAAATATTTATTATGTACTCACAAGCCCTGTGGCACTAACATGGTAACTACATCTATTTGCATATAACATTCTTTTCTTTTAGTCAATACTAATATTGTTATTTTCTAATTCTATATTAATTATGCATGGTATATTCCCTTGTCAGGCTTATTATTAAAATGGTGTACAATTTGTTTTTATTCTTATTCTCTTTATTTTCTCTATTTAGTTTTTTTTTGGCAAATATAAATAACATTGACGTTGGTGGTAATATAACTGAATTAAAACTTAAAACGATAGACAAAAATCACTAATGAATTCCACAAGCAGAATTCTCAGGTCGCTTTTAGTTTTCAAGAAAAAATAAAATTTAAAACTTGTTATTTTCACTAAGTTAATCCACCATTTTATTAATTTGACTTCAAAATCTGAATACACAGTTCAGCCAACATGATAAATATGGGAAGCAGGCGACGACATACTTATATCGATAGTTCGATTTTTTTTTATTTTATGATGTACAGAACAGACACAGAGCTATCCCACTCTGATATATTAGGTTAGAACCTTAACCTTCGTGGTTATTTTTTTATGACCACCCAAAAATAGGAGCAGAATTTATATATTGACAACAAAAAAAATGGCAAATTTCTATAGTGAAAGCCACACTATTTCATTATTAATTTTTTCGAAAACTATAAGTGATCGGCGAATTCAGCTTGTTGATTAATTTATTAGTGATTTTTCTCTATTGATTAAAATGTATTTAAATTTTATTATATGAACAACAAAATTATTTACATTTACTGTTTTATTATATAGTTATGATCTCATTTGTAACAAACAGCATTGCAGAGCTCTCGGCATTTATTGTTGTTGAGTAAAAAACATTTTTGACACAGTACACATACTTATAACATTTACACTTAACATTTTTTCTCTTTTTTATTTCATTTCAATTTTTTTTACATATTTGTTTTTACTTTTAACATTGTGCAAAAACATTAGTTATTGGAAGAAAAGTTGGATTACAAAAAGAGTCTTGTTGTTAAAACACTATTCAAAACATTAAAAACAATGCAATGAAATATTACAATTCCATAAAAAAAACCATAAAGCTTATTTTAGTGTAATAGTCAGGTCTGTTAAAAATCTTGATATGTTTGCAGTTCATTGACCAACAGACAAGCCCAACTGAATTTTTGGCCCTTTTTAACATAACATATTCACTACATCCACATTGTTAAAACATAGAACTTAACTCTTTAGGAAGGAGCCTAATTGAGAATTTTTGTTGCCGTCACTTGTTAATTGTCCTATGGAGACCAATCAATACAGTTGAAAAAATTAAATAAATCCAGTATTAATTTAGCATATCAACCATTATTCAATATAAGAAAATCCCTTGAGTCTTCTTGTAATGCATTATTGTCCAATGATAAACTAATCAGATATATCATTGTTCCTGTTTGACCCGTGACGGAGATGAAGGCAACGATCGCTCGTATTGAAAGTGTAATCACAGCCGTATATTTATAGATCTGAAGATTGCTCATCAATATACATCGGACAAGTTGCTATTTTTTTATTGAAAAATATTTTATACACACCTTTAATATAACTGCGGCTCAATAATCGTATTAAATTTGCACCAGTCCTCGTACACGCTAATAAATAAACAGCATATAACAATATGTTTCATAAAAAAGGTTAAAATCGATAATAAACCGTCACTATGTAAGGATTAAAATGAGGCCAATGCTTAAGCATTGACCAACATGCAGACCAACTTCTGCAACAAATCCCGGTTGATCGTAGCAAATAGTAAATCTCTTTGTTAAATGAATTATGAAAGTGAAATAACGGGATTTATTACGGGCGCCCCGTAGAAATCGCACAAAGGAAGATGTCAGACATGAGCACAGATAATATTGTACATTTTTAACATTTGATAAATTCTATCCTTCTTGCAAAAGAGTTAACAGATAATGTTGCCAAGTTAATAAATATGGAACAAAAACGTTAGACCTGATGTTACAGATGCGTTGACGACCTTTTGAAAAATGGGCTCCCGCTACCCCACTCACCAGACGAAAACGCAAAAGTATTTTTCATACTTCCACTTTACGCTCGTCTTGTGGTACCTACCCGGACGGGCCTGCCCACTCGTGCAACAGCCGAGGCTGCTGCGGGGCCCTACCACCGTACACACTTGGCAATCAACAACAACTTTATGACATTTAACTATAATTCCAAGGTATTTATTTACACCGTACATTTAATGTAAGTTTCATAAACAAAGAATTCTGGCACAGGAGATACAATTTTCGTTATTTTTTTTACGCAAGTATAAGGAAGTATAACTTCTTACTTCCGTACATAAATATATACACTTTTTTTATATTAATTTGACAACTATAGGTATTATAAAATATAATTCGAACACATAATTTTAGATAATACGGCATGTGGCAGCTTTTAACTACTGTATAATAATATAGAGCAATCCAATGTTGATGCACAAGGCTACTGTTAAAAGTTAGTGGCGTTTCCTCGGCATAATCAATTATTACCGCCGCTTTATGCCGCACGCTGTGCAATTTCAGGCTCCATTAATCGACACCGTTGTAACTGTTAACGGCAAAAGGTGCTAAGCTATTTATATGGTCACCTTAGCTATTAAAGCAATTTGAAGCCTGCTAAAGGTGCTTATCCAATGCCACATTATTGCAATATCCGGTTAGCAAATCACCTCTTTGACATTTAACAGATGCATCCAGCGTACACATCGGATGCTACCTTCAACAACAAGTTGACGGTGAGTGGTTTCCCCTCGCTTTCATTAGCAAGAAACTCACTCGAACTTTGATTGAGGAGAATTCATGATACGACGAAATTCACCATAGATGTTTCATAATAATGCTGACTGTGAAAGAATATTTATCGAGGTAAACTGCAACTGTAAATTGAGTTTCCATGACATGTGTTCGAAAATGCAAATAGGAAAAATATTGTTTATGTAAACGTGACAGTGAAGTAATTGAGTCGATTAGAAACTTTGTGGTGATAATATTAATGAGTACGTTATTTTTTGTGTCCTGACGTTACTACCTGCAATTTTTAAGTAATCAAAAGAAGCAATACGGCAATTTCATGATTTTTATTAATAAATACCGTAAGGCAATCTGGAATATTATATTATATCAGCACTGAACCGCTCAGAATCCAAACTGAAACATGAAAAACATTGAAACTCCATCTAGTGGGCGGTTGTCCCACACTGCGATGGCCAGTACGAGGCTGCCATTCGAGAACCTTTGTCCCCAGTGGTCTTGTATCTGGTATTAACTGATGTTTGTGCTTTCGGTCTCGAGACTATTAAAGCTTCATCTGTCGCAGAATCAGTGGGCTAGCCAGAACCCACGGGTTTGGGCCCTCCGCTGTGGGTAAGACCGCGCATGTCCTCATGTGTGAGTTTAACTACGGCATGTCATCTAAGGGCCGAGGTTGTGGTGCAGACCGAGACCCCGATGGCCGTCGACTGTGTTTTTAGCTGATCGGTGGAACGCGGGTGTACCTTGTGTATGCGTTTTGTTAGTCTCGCCGTGCTCAAGGCGAGGGCGAACTAATGTGTTTATTGCTACACTAACTGTGTGTGTAATGTTATCCGACTAGACCCTCGAACGGTAGGTCCGACGTACCGTAGTCCCATTCCTCGACCAGGTCGATGAGGACGTTTCGCGTGCTACGCTTGTTGACGCTCACGTTTGGATCGGGTTGGTAATTTGCTGCCCTTACCACCAGATGGTTGGGATGATGTTTGGCTCTATCGAAGAATCGTTTGGTCAGTTCTTTAAAAAATTCGCGTATCGTCGGGGAGAGAGTAGGGTACGTGTGGGTGAAAATCATGCATGCGTAGGACATGATTGGCCGTACGCAATCTTTGTATAAAAGTAATTTTTGGCTTAAGGACATTTTACTTGACTGGTTAATTAAAGTGCGTAGCCGGCCGGAGACGAACGCGGCTCTGTTACGGACGTTATTAATATGCGTTGTGAATGACATACGCGAGTCGAAAGAGACCCCTTAAATATTTGACCTTTTTTCCCCAGGGGAGCGGTTGGCCATAAAGAGATATTTGTCCCCAATGGTTATCGGTTCTACGAGCTATATGGTCAGCCCATCGCCACTTCAGCATACTAACCTTCTGAGCAATGTCGTTTACTTTTGTTCTACTGTGGGTGTCTTTGTTGCGAACTCTACTACGCAGAAAAATACCGAACATAACCCGCTCCATAGCTTGCTAGGAGCCAGCCGGGAAGGACCACGTCTCAATTCCGTATGTCAATACTGACAACACACATTGGTTGAAGACTTTAGTCTACCGTCAGACCGGATATGTCGATAGAATCCGATGGCACATTATCTGCTATTGTTGCAATGAAAATCTATGTGCCATAACGGATCAAATATCCGATTTTTTCCACAGATGTCTGCCAAGCCATGCCAAGCTCTACGTTAAAAGTGTTAACGAACGTGAAAAACAAAACGCATCGACCCACAGATTATAAACTTAAGACGTCACAGGCTAAAAAGTTTAGATGTAAATACATTGATACATTGTTTTTCTATTATATTTTGTCCTTTTTACGATGAATCTGATTTGTAACTGACTGTATTTTTGTGTTACGTTATGTTACGTTACGTTATATGTTCAACTGTGGTAGGACCATGCAACAGCGTTCGCTGTAGCATGAATGGGCAGGCCCGTGGGTTAGTACCACGACCTGGCAGAAGACCGGTGTCAAGTAGAAGTTTTACACTTCTGCGTTTCGTCTGGTGAGTGAGGTAACTGGGACCCACTTTATTAAAGGGTGGCAACGCATCTGCAACCCTATGGGTGTTGTAAACGTCCATGGGCGGCGGGTATCACTTAACCTCTGGTAAGCCGCCAGTTCGATTGCCACTTTCTCACATTAAATAAAACTTAAAAGTAAAACGTTAGATATCCCTTAATTATAAGTGGGGTAATATTTTTGAAGACACTTGTTGAAGATTTTTAACTACCTCATAGAGTTGTTTCAAGTGTCATTGTTCTTTTGTTAATGTCTGTTCTTTCGATGTCAATATACAACTTTTCATAAAATATTAATTTGATTAAATAAATCCTTAAATCGGACCTTAATAAATATGACGAAGGTAAACCACTGGATGGAGGAGGCGGAGGCGGTTAGCTATTGTCCACGTTACCAAGTATGTCCCGGCTGGCAATTCAGTTTCTTAAAGTTGACCTGCTCTTGTACAAGTTAAAAAATCGGGTATTGCAGAAAGTGGCATTAAGCCACTGGGGAGAAGCAGAACGTCAATAATTTAAAACATTAGAGACCAACAATTTTATTTCCAGTGACTTTTTAAATAAGTGTACTGCACTTATCCCAAGGTTTTATGTTAACTGCTTGTGCTAACAGCAATCAAAATGACTCGCCTCTGGAAGAATTTATAGAAAGTATCACTCCCCTCAATCTCTGGAGAAGTTACCAGAGTTAAGGGCAAATTCCGAACATAGAGTATGGTTACTTGGGTTCTATCAACCTCCGTATGCCTTGCAGTGTTGAACTCTTTCCCTAACGAGTTTTCTGTTATGAATCTTCTCTTCCCATTTTTTATGCGCAAACACTGCTATATTTTCATAATATCTTCATAAAATAAGATGCTACCACTATAACCAGAGTCATATTAGGGACAATTGCTCTGTGTCTGAAAATGATTCTACTTGTATCGAGTGTATAGGTAAAGCAGTTGATATAAAATGTCCAGTATAATCAGGACAAAATCTATTAATTTTCCCGTCACATCTCGTTACTCGTACTTCTCACCTTCTCCTTATCAAACTAATAAGCCTTCCTCAATCCTCCTAATCTTACGGTGGTACCCTTTCCTCTCCGTTGGTAGAGACCATCTTATTGAAAACTTCACCTGTTCCTCAATCAACATTATATCTATCACTTAATATGAGGTTAACCACTAGCTCGCTTGCCAACTTCAATGCTAATATAGTATAAAACAAAGTCGTCTCACGACTCGTCTCACTGTCTGTCTGTCCCAATGTATGCTCAGATCTAAGTACACAATGGATCTTGATGCATTTTTTTACTCGCTAGAGTGATTCTCTTGGAAGGTTTACACGTAAAACCCATGCGATGCCGAGGCTGGTCGCTAATCTTAACAGAAAAAAAAATATTTTGCTATGTAACTGTCTGTTGCTGATTGGGATAAATATTCTAAAATACTTTGTCTCCCTCCTCTAAATTTCTCAAACTTTATGTCTGTGCATACTGATTTTATTTCATCTATCGTTGCGGTGGCTGAGGAATCCTCCCCGCTAAAAATTCTTCTCGTAGCCCATCTCCTCTCCTCCTTTGTGACATTCCGAGTATCTCTCATAGATCTTGACATAAGAATATGAGAAATTTGTGCCTAAACCAAAAGATTTTAGACAAAGAAGAGGTCAGAAGGCTTTTCAGGTTGACTTGGTTTCTGCGAATTCTTATCACCCCGTCTACAATTATTCTGAGGCATAGGATCTCAAAATTCCGGGGAGTTTTTGCTGAAGCATATCACCTACAATGATTCTTGCAAATTAAATCTAAGTTATTTATAAAATTTGTATCACCTCTTCTACCGACAGAATGAATGGCCTAATTTCTTATTCTGAGCTCTATCTTCATATTTGAGGCTATCAAGTGTCATGCACTCGATAGCCTCAAATATTATAGAATTTTTTTCTTCTGGGTATGCCCGAGAATCTTGGAAGATCCATTTAATAATAATACGAATTTTACAAACCGAACCGTAACATATCGTAATCATATCGGTTTATACATTGGAAAAACAATTTATTAAGTAATAAAAACAATGAGAAAATTAAGGTTGGAGAAAAGAAATTAAGGGAATGCGGTAAAGTTCGTATAAAAACTAGCTTGTAAGTTGATATTTTTATGTGTAGTCATTTGTTAAATAATGTTTTACATGAAGCACACTCCGGCTTTCAAGATACCTAATTTTGAAGCCATCACATATTCTCCATATATATTGTCCATATTCTCTTAATGTAACTTACCTTTATTAAAAATATATTATCAAAAATATATTGTTATTTCTATAGAAATAATACATTTATTATTATTATGGTTATAGGTATTTATTTGTTTTCTATTATTATCATTATATTGAAGCTGCAAGGCTGATTTGATTATAAAAGACAACTTTGAAATTCAAGGGGTCAAAAGTGACATTCTGCTTGATATCGAAGCATATTTTGAAACTACAATTGCCATAAACAACCGGAAAGTGAAGATACGGTTTAGTTTATATCTCATAGGGTAGGTACTCATCACGTGAATCATATTGAGGTAGCGCTGTAATAGATAGATCTTTATTATTGACCATTTCCCATCTTTATAGAACACACTTAAAATAGATGTAATAGACCACACTAGACATTTGAGTGAGATCACAGAGGCACATTTTATAAGGTTGGCTAGCCAGGCGTAGACCCAATGGTGTAATTACTGCACGCTTAAAATCAATACAGTACACCTGTATTATAGCTCATTTTTCTTACAGAAGATGGTGAAAACTGTACGTCTGATTTCTGCAAAATACAACTTCTGCCAGGAAATATGGTTATTTTAATTATAACAAGACTACACGTTTTTTCCGTGGTCAAAGCTGCCTTGTATTTGGCTATCGTGGATGAATTTGTTGTAATTGGAACTGCCCGTCTCAGAACCTGTGAACATAAACAAATTACATTTTATTTTATTTGTTTACGTCATGGGGCATCATGTGGTATCGCCAGTAAAACATCGTTTCAAAACAGAATTTGTCCTGTGAGAAAGGCACGGCAAGGCACTTTCACTTCATTAAAATGTTTACAATAAAAAAAGGAATACTGAAAAATAAAAGGAAGCAAATAATAGTACCCGGTCCGTTGACGAGATGAGCGTTGCCGATGACCAACTCCTCGGGAGCCGCGTCACGGCTGTCTGTTCGAAAGTTGGCCGGCTGAACCTTGCGTGATAAAAACAAACAAATAAATGGTAAAACGACTTAGAAACATCGTGTAAAAATTATCATTATAAATATTTTAAATTTGGTTAAATTGGAAAGAAATCGAAATCGCAAACTGACAGCAAAGAATTCAGGCAGACTGAAGCTTACTTCATAAGAAACAAGAAAATTTTGGGTAACCTGGCCATCGTTCCTCAATAGATCCGGCGCGACGTTGCCGCCGGGGTAGCGGTTATAAATGCCGTTGAGATTGTAGTGCAGGTTCATGTCTGGACCGATGTTGGCCTTTAGCAGTTGTTCCCATATGCCGCCTGGACACATGAAACGCTTCTTAGAGAATTATTGACTTACCTAGCTAAAGATCTGCACAGATGGAGAGAAAGATGCCTATTATTGCAATTTACATGAAAACTTTAGCACGTTTAACAATAATCACCTTTATCGATGGAAACGATGGGACGGTTGGATTGCCACGGGTACTCGCCGTGCGCTTGGAAGTAGATCGCATATGTCGACAGCTGAAATAGAACTACCGTTGTCCTTTACTTGTATTTTATTTATTGATCCTTTTCTTTTTTGTCTAAAATGGGTTTTATAGTAGTCTTAGAATACTTACTGAATACTACTGCTTCCTTGATAGTTTTTCTAAATATGTAATTCGAACTCACGAGCCTTAGTAGTAAGTTACTCTCTGATCGCTACGACACATAAATAAATCTCTCGAATCTAAAGCCTAACCGTAAAATTATCAAGTATCTAGATATTTTTAATTTGTGTGTAACCTGAGTGTAGTAGAGGGCCAGCCAGTACTTGCCACCGTGTCCCACGAAAGCGGTTTCGTTCGCGCCAAGCAGAGCCGATGGGATGTCCTGATGGAGTGCTTCTGTAGAAATACGCAAGTTGCAGCCGTACCTAACAGATAGTAGAGTGTTATATAATTATGTTATATGTCTAACGGTTGGACCTCATCTGCATTACCCCTAAATGCCACTGTAGATTAGCAGGTCATATAATTTGGAAATACATATAGAATATACAGTTTTATTATATTTGGTTACTAGTTTTTGATTAAATAGTTTCCTCACAATGTCAAACATTAAAATTCACAACCAAACACGCGTGAAATCAACACTTCAAAATGCACATAATAATTAAAAAAAATCGAATTTAAACCGAACGTCGAAACCCGGTCCCAAGATGCCTTCTTCTCCTCTTAAAAAATCCTAACGAAAGTTCTGTAGTTTCCAATGCAAGTTAGAGAATCAAAAACTGTCGCGATCTACAGTAGTATAGATTGGTCCTATATGTTTAGCGTGTTATATTATTTTTAGTCCCATAGGCTGGACCTCGACAGCAACTGACCAGTCTGGGCAGGCCTTGAGGATGTCGTACGGCGCCCTGTAGTACTCCGCTCGGCGAACCACCGGATTGCGAATGTTAAACCTCTCGTTGGGATCGGTGAGATTGATGCGCTTGATCTTCACGTCGCGCCGCTCGCAGATGTAGTCGTAGTGGAACTTGGGCACCGACTCGCCGCGGGCGCAGTACGTTGCTGAGCAAACGGGGTGCACGCTTCAACGTTCGTTCAAATCAAAATCAAAATCAAAATCAAAAATATATTTATTCAAATAGACGCTTGCGCGCTCTTATGAATCGTCAAATTTTACATCAAAGATTATGTGTATAGGTTCGTAAGATACCACCGGTTCGGAAAGCGGTTTCTGTTGAGAAGAGACCGGCAAGAAACTCAACAGAGCTCAGCCTATTCGCAAGAGATGATATATGGGGACTCCACTGGAGCTTTGAATCTACTGTAATTCCCAGAAATACAGCAGACTCAACTGGATTAATGGGTACGTTATTTAATATTAAACTAAAACTTTTCCTTCTTATACTGGGAAGGGTAAAAAGAATACATCTGGTTTTTTTGGCATTTAATACCATATTATTAATAGTAAACCAGTGGAGGATATGTGAAAGTGCACTATTCACGTCGTCATAATTTAATAAGTTTCGGTCAACTTTAAAAATAAGCGATGTATCGTCAGCAAACAGTACAACATCACACAAGCTAGCATAAAAGGGGAGATCATTAATATATGCTAAAAATAATAATGGGCCAAAGATTGATCCTTGTGAGACTCCCATTTTCATCTGGGACCCAGCGGAATTAACATCATTTATAGATACTTTTTGAATTCTATTACTAAGGTAAGAGGCAATGAGATTGAGGGCGATGCCACGAATGCCATAATATTCTAGCTTTTGAAGGAGAGTTTTATGGTCTACGCAGTCGAAGGCTTTTGAAAGGTCACAAAAGACACCTATTGCATCTTGTGACCTTTCCCAGGCGTTATAAATATGTTTGACAAGTGCGACGCCCGCATCTGTTGTCGATCTGCCTTTAGTGAATCCATATTGCTCATCGTGAAAGATTTTGTTCACATTAAAATGAACTAAAAGTTGATTTAATATTAGCTTTTCAAAAACTTTACTAAGAGATGGAAATATGGAAATAGGTCTATAGTTGCCTGGATCATTTTTATCACCACTTTTGTAGACTTACTAAATTTCATAAGATCTGGAAATATTCCAGAATCTATGCAGTTGTTAAAAATAGAAGCCAAATGTGGTCCAATATATGGCATTATTGTGCTCATTAATTTAATGGACATACCCCATAAATCCTCTGTATTTTTAAGATTAATAGAATTCAAAAATTTTATAATATCATAAGTATCTACGTGATTAAATTTAAATATGTGTAGACAAGGGGTAACATTATTTCTTAAAACATTAATTGCGTCTGCGGGAGATGATTTTAATGTACGTGTGACATTAACCGCAATGTCTGAAAAATAGCTTTCGAATTGCCTCATACTATATAATTCATACAATGAATCCCTACTTTTGTATATACCCACTGTTGCCCAGTCACTAAATTTTAATTTTGAATTCTTAACAATTGTGCGCGATTTAAAAGTATCATTATAAGAAGATATGAGAAAGTCAACCATTGATCTATAAGAATCATTAGGGTTATTGACTCCTATATCTTTATTTAACATATGATGTGCCACTTTATCTCTAAAAGCATTTATTCTATTAGTAGTGACTGGTCTACACTTGATCTTAAGTTTGCTTGTATTAGCTTTTTCATTTATTGAAAATTTTAGCCCAAAGTGATCCGAGCTCAGATGATTTATAACATATTTATCATATACATCATTGTGACAGAATACATTATCTATACATGAGGAGGATAAGTTAGTAACACGAGTTGGTTCATGAAAAAGATTTTTAAGTTCAAATGAGTTAAATAAATTTAAAAATCGTTTACTGAGTTGTGTTACTTGTAATAAATCCACATTAAAATCTCCACAAACTATTAATGATTTACTACTTGAACATAGTTTTTTAAGAACATCATCCATTACGCACTCAAACTGATCGAAATCACCTGAGGGGGGCCGGTATACGCATACTATAATATACTGTTGACTCTCAACGCAGGATAATTCAATAGAACGTTCGACAGAGTGTGCCACTATATCCTGTCGATTTTTACAGACTATATCAGTTCTAACTAATATAAGAGAGCCACCGCGAATAGCATTTACTCTTACGAACGAACTTAACAATTTATAATTTTCTATATTAACAATATTACAGTGCTTATGTAACCATGTCTCTGTGAAGCAGATGACATGTATATTAAATTTCTTAAGGAACAAAGTTGGATATATGTATAATAATTGACTTCCTATTTAAGTTTTTATTTAAGTTTAGTCGAAACAGGTTGAGATCTAACAAGGGCTTACTAAGCGAGAAGAACCGTATGAAGCCGCCAAATTTATTTACTTTCTTTACTTGAAATGAATGTCAATATGTTCAATGAATACGTGCCGCAATTGCCAAGGTATTGGGTTTGGTTGTTTTTTTTTCTTTTGTTTCTCCTGAACCTTTCGCACCTAGAATTAAACTAAACACTGGTCTCCGTCGATCCAAATCTAGGCACTTCTAAGAGCAATGCCATCACGAGCCGATCTAAATGTTAAAATGTTTTTTTACCAAAAGGTATATTTTAGTCCTTATTATTATTTAGAAATATTTTCTGCAATAATAAAAATGTAGCAAGGCGTGTTCTTCTAAATTGTAGATTCTAAACATCATATCACAAAAAACAACCAAAAACCTATCCAACGACAAACTAAGTGTTAACTATTATAACCACAAGGATCTTACTCTTGTACGTGCCGTCAAGAGTATTAACTGCTGCATATTTGTCGATACAATAGCGATAGCCGAGCATCGTTGGGTAACGCAGGAAAGGCACCCTGCACGAAAATCGACCCTCCTGATACATGGCGCCCTGTAATGTAAAATGTGATATTGGTTCCCTTTTATTGGGACTGCATGCTACTACATGTACTGTAAAGACATGCATAGCTGCGTGTTACCTTGCATATGACGCTGCGGCGGCCCGGCGGTCGCGACACACCGCCGAAGCAGTAGGAGCGGGTGCCATTGATCATGATCTCGGTGACGCCTATGTGCGAGATGAGCGTGATGCCGTTGATGCCCGCCAGGGCGAACCGCTGCAGCCCGGCGCGCTTCCTCACCTCCACGTTGTTCTTCATGCTCATTGTGTTCACAATCGCTTGCCAACCGTACACAAACTCGTGCATCGGTCCTGCGCCGTTAACGGTCTTTACATATTTTTTACGTACTCCTATTACCCATAACTTTTTATTTAATATTAACATAAACAGAAGTAATATGGTAATTGAAACCTTATCATTATATTTCAATTTTATTACTATTATGCGACAAAGACAGCATTAACGACAAACCAATGCCGAAGCTGTCGCCGTCGAGGAAATTGAACATCTCGCCGAAGGAGTCGGGCATGAGGCCAGCGATGACGGTGGAGGCCTGGAAACCCTCGTCAGGCAGCATGGGTCCCACCTCGTCGGGTGGCGTGGTCAGCTCGTGCGCCGACTGGTTGTTAAAGTGGCCGCGCGACGAAGCCTAAAGACGCACCGATGCCTTGTTCTCGTTACCACACTCAGGAATCATATTATATAGAGTGGGCGGACACAGTACCCATTACTTGCCGCTAATTACATATTATTTGTGGAGCAAAATTTTATTTCCTAATGATATAGCGTAGACCTACGTAGCGCTTATGTTGGCGATTGCTTGTTGCCGAACGGTTGTCTAATATAGAAAGATATAGATTTTAGGATAGGGTAGATAGTAATATTCACCTTAATTTTATCGACGGGAAATTGGCAATGGACCTCTATTTGTTACGGACCTCGCGTCGTTTTACTTGGTACTATCTTAAAAGGACTTAATAAATTTCCACAATAAAATGGGAAATCTTTTTTATTATGAGTTTCACTTTTTAATTACGAATTAATGTTGTTAAAATTGTTTTTCCTCTATAAGTAAATTACTTATAAGCAAATCATTTAAATATATACTTAACTTTGATATCCATATTGCTAAAAACAGAATAATAAGTTTACACATGACCGAGTAAACGCTGCGAACACAGCACTGAGCAATTGAATAGTGAATAATTGGGGTGTAAAAGGCCATTGTTAGGTTTACGAGAGCTTAATTGATCGTTAAAAATTTCGGTTAAGGTTTCATACTGCAAAATCGTTACATTATTCGTTTATGCAAGGGCAAATATTCAGGTACACTTCGGTTATAATAATCACTATCATTAAAAAGTACCCACTAAGATTAACTGATAAAAGTTAACGGTTGACAAATATTTATTTATATATTTTTTTTCTAGGCTACATGTTAGGTAAGTTCCTGGCGTGATATCGTTTGCCAATTAAAAGAACGGAAAATCAATTTAAAATTGAGATGGGTCCACTGGATGGATTGCCCAGGTTTGAGAAAATACTTTGTACTATTAGAGTGCATGTTTACCAAGAATGATACCTAGTTAACTTAGCATTCTTATTTCCAATTTTTTCCCAAACAGAAATTTTTTATAATTTTGGCTAAAATTTTTAATAATTTTTTTTATTATTTGATTGAATTAAATCATAGTAATTCTTAAACTAATGTTTTTCACGTTTCTATAAAAAGATGGGTTTGTTTTGTTTGCTTTTCGAGGAAATTAAAACAGAAGTAGAATTCAACCATTTATTTAAGGAAAGCGATAATATAAGAATAATTATATAAGAAACATTTGGCACAATAAGTACGATTACGTACCATCGGCCTAATTTGAACAACACCTTGTTACAAATGAGACGCATACGCCATTGTCAGGGACCTCGATATAAATTAGCTTACAAACATCGAATACTGTGATGTTTAAAAATATGTTATAAATGTATATACTACAAGTACAAAATTGTATATAAATGTTAACAGTTGTTCTAGAGATTAAAAGCATTTCGTGGCCACAGAACCTTTCCCGCGCCGCGTCACTGACAAATTCAAGTTCAGAATTGACAGAAAAAAGCCTCCTCTATACAGAGGAGGCTATATCACGGCTTATCTTCTTCCTAAGGTACACCCCTAATTAATTCGTGTGAAAAGTCCGTAATACCGTGTACCTACTTTGAAGTGCTTATCATTTTGACTAGCATAAATTGCATGAAAAACTAATAAAATCATATTTACCGCAAACTAGAACTGAATTTTATTCAGTATGCAGTACAAACAAATATAGTATTTATGAATATTTTAATAATGATCAAAAGCACCAAAGCCAAACTTAGGGATATACACTTTTATCGATAATATGTATTTAATAATTTGTTCAACGATTGAATCATCAAGACTTGTAAAATGCAAATATTTTATTATAAAATATAGTAACCCTATTGAGCCTAGTGCACATAAAAGAATAATATGCAACTAATTCGCAATAGCGAAATTAATACAAAACGAGCCTCTTGATATTGTCGTCACAAGCGTGTATTTTTAATTAATTTGGAGGACTAGCAATAACACCCGGCTTTACTCGGGCTACAATTATAATTTCGCTAAAGACAACATTAGAGTATACATTTTTGACGTCGCAGTACGTCATATTGTTACAAGCTAGAGTTGCAAATCAATTCAAAATTCCTTCCATAAATCAATATACCGAAGAGTGAGCCGAATCAACCTATCACTCTGTGGACACGGGCTAGCTTTATCGAGAGCCATTCTCTCTCAAGGAGAAATTTCCGACCAAATACGTATTTTTTAAAAGTTGTCAAGTCTTTACGATAGCCAATAACTCTATTCGGTTCAAGCAATAATTTATTTCTTGTTTGTAAAAAGGTTCGCCTTTGAAAGAAACTTGCTAAAGTTGGCGCAAACAACTTCTTATTTAACTTTAAGTTGAGAGAGAACATCTCCTAAAGGTACGAGAGCGTTCCTTTCGCATCCGTGTCTCCTATATTCTCTCCTAACTTCGAACAGCTCCTCTTTTAGATGGACTGTCTACACGCCTTTTCTATATATCACATGTCCCAAATAGCTAACTTATTGTTTGTACAGGGCGCATATCTTCGAACTTTGTTTCGAACCATCACTTCTCAATTTTTCGAGTATCTTATCCAAAATTTATATTTGAATCGATATTTAAACCCAGCAAATTAAATAAATAATTTATAGAAACATCCTCAGGTTTTCAGAAAGTCTAAAATAATACATAAGTAGAGTATTATTACATTTTAGAACAAGACTATTCTTGGCCACTGGCCCATTTCCCTTCTCGATCGGTTTTCCACTTTTTTTACATTTTCCACTGATGTTTTTGCTTTTAGTCCGAAGACTATTAAAGCATAATCGAACGTAGAACTCGTGAAATAGTCAGATCACGTGAGCTCGATGGTGCGGGCCGCACGTAGGGTAAGGTAATGTGTAGGAATGTCACCTAGAGGCCATCGAGGTTCCTGCATTCTTTTTAGTAGTTTGAAACATAAAAGGAATGCCTAGAATTGTTCGGAAAGTAACAATAATTTTGTAAGATCGGTCTTGAAAAGAAGTTTAGGTGAAATGTACTATGACTAACAATATTTATGTTCATATTTTATTTTCTTAAGTAGGCCGCGAACTTTTCAATCCATCCTCGGCATGTGTATTATGTCATGGATGTTGCCGATACTTGATGCGCTACGTTTGTGCCGCAAGTTTTATTTTAAACACTAAACTATCCATTTAAATGACAATTAAGACATCTTATTGTGTAAGTGGTAATTTAAAGCGTTAGTTAAAATCGCAAGAATACTTGTTACAATCCTTCACAAAAAAAACTTAATAATTAACGCAATTGCCAACTACATTTCGACAGCTAAGTACTCCAAAATGTAAATATAAAAAAAATATATAATAAAAGCAAACAATAATAAAAATAACTCTCGTACTATACAATAAGATTCCATGTACAGATCTACTACCTTATTAAGATTCTATTATTTCTTTACTTTTACAATATTCTCATATAACACATTCAAGACGATTTGACAAAATATCTCAGAACATACAAAAAGGATTCGAAAAGAGTGAAGATGGTGGTTGCTGGGGGAACGGCGACACCTCACTTACTGCTCCTTGTCCTCGACGGCGGAGAAGAAAAGTTTCTGGCAGAAGTGTGTGAACTTGGCTAGAAGAAAACATGTCATTGTTACCACAACACATATGATAGTATTATTATATTCGTGAGCAAAAAATGAACTCATGCGACTTGTACGAGGTTGAGTTTTTATCCCTTATTGAACAACATATATAACTACATATTGTAGAAATGCACTAAATACCTAATCGTTTTTTATTTCATTGTAGACACATCCCGGTGTTGAATTTTAAGTGCTGATTTATTAGGTGTTCAGTCGTGAAGAAAAACATCGTGAAAAAACTTGTATATATTCGAAATCATAACAAAAAAATATTTTCGAAGATATGTGAAGTCCCCCAATAGTCCCGTAGTGGGGTGGACTATGCAGTGGGACATTCATACGTTGATTAGATATATTATTTTAAAGTGAAAGAATCGTGTTGTCTAAATATTTTCTTATATGATTCATATTTTGTCCATTATTGTGTTGGTCACGAGTTTTTATATATATGGACAAGAAAAAGGTGCGTGTGGGTGTGTACATAAAATGTGTGAGCGTTCACAGTGTGAGTGTGGTGATGCATATGAGGGCAAAGGTATATCATAGGTGTCTGTGTCGTAAATGTGTTGCAGTGCAGAGCAGAGCAGAGCAGAGCAGAGAAGAGCAGAGCACTGACTGGAGGCGGCGTGCAGAAGGTTGGGGCGGGCGCGCACCAGCAGCAGGTAGACGGGCACGCCCGAGAGCGTGATGAGGGCGCCCGCCACCACCGCCGCCGGCTCGCTCGCCACCGGCACCACCAGCAGGAGGGCGCTCGTCGACACGAAAACGCACGGCTTCCACAGCGCCACCTGCACGGCGAGCGGGGCAGCCCGCATGGGCCACACATTTAAAAACCAAAATGAAACGCTTGATATTTTATTTTGTTCATGCGACATAATTTTACTTACCGAAACGCGGCTTAAATATATATTATACCAGATATGTAATATTGTATAGTTGATAGATACTCGATATATATTGTACCGCAGAGGCCCTAAAACCGTGGACATACCTTGATGGGCCGCGCCAACTCGGGCTTCTTGTATCGCAGCCAGAGCACGGCGCTGCAACTGAGCGTGGTGAAGAAGGACTCCACCACGGTGCAGTAAGTGATCAGCGAAGTCAGGCTATTCGGGATCAACATCACCAGCGATATCAGCATCTGCCAAACGACAAATGTTTGTTCATAAACCGTACTAACAACGTAATAAACAAACTAAAAACTAACCGTTTTCATTTATTCCAACCATTGTATGTGAAAGTATCTCATTCATATTTCATATCTAAGTTAATTTACTGTTGACGACGACGATGATGATGATTGAGTTTATCGTGTTTTAATTGAGCAAATAGTTACTATATAAATCTATAACTGTATCATCATACTTACCTGCAGAAGCTGAACAGAGGCGAACTGTCAAAATAAATCTGATGATTCTCGTGTAAAAGTTAGTACATATTCCTTGCAAATTATTTTCCAAAAACTAATCGTATATGTATGTAAATAATTATCTGTGTAAGATTATCTGTCAAACGATTCTTCCGAAAGCTAGAAACTAAAACAACCTTATTCATTGCCACAACTGTATAATAAGTCATTAATGATTGTGCTCATGTGTTACTGTACGCCTGTGTAACCTACCACAGAGAGGGCCACGCATCAGTCTTGGCTGTTGCACGAATAGGCAGGTCCATCAGGGAAAATACCACGACCTCACATAAGACCAGCGTGGAGTTTAACGTTATACTTAGTGTTCTGCGTTTCGTCAGGCTAGTGAGGTAGCCGGAGCTCACTTTATTAAAAAGAGGCAACATTTTGCGGGTGTTGCAAATGTCCACGGGCGGCAGTTATCACTTAACATCAGGTGAACCGCCACGTCGTTTGCCACCTTCTACATCCTACATAAAAAATACATGTTTCCAACATGATTTTTCTAATGCTGTTACTAGCCGACATTGAGACGCGCTTTGATATCGCACGAACCGGTATGCGTTACTTTAGTTAAGCTTTCTTTCATTATTGAGTTGTAAAATTAAGTAGCCTATCTTTCTTTCTTTCTTCACTATTTGTCAGATTCCTCCTTAAGCTTTTTGACAGTCGCCGAGGACGCATACCTAACACAGAATAAAGTAAAAGTCAAAGTCAAAATGTCTTTATTCAACATAGGCTTATTTTCAGCTCTTATTGAACGTCAAAAACTTCCACCGGTTCACTAAACTAGACCTGCAAGAGAAGAACCGGCAAGAAACTCTGCGGTCATATATTTATATTTTATTTCAATTTTTTTTTAAGTATTTAAGTATACACACAAAATTATTTTAGTATAATTTAGCAGGAGCCAGGGGACTTGCAAGTGCAGAGCAAGAGTCATTTCCACACATCCTTGTCCTCAATGTATTCCTCATCATTATAATAAGCCCTTTCCATTAAGGTGGCTTTTACAAAATGTTTGAAATTATTTAAACTTAATTGTTTGTGGATGTCACCTATTCTATTATATAAGTTAATACATCTACCAAGAAACGATTTCCTGGTTTTAGCTAGTCTAAACCTCGGTATTTCCAACGTGTCACCACGGCCCCGACGCGATGTGGTATGTTTTTTTGTAAAATGGTGTAACCTATTTCGTACATACATGATGTTCTCAAGTATGTATAGCGACGGGAGCGTTAAGATGTTTATCTTTTTAAAAATATGCCGAAGGGACTCACGTGGACCCAGGCCATAGACAGCCCGTATCGCTTGCTTTTGCAGTACAAATATCGTGTCTAAACCGGATGCGGAACCCCAAAGTAAGACACCATAAGACATAATACTGTGAAAGTAAGCATAATAAACTAATTTAGCTGTTGCCTTGTTTGTTAGTTACCTGATCTTGCGTATGGCAAAGACGGAAGCGCTGAGCTTTTTAGCTAATTTATCTATATGCGCTCCCCATTGCAACTTGGAGTCAACGCATATTCCAAGGAATGCCGTTGAATCCTCAAGAGGTAGGATGTTGTCATCAATAAAGATTCCTGGTTTGTGAGACAGCTTTGATAATGAAAATCTCATACATTTAGTCTTAGTGGCGTTCAAAAGTAAATTATTGGTCGCAAACCAGCCCGACACGACACTTAGTATTTCATTTGGTTGCTCTAATGTAACATCTTTCCTATTAACCTTAAACAACAGAGAGGTGTCATCCGCAAACAAAACGATTTGAGACTTTTTTTCTACCACATATGGCAAATCATTTATGTAGACTAAAAACAGGAATGGGCCCAGGATCGATCCCTGAGGAACACCCATTTGTACAATTGATCCCGATGACAGTATACCATTTATAATTACTTTTTGTTCCCGATCGCTAAGATATGAGGAAACAAAATTAATGGCAGATTTTCGAATACCATAATATTCCAATTTCTTAATAAGAATCTTATGATCTACACAGTCAAATGTCTTGGAGAGGTCACAGAACACACCAATGGTGTCATGGAACGTCTCCCAAGACTCCAGGATATGCGAAATTAATTCTACTCCAGCATCAGTTGTAGATCTACCTTTCGTAAATCCGAACTGATGCTGGTTCAAGATTTCATATTTATTAAAGTGGAATAGCATCTGATCCAGCATGACTTTCTCAAATATTTTACTTAAGGCTGGTAAGATAGAAATGGGTCGGTAATTAGAGGAATTTTCTCTTGAGCCTGATTTATAAACTGGCACAATTTTGCTACATTTCATTAATTTTGGAAATTTGCAAGTATCTAAACATAAATTAAATATTTGGGCTAATAAACAAGCAATATCACAGATTATAAGATCTAATGCCCATATTGATACGCCCCATAGGTCTTCAGTTTTCTTTTTATTAAAATTTTTAAAAGTCTTAATAAGATCATTCGGACCTTTGTGGCAAAACTTAAAATCTGGAATGGAAATATTAACATATTTATCCAGATATGTTGCTGCCTCTGTGGGACAGTGTTGCAAATGCCTAGTAGTTTCAAAAGGTATATTTGTGAAAACATTTAGAAACTCATTTGCAACTTTATAATTTTCTTTTATAACTTTGCCATGTACATTTAATGTAAAATCCACTTTTTTTTCATTATTTTTACCAGTTTCCTTATTTATCACTTTCCAAGTAGTTTTAACTTTGTTTGCGGATAATTTTATTTTATTGCTCAAGTAGTCTGCCTTAGCTATAATACAGACCCTTTTAAAGATTTTTGAAAACTTCCTAACATATTCATGGAAGTTAGGATCACAAGTTAATGATTTTATACTGTATAGATCATAAAGTCTATCCCTGCTCTTTCTTATTCCCTTAGTCGCCCATTCACTGAAAGAAAGTTTATTGCTTAAGGTTATTGTTTTCCTTTTTGGCAGATTTTTATTAAATTCTCTGCTAATCATACTAGACAGGGTATTGAAATCGCCATCAGGATCATTAAGGGTTAATTTTAGCAAGGGTAGTTTATACTTAATACTATCCCTGAACTTCTTAATTCTGTTTTTAGTTACAAGCCTACATTCATTTATAATAAAATTATTCTTGTTATTAATGTGAAGGTCTATTTTAAGGGCTTTATGATCTGATCTAACGCCACTCAATATAACTTGATTAATAATTTTACACTTTACTATTATATTGTCTATGCATGAGGCACAGGATGGGGTTACTCTTGTTGGTTCATTGAAGATGCAATTAAGATTAAAAGTTTCAAGAAGTGATAGGAATCTTACTTTGTCCGGTGAATCTGTTAGTAAATCAATGTTGAAATCACCACAGATGACTATTTGCTTTTTCATTTTAAATATTTTACTTAATACATCTTCAATAATTAACAAGAAGTTCAAAAGGTCTGACGAGGGAGCTCTATATACACATAATATTAGATAACCTTCTGTCTCTGCACAAGTAATCTCACATTGTCGTTCAACAGAGTATGCAACAATATCACTTCTTTCTTTCAGTTTCAAAGTGTTTTTATGTAGGATAAGACATCCCCCTCCCATAGCAGTCACTCTGTTGAACTTACTGGCTACTGAATAATTTTTAATACTAAATGTCATATCATTGAGCAATGTCTCAGTAATATGTCTCAATAATACAATTAATAATACGTGTATACTATTACTATTAATACTGTTCTTTTCCAGAATTAAAAGCACGGACAATATTAATGCGGACGGAAAAATGTAATAACACAAGTTTCACACACTCCTATTCAAGCAATGATCTACAAATACTTTGCTGTTGCTGAAAGTAGTAAATGTACATAAAATATTCTTATAAAAATATCAACGAAAAGATCCGTTTTCGAAGCAAATTATTGAACAGTCGTACACTCATTATGAAAATACATCCAAAATACTTACTGAACTCATTTTATGAAAAAGTATTATTTAATTTGCCATACGTAGCCAATGATATCACATACAAATAAGAGGATATAATTATATTATTTATTGTTGTTTTCTAATTACAACATTGCCCTTACTTTAGGATAAAATTATCCTGTGTTGTAAGGACATTTGATAAACATAAATTAAATCGTTATCCACGATTCCAGATGCGAATCTGTGGGTCACACAAATAGTTGTCTCGTGTGGAAATCGAACCCACTACCCCCGACGCCGAAGCCAATACCTTGGCAACTGTGCCACGGAGTCATCGATATACATCTCTAACTGTGAATTGAATATTGGTAACAGCTGTAAATCCCCAACGTCAACCTACATAATTATATGTAAGTTGGCGTACAAAGAAGGGTAAGACGTTCGTGCTGTGCGACGATTGCCCAACGCACTCGTTGGAGTGTTCCACTAATTAATTCAGTTCGAATAATGCCGTGATCTAATTAACACAGTGTGCTAATGTGTTATTTCGGTAATTGCCAAAAGTGTCCACCACCGCCAGGCCGACATATATAGGTGGTTATTAGACATTTGGTGCGTCAATACGCCAAGGCTCACCAGGAAGAGCAGCGAGGGTAGCGGAGACATGCAGGCAAGGTTGATGTGCGCCAGCAGCTCGGGCATGTGCCCGTTGCGCGCACCGGCGAAGCACATCCGCGAGGAGGTCATCACGTGCACGCTGAGCCCGCCCGCCACGGCCACGGCCACGAGCCCCGGCATCGCCCAGTGCAGCCAGCCCAGCGCGGCCGCCGCAAAGTCCTGGCGCGCCCGGGACCGCCCACCACATCAATAGGCGCTTCTACGCTTCTCGCCCAGCCATGTACTCGGTTAGTGATACTCATGTTTCACGAGCCTCCTCGGATGGTCAATAAAGCATCACAGCCTTTTCTTTTTTATTATACAAAATTTGCTTTGTGTCTTTGTCAAATTAATAGATTGTCGTAATATATTTGTGTATTCAGATACTCACGACAGCGATCGCCTCAGTAGCTCTGACGCCCACTGGGCCCAAAACGGCCAGGTACGAGAGGTTGGCCAGCAGGTAGATTGCTGTTACCAGCGGCAGAGACAGGTAAATCGCCCGCGGCAAGTTCACATACGGATCTCGCAATTCCTCCGTCATAAAATTAAGGTAATTCCTTTGAAAGTGGAGATTTCAATAATTTGAATAATGAAATATGACAATAATTTGATTAAATAATAAAATTTCTTTAAACTATTTATTTCCTTACCAGCCAGAGTACGAGAATATTCCAGAATAGAAAGCCACAGACCAGTCACTAACAGATGTCTTGGTGCCTGCCCACCCATCGTGGAAATTTTCTACTTTTCCTAAAATGAATAATTACACAATTTTGAATATAGTGTTTCATACTCCTATGTATATACTGGTATATGCTATGTATGAAATAGTTATTAGATAATATCTGTTATAGAATTTGTATGCACCTTGAGAAATCCAAACTATTCCTCCAATAATAATGACTATAAGAGCAAAAATTTTTGTAAACATGAAAACATTTTGAATTCTTGTCGTAAATTTCACATCATATGCATTTATGAATGTTATTAGACCTGAAACAAAAGGTATATTTTTCCATTAGCGCGCAGGTGTTTTTCGACCTAATCATAATTGAAAGTTATTTTTCGGAAAATTTGTTAGGTCGAAAAATACCTGCACACTAATGGAAAATTGTATCAAATATGAGAAACGGCATTTTAGAACATGTGCAAAAAAATTCATATGCGTAAGAAGAAAACTTTAAACAAAACAATTGAACGGAAATACATAAATATATTTTGAATGTGAAAGGAGCACGCAGCAGTGTTCACTGATGCACGAAAAACAAGGTCCGCTTGGAAAAGTACCATGACCTCACAGAAGACCAACGTGAAGTGGAAGTTCTATACTTCTGCGTTCCGTCTGATGAGTGAGGTAACAGGGGCCCATTTTATTAAAAGTTGTAAAAGTTGTGCAAAATGTGCATGGGCGACGGTTATCACTTAACATCAGGTGAACCACCAGCTCGCTTGCCATCTTATTACATTAAAAATAACTATTATTAGAAATAATAATCATATGGAGCACGTAAAGTTGTTAATATTATTGTACAATCAGTATACTTACAAATTGTAACAGCAGCTATTAGTTTTTGACTCAATGGATCTATTGGACAATTTGGGAACAGTGGTTCCAATAAGTTGTTGGCGAATGTCAATGCCATTATAGCATTGGTGCTAGGTCTGAAACCAATATGTGCTCTATAAATTTAAACATACATTTTGAGCTTACATCACTCCGCCCTGATTCTAACGCCCGGTACCTATATTTACAAAATTACTTGTTTTCCTCACGAGCCGTTACATTACCATGGATATTTAGTTACAAGTTAAGTGTATGAAAGTTACGAAGCTATGTAACTAACGGATGAGAGGGCTCTGGAAGGCATCATTCGAGTAACGGATTTTAGTTACCATTTTTTTCCTTTAATTTACTTTACTGGCATATCTACATTTATTTCGAAACGTCAAAGAACTGTCAAAATTACCGTTCACGTCGGTTTACTTCGCATGACATCAGTATTTATTTAATATAATAAAGTACCTTTAAACGAGCGAGAATTCTTATATAATAGGTATATAATCAGGCACCAAATGATTTTTATAAAATTTTATTGGATGGTTTCGGGGGCGATAAATCGATCTTAAGCTAGTTTTAATTTTAAGAAAACTTCGTTTTATCCGTGTAAATACGAAGGTGAAAAAGGTGGTTTCGCTACAATCTAAATGGTTATAATAGCTCGGGCGGTTCCTAAGCCGGAAACGTAATTCAGATGTTATTTTTCGAGTCCACATGTTTTTTTTTCCCTTTTCAAGTTCTTTGTTTTATGAGCAAAAGAATCGAACACATTTCGGTCATCCAGGTATTTACGACTAAACGTTACAAATCAAACTTACACAAATATAAGATTCGCATCCCACAGGTAAAGAAATGCTGGTAGTGGTCCGAAGGCTTCATTAATGTAATGGTAATCCCCTCCACTTTGTGCTAGCGTGGTACCTAAAAATAAATAATATGAATTTCAGTAAAATGTGGGTAATAATCGTTGACAACCAGCACTTGAGTAGGGTTTGCGAAAATAACGGATCACAAAATACTCCGATCCGTAAATACATAGGTATTTAGTTTCATTGCTTTCTAGAGTGCCTACTTCAGATAAATTTCTGTGGCACCCATTTTTCTCCGTTTTTTTCTGCACTACTTTCTCTTTCATTCCATGCATCAATGTGGTTTTCCTCACAGCATCAGTTCGGAGTCAATATAAAGCTATAAAGCTGGAGGGACTCTAAGCTAATAGTGTCCAGTAGTGACCAGTCTATACCTTGGTTGTCTTTCCGCTACTTTAATAAGTAAAGTTGGTTATACGGACTGTGACCTCGATGAGTCCTAACCGTTTTACTATAATGTGGGTGCAGTGAGAACCACCTGAAACCCGGTTGTTAAACTTCTCTGAGGACCCATTTTGTTACATCTTTAAATCAATTAAATAAAATCAGGAGCCTGCAATTTCACATTTCTCTGATATCAGTGTGCGCCGGATACTATGCCAATGAATTTATTTCGGCATGGAGTTTTTTAAATAAACTAATCAACAAAGTCTAAGATTCAGAACGTGTGACAAATTTTTCGTAAAACCTTGAAAAATGAATTAGCTAGTAAAAATGTTAGGAACAAAATAAACATGATAAAATACCTAGTTTTATAAATTTTAATTTTGTTAAAAATGTTAAGCTTCAATCAATTTTACCACAACTGTGATGAATTCCTGTTATTTTGTTTTAAGTTTCATCATTACTGAATAGATTTTAAGCTAAGTATCAAGTCTATATGGTGTTCCGCACAGATTTCATATGGGTGAGGATTTCATCTTCATGCAAGACACACACTGAGCACACACTGCAGATGCCGCGATGAACGTTTTCCGCTAGCAAACCCGCTGGTCCCGTCTTACGACATGAATCCTATTGAGCACGCCTGGGGTTAGATAGATTACTCGGTAGAAAGTATCAGCCTGTATATCCCGCTACTGGGTAAAGGCCTCCTTTGTATAGAGGGTATAGGGCATAGTCCACCACGCGACCTCACTGTGGATTGGCAGACTTGACATATCTTCGAAATATATATTTTTTTGTTATTTCGAAAATATACAGGTTTCCTCACGATGTTTTCCGTCACCGCTGAGCACGTGATAAATCGGTACTTAAAATTAACAATTTTACGGTGCCAGCACCGTAAAATTGTTATTTTTTGATTTGTTGATTTTTTTAACGCGGTAGAATGGCATTTAAACAACTTCCCCAAAATGTGATTTTTTTTTGTATTGTTGATATTCACCATGCCAAAGCGGTATAGAGCATTAGTTAATGCTTTAGGTCAAGGACGAGCAACGCGCGGCCCGCGGGCCGCTTGCGGACCCTTAAGGAGCTGTATGCAGTAGAAATAGGTGTTTCAAAAGGTTTTTTAGCAAAATCTACACATTTTATAGCAGCAAAAAAAAATATATGTTAATCTTGATCGTACATTCTAATGGAACATTGTTTCCAAAACATATTCTCAATATATTTTTTCGATAGAAAAGTCATGAAACTACCTCTAAAAGAGAAATGCAAATCCAAAAATGAACGTAATACATCAAATCTTAATGAAATTAATGTCAGTGGTGTAGAATATATTAATAAAAAGGATTGTTGTTTTAATTTGTTGATTGATGAATAAACCAACTTTTAGTATTAAAATTTTTTAACGTCATCTATTTTTTTATTAAAATATTTAATTTTTCACCCCAAAACGAAAATTTATCTTATACTTTTTCCGTCTTACGCCACTTTATTCGAGGAGCTTGCACAGCAATTTAGTACTGTTCCATCTTATATTTAGGGGATAGTGGCCATGGGGATCTATCCAAATTCTAAGTCATATATCTTTATTCAGTATAGAAGCATTACACTTGCTTATTGATTATCAAATAATTACTTTAAAAAACCTTTAAGTTAAACGGTTTTATTTTGTTTTTTTTTTGTTAAATTTTTTTTTGTTAATATTGTATTGTCATCTAAATTAAATGTGTGTACCAAATTTCAGATCAATCTGACAACGGCAAGGTGCTTAAATTTCAATTTCTAATTTTGACCCAAATAAATAAACAAACAAATTCCGTACAGGTCGAGCTAAATAAAACCGTTTAAAAACACCACTATATCCATTAGCATAGCTCATGTATTACAAAATTTTAAAGTATTAAACATGGATAACCTCATTCAACAGACAAAACGCAACAGTACAAAACTACCACTTCACGCCAAACTTCAATGTCCATGAAAAGACCGCAGTCACAAGGACTCAAAGTCTTATCTGATATTACAACTATTTCACTTATTGGATCGGTTGGTGTGGTGTGGTGATTTACCCTTACTTCCTGTTTATTTCGGCTTACGAGAGCCAAGTACGTTTTAGGCGACTGGTAATGTAAGGACTGTTAATCATCCTAACTCATAAGCCATGGCATTTCTAGCTCTTGCCAAAGCTAGTCTAATTTCCAACTGAGTCAATTCTTGTCATAAAAAATTGCAGCTGGTTCAATTGCAGCTTTTTTCACACGACGAAAACTAATTGATTTGTGCAGCTGCACATATTTGTGCTTTATAAAGTAGTAGCTGCTGCCCGCGACACATCTGCATAGAATAGGCTGAAGGTGTAATATTAAGACAGAAAAACAGATATACATAAAATATGTATATAAATTATAGCTCATGTCTTATTCTGATGTATAAGCTATATTATTGTAAAGTTTCATTAAAATCCATTCAGTAGTATTTTTGTGAAAGAGTAACAAACATCCATCCCTACATACAAACTTTCGCCTTTATAATACTAGTAAGGAAGTAAGGATATAAAAAAGCTAGTCCCGTTCTTTGTAAACATTAATAAAATTTATTGATTTGTACAATTTCGTTATTTAAAAAATTCGCAGGATTTGTTTGCATTGTCACAATATCATTTTATTTACATTTGTTTGATTTACTAAAGCAAACAAAAATATAATTTATATTAAACTACCATTATCAATCCATGGATCAATTTGTTCCAGAAACACAATGCTACTTCCACTCAATCTTATTTATCTCCCAACTTTTAATATCTCTGTACTGTGAACAGTAAAAATCTTTGTTCAACAAATAATCAATCACCGTTTTGATTTTATGCACTCTAATTTCTTCATTGAATCTATTCATCTGTGGAATATACTACCTCTCCAAATAAGGATGTCTAAGAGTTGCTATACATTTAAAATTGAAAAAGTTTATCCGCAGAATCATTCTGCTCTTAAATATTAGAGAATTTTGATATATTTATGTATGTCCACATGTGTCTTTTTGTATTTATTATTATAAAATATGTAAGTAGGTTTATTAATGTTAGTGTAGTTTTGTATTCTGCATAGTACAGTATTAGGGCCACGCAACACTGTTGCATTAATGGCCAGGTCCTTCAGAGTAAGTAGCACAAACTCACAGAAGACCATCGTAAAGTAGAAGTGTTAGACTTCTGCTTTTTGTCTGGTGAGTGAGGTAGCCGGGGCCCACTTTATTTAAAGGTGGCAATGGATTTCCAAATGGCCATGGGTGGCGGTAATCAATGAACATCAGATGAACTGCCAGCTCGTTTGCCACTTTATTACATAACAAAAATAGTAAGTTATAATACTAATAGTCTTTACTTTACGTGTTTCTCATATTGTTTATAATTATATTTTATTTTTGCACCTACCTCAACTTCTCTGGATCACCCATTAGGTTGACTGGCAGAAAATGCCTTTGGTATTAAGTCTGCCTTTGTACAAAGATTTGTTATTCTTATGCATAAAGTTTTCAATAAACAAATGAAGGGTAACCTCTAACCGTCAGTCCAATATAATTTTCGTTGGTCAATATTAATGTTACATATAAAAATATATAACTACTCAAATTACCTATGTGATACATCTTGCTCTCTCCGAATTTGTTTTGTACTATGCCCTACAAACAGGGTCCATAAAGAACTGTTTTATTATTTATCTTAACACCTTTTGCAACTTAATGGATGTGCAGTAAATAAATAAATATAACTCCATACATATAAAGATTATCATTTGTTCAACCGACCAGATTACAACTTCTGATTTAACTTTGGTGTACAACTTATCATAGCATTTGTTTTAAAAATATAAATATAACACAATCATTTAAAAAGGAGTTTTAAGAGCTTGGAAAATAATTCCTTTTATATTCTATATATTCTGTATACTCTTCTATATTTGCAAACATTATTGGCAAAAAGTTTATCAGAATTCCTTTACAACCTATATAAATATATCATCATTTCATATAAAAGTCAAGTAGTCATCTGTATTCAGTTAATCATGTATATGCGTTTTGTAATGGCTATAAAAAAGTTTATGGTTATTTCACAACTACTTATTCATTAAACCATATAATGTAGTTTCAACTCATATCTACGATAAAGACAATTTATCAAAGAAGCAATTTCACTTCATTGAAAATCCAACAGTTCATATGGATACTAACCATAATTCATTCCATAACTCTTTAAATTCAAAATTAATGTAGACCTTTGGAAATATCATATTGACAGTATCCATGTTTTGAAAGTGGCTAACCTTGGGATCGGAATATATCCAACAGAAGAACGGGACAGTGAAATTATATGAAATGAGAAAATAATTTTATATCCATAAGCCCAATTTTATGCTTGTAGTTTTTCACTGCATTGCACCAATTTTTTTTTTTTCAAATAAACAATATTTTTATTAATTATCCTTACCTAATTCAGCATACGACAAAGCCCCTAGGGTCGCCAAGAGTCCACATATGATCCATACGGATATTGCACCCCACACTGACCCCGTTTTTTCTAAAACTTCCTTGGGTGAAATGAAAATACCACTCCCGAAGATTATACCTAATATAATAGCGACACCTTCCAAAAGTCCCAATTGCTTGCGCATCTTTACTCTCTCGTTACTCATTTTTGGAATCTTATGTTTCAAACGTGGAGATTTAAACAAGTTTGTGTTCTAGGCTGTTTGAAGTGATGTTTTAGCTCAATTTAACCTATACTGCATAGAATACAAACGAGTAATTGACCTATCACATTTCTAATTATTAGACCAGCATAAATCAGCCTTGGGTTTTAATTGCAGTTGCTTTTAAGCTGGTGAGTTTTATAATCTATGTGTCGAAAAGCTATGGACTTTGAAAGTGTAATTAACTCTCCAACTTATTCAAGCTTTGGTACATCTTTATCCGTCACAAATCGCACATTAGATTATAACGTATCAACGTAAACGACTAATTAAGAACTTATGACCTAGATTGTATTATAGTAGATAATTTTCACTCCACTTTCCATTCACACTTCAAGTACTGGCACAACCACATTTTATATTGTTATTTTCGTTGAAACCCCTTTTTCTTGTATTTTAATTTTTTAGAATTGCCATAATAACTAAAAACTTCGGCCGATTCCGCCTCCAATATATTCATAGATTATCAAAATATAGAAACCGAAGCATAACGCTTTTTCAAACACTGCATGCACAACATGACACTGTTTGGGTCTTAATAATTATATATTTATGTATATTGTATAAATATGAATCAATCCTTTAACTATTTCATTATCGTTTTAGCATCTGCACGGTGATAGAGACCCTACCGAATCAATGACCAACACTGCGCTGAGCGTGCATTACATTCACCTGCTAACATACACCAGACCACCAGGGGCTGCGTGACTGTTGGCGAACGTGGGGCCCTCGATTCGCAGCCTACTAACACACTATATTCTCGTGTGCCAGACCGCTTATGAATCGCTGACGTCGTGTTAATATTGACATTTAATACAGCTTCTCCATGCGGTCCTTACTTTTTATTAAACTTTTAACTTTACATTTTGGTTTTCGTTAATTATTAATTTTCGTAAGTGTACTAGTGTAGGATAATAGTGATTTACCTATGCCTTTTTATGGATAACCGCCACCCATTGACATTTGCAACACCCGTAGGATTGCAGATGCGTTGCCACCTTATAACAAAGTGGGCTCCTTACTTGTCATCTTGTTACACTCTGACTTGTTATCTAATTTACTGATATAACTTTGTATTATACAGCGTGTCGTTACCAAAGCGACTGACGGAGCGAATGAACACACATATAGAGGATAAATTTTTAAAATTGTATCAAACATTTACATTCTTTAAACATCAATATTTACAGAGTTATTAAATTTTCCAAAACAAAGAATTTTAGAACACCTTACGCATAAAACTGTAACGTTAAGTTCATTTGTAAAGGTCACAAAGCATATGAATGGGTTGAATGAATTTAAAAGAGACAAAACATACTATTAGAAGGAAAGGCTTGTAATGCGACGGCGTGGCAACGAATGAAAAAGTCTCTGAATGTATGAATCAGTCAGTTGTAGTTGTATAGGATGTTACAAATTTTGTTTCTTTTTTACTTAATTAGTTTGTATGAAAAATATATTTTTTAATTATGGATTTTTTAACGTTAATATTTTTTTATGATTATTGGCAAGTAGTGTTAGACGTGTGTTCATTTATTGTCGCGATGGTAACGACACGCTGTATAATATATTGGGCTTCAAGACCGGCCTCATACAATCGAAACTCTGAACGGAATTCATGGCAAAAAAATGAACATGCTTGCCGACCGTACAATTAATATATTTTGATGCAAGGAACCTTCTTAAATCCAACCCAAAAACTGCTAACTACAACACAGTCCGCATCTACAGGCTGGCAAGCCGTGTAGGCGGCACAATCATTTACTATCAAATTAATGTCCTTGCCCTGTAGTCCGTCCGATATTCCCGAACTTACTGCCTTTGCTATTGCTCAATCGACACAGAACACTTGTTCTAGTTTCTGCCTATTTCTCATTGAATTGAATAAAACCCTACTGAAAAGTGTTTTAGAATCACTTTTAACCTAGGTACGCTCCTTCAATGTTAACTGCAGATTACCTAAATGAATTCAGCCTAACATATTCAAAATAATTTTGAAGATCATCTCAATTTCATCGCTCCTGCGATTCCAACCAGATAGATATCTTTTGGGATCGCAGGAGCGATATTTTACTATAAGCGCGACTGTTCAACACCGCCGTCGACTTAGTCATCGAAAGGGGTAATAGTTAGACCTGCTGTGGTCCGTCCGAAATACTACACTTACACAGTGCTAGCATAAAAAAAAAACAATTAATATTTCGCCCTGGCCGTAACACGTAGGAAAAAACACAGCGTTCAAGGTATAATATGTACACCATATACTATGTCTATAAGGTGTAATATGTGGTGGTAGGGCCACGCGTCAGTGTTCGCTGTTGCACGAATAAGCAGGTCCGTCCGGGTTAGTACCACGACCTCACTGAAGACTGGCGTAAAGTAGAAGTGTTGTACTTCTGCGTTTCGTCCGGTGAGTGAGGTAGCCGGCATCCACATTATTAAGAGGTGGCAATGCATCTGCAACTCTACGGGTGTTGCAAATGTCCATGTGGCAGGCGGTTATCACTTAACATCAGGTGAACCGCTAGCTCGTTTGCCACATGCTCACATAAAAGAAAACCATTAGTATAGACAAAGACCATTGAGGTCACGGTCCGTACTGAACCTTGAACACTTACCACCCACACCATCGTCATAAAACTCTATTAGCACTAAAGTGTTTAAAATAATACTAAAGTAACATAATCAAATCTTGACTTGAAACTATAACCTATGAATTTTTTTTTTATGGAAAAAAGGGTAAACGACGGGTATGTGATTACCGCCGCCCATGAACACCTGCAACACCCGAGGGCTCACAAATGCGTTGCCAGCCTTTTACGAAAGAGTATGCTCTCTTCTTGAAGGTTCTAACGTTTCGGAAAAGCCGCCGGCAACAGCTGATTCCACAGAGTGGTTGTGCGAGGCAAAAAATGCCTTGAAATCGCGCTGCTGTGGAACGCTGGACATCGAGGTGTTGTGGATGAATTGATTTTTGGCTCTGGCGTAATGTCCAATGGTGAAATTCAGCGGCTGGGATCAATCCAAACAAATCCTAGGAACACTCCCCTTGATTAATGCGGTAGAAGATGCAGAGTGATCCAACATCTCTACGCAGAGCTAAAGGATTAAGCCGATCGGAAAGGCTTTGATAGCCGCCCTACGTTGAATGCGATCAAATGCAAGAAGCAGGTAATAGGGGGTTCACGCCCAGAAGTGGGAAGTACTCCCAGTACTCCATGTGGGGCTGAATTTGCGCCTTATAGAGATTTAGGCGTTGAGCAGCCGATGTACTGTCTCGCCTTGCTGAGCACACCAATCTTCCGAGACAGAGACAGTACGTAGTGTTGTGAAACACCAGCATTGACAAATCAAGGATCAGAGCATGCACCGTCGACGACGACCTTGATGCTCCGATTTGCCAAAAAACTGGTGATCCAATTGTATAATTTCTCGGGAAGCCCATAGAAAGGCAGCTTCGAAAGAAGCGCTTTGTGCCATGCCCGATTAAAGGCCTTCGCTATGTCCAGACTGGCTGCAAGCGCCTTCCCCTTGCTCTCAACTGCTTCTGCCCATCGATGTGTAAGGTAGACCAGAAGATCACCGGCTGAGCGACCCCGACGAAAGCCATAAGGCGGTCGCTAATCAGCCGGTCAATCCTCTAGATACCGCAAGAACTGGTATTTGATAACAGACTCTATTATCTTGGACAGCAAGGAGGTGATGGCTATTGGCCTGTAATTGGACGGATCCGAACGGTTGCCTTTTTTAGGGGTCGGGTGCACTAAAGCGGCCTTCCATGATTTCGGGACTACGCCTAAAGTATAGGAGTGCTGGAAAAGACGCGTTAAAACCGGTGCCAACTCTGGAGCACATATTTGCAACACGATCGGAGGGATGCCGTCGGGCACACTCGAGCTGTGAATGTCCAAGGAAAGAAGTGCTTTGCGAACTGCACTTTTCTGAAATTTTACCTCCGGCAACGTAGCGTCGCACAGGGGGATTGATGGTGGTGTGTTTCTTCGGTCATCTAAAGTCGAGTTGGACGCCAAGAGAGAGCCCAGAAAATCGGATTCGGATTCTCATTCACGGCATGGGCTGGAAAAGATGGGTTACAGAAATTCCCTAAGACAGCTTTGGCGAAAGACCAAAACGCACGTGTTCCCGATGGGAGATTCGCCAATCTCTCGCTAATTCCGCCAGTGTGCTCCAACTTTACCAAAAACGTTTAGCTTTAGCAATAACCTTTTTGAAGGACCTAGAAGCAGAGTTTTACTACTTTTTAATGAGCTGGTCTTTACATCACTAGACACCGAAGCTTCAGCCCAGGCTCGGTGGCAGGAACGACCAACCAAAGCGGGGATTTGCCACCGATGGGTATTGCAGAAAATGGAATAAACAGTTCCATACCTTGAAGCACCACATCGGTGACAGAGTCATCAACGGCGTCAAGATCATTCAACGAGAGGCAAATCTTACCACATCCCGTCCCAATCTCCAGACCTATGGCGCCATACGCGGCGGCTGCCTGCGAAGCGAGGCCGTGTAGAGCGCGCAACTGGCACTGTTCTCCTGACAAGACAGCGGTCCAACAAACCTAGAGGCGAATCTACGGAAACCAGGTAGCCGTCCGGATGACAGGTCAGCAGAAGGTCCAACAGGGAAAATGTATGATCCTCCACATCTAGAATTCGCGTTGGCGAGGTGTGTCAGATCATAAGTTATTGCGAAGTGGTGAACAGATCTCCCCACATGATCGGTGTTGCATGAACTAAACCATTCGGCGTGGTGGGCGTTAAAGTCGCCAAGAATCACGATCTGTGCTGATGGGATCTGCTGCAGCACGAAATCTGCCATTTGGATGTGCTCAATGAGTCGGTCAGTTTCGGCATTACCGCAATGGGACCTATATAGGCACGAGTAGATTCGCGGATGGTCATCGCAGTCTACCTGTAGCCAGATGATGTATAGGTCCCGTCCTTCAAGGCTGCCGAGGCGACGAGAACAGATATGCTCTGTGATGTAAACGCACACCCACGCCCGCGATACAAAGGAACATTCCAATTTGTACCCAGGGTAGGAGAGGAAAGAGGTATCAGCCGGAGGAGATATCTGATTCTCAGTGAGGGAACTGCAAGGCCGGCTTTGTCGTCTCTAGGAGGTAGTGGACGGCATTAAAGTCAGAGTGAAGTCCCCTGATGTTGCACAAATCCACGGAGAGCGTGAAAGGGGGGTTGCCGAAGTGTGCCTGACACGTTTGCCTCGAGCAATGGGAGTTGAGAGTGGTATTTTGCCCCACCCAGAATACGTGAGGCAGCCTGAGTGCCTACGCTCAGAAAACGAATAGTCATTTGGCCGCAGCTGCCCAGGGGGGGGGGGGGGGGTTCTCCAGAACCACTAGTGTTGGTACCCCCTGGGGTAGGTTTTTTCCGATACCGCTAGCATGGTATAGAAGAAGGAGGGGACTGGTGAGCATCCGCCAACCTCACTCACCAGACGAAACGCAGAAGCATAAAGCTTCCACTTTACACCGGTCTAACCTTTAACAAAATTTAACAATTTATGGAGTCGGTGACAAGTCAAGTATATCTGATCTGAGCATAAAATCCTTCTCTTAACTTTATTACTCAATTTAAGTGGATTAGATATATAATTAAATGCATATATTATGTATTAACTGATGTTTTTGCTTTCAGTCCCGAGACTATTAAAGCTTCATCTGACGGGTAACGCATGTGCTCATGCGTGCGTTTAAGTATGGTGTGTCATCTAAGGGCCATCGAGGTTGCGGTTCGGACCGAATCCCCGATGGCCGTCAACTGCGCGATTAGCTAATCGGTGGCTGGGAGCGGTGAGAACCGCCCCGGAACGCGGATGTATCTTGTGTACGCGTTGTGTTGGTCTCACCGTGCTCGGAAGCGAGGGCGAACTAGTGTGTTTGTTGTTGCACTAACTGTGGGTGTAGTGTTATCCGGCGGGTCCCCGGCGGTGGGTCCGGCGTTCTAAGTCCCCTTCCTCGACCGGGTCGATTAGGACGTTTCGCGGGCGACGCTTGTTGACGTTCGCGTTTGTGTCGGGTTGGTAATTTGATGCGCTTACCACCAGAGGTTTGGGATGATGTTCAGCTTTATCGAACATCATGAAGATGAGAACCGTTTGGTCAGGTCTTTAAAGTATTCGCGAATCGCCGGGAGTCTGCAATCGCTGTGCAGGTCGACGTTGCGTTGATACCACTGCGCACCGGTTGCGCGGTGAATGAATTTAATTTGATCTATTTGCAACTTGTACAAGCGAGTACTTGCGAGTAGGGTGCGTGTGGGCGAAGGTCATGTACGCAAAGGGCATAATGAAATGCATATAAGTATAACTATCTTTTAACCTATTTATTAGATAAACGCAGTATCCTTTGTCACCGATACAAAATTATCTGTGAGTCATAAGATTCTAACAGATGGCGTTGTACGATAAATTTATCGGCTGGATTGGGTAAGTATCCGATAGATGGCGCTATAATAAAAGTAGAAACGTATGGACTCGGTAGAATTGGCGCAGAAGTTGCGCGGGCCTGCTATTTGACTTATATTTATAATTGTTACAAACCTACTAACGCACCTTAAAACTGACGTTTAAACTGACAATCAAATATATTGCACAAAAATTTATATTATTAGTATCTTTTTAAAATAATTTGGGGCTTATTTCTGGATCAGGGTCTGGATAATACTGAAGTAAATCTGCTACAGGTGCCTCCTGGTCTTCATAGAAATCACAAGCAAGTAGGTATTCCCTCTTTGAGTAGTCGTCTCCTTTGCAAAACATTTCGCCTGAAATTATATATAATTTGTCAGACAAATGTCGGCAATTTATCAAAACTAAACATTACAATTACATTTTCGGTTTACCTTCAATGTCCATGATGTGAACTGGACTTTTTGATTCTAAAGCGCCAACGCAGTAATGCTCTTCGGTTAAGTCGGGATGCCAATACATGATTGCGTCCCTACAGGAGGTGCCCGCAATGGGCAATAATATTCTATCCTAAAAATTGTGACCGAGTTTATTGGTACAATACATAATAATAGGGGAAAATATTTATAACATAGTTTACATACTTTACAAATTATTTTATTATTCACTATAGGTTCCTTTACTTCACCAGTGCAGAAAAATTTTCGCTTTTTACGCATTATTACAGTACTTATTTCTAAAACTGTTTTAATACTATTTCCTGAAATAAATAAACGTTATTTTGAATATGCTCTCTGTATTCAGATCTAGTCTATTTTTTAACTTTCTGTTACCCTTTTCTCCATTAATTGCTTCAAGTTCACGCATTCCCCTCACTTGAGTTTCTCTGCTATTTTGCTGTTTCATATAACTGGCCAATCTGTACATTGCATCTACAAACTCATCAATTGGACCTAGAGTAAAAGAAAATGCATAACAAGAAAAAAGAAAGTCTTAGCCTTATACTTAAAAACTTTGCAACTTTGATATGTTCCAAAATAATTCGATACCTGTTCCGAAACTTCCTCCATCTAAATAGTTTAAAAACTGATAAAATCTTAAAGCTTCGTCTGATTCAATCTCATCCATTACTGGTCTCTGTAAAAATATTAACGTAAGTTAATTTATAACAGTCAATACTATGTCACGCCGACTTCATAACAATGCAACAAAAATTATGTGATATTACAAATTTTCCGCTCCAAGCGCCAACATCAGAGTAAAGGGAGTTGATCCTGCTAGGCATCCAATCTAAAGAAGAACGGGCAACTAAAACAGGATGCTGGAAAAATATAAGACATTGAACTTATGCAATTAGGTTAATGTATTTATTCGTTTTATACGTATAAATTACCATCGAGGCCAGCTTTGCATGCCCGTGTCGGAAAAACAAAATAATATTAATAAACCAAATTAAATAAGACATTGTGATTCTTAATAATAATACATCAAGATTGCAGAGTTTAAGTATAACTGGTCTGGAACTCTCATAACATGCATAAAAATGCTTGATCGTAGTTCGTTATAATTTATTGCCACTTAAAATGTTGTTGATGAAATTTAATTGGCTTAACAACTTACTATAACAATGATTATAAAGGAATGTTGACTTTTAACTACCTACCCATCTGACGTAAAATGGGTACCTAACGAATAAATGAAATAGAGACTTGTTATTGTGTTTAAACGAAAAAGCCTTAGAAAGTAAAAAAAATTGTTTACCAACCTGAATAGGCTATTCAGTAAAACCAAAGAAATATTTCTTATATAAGTTCTATGCTTTTTGCGAAAAATGCCAATTCATCAAATTCTATCACAAAAATTGATGAGTAATCTACGAGTAATGCCAGGTGCATTTGTAATTCAGTATTACGTGTTTTCGATGTTATACTTCTTATGGCTTTTTGGCTTTGGAAAATTTATGATAGTAAACCTTTAACGATGCGCGCTATATCTACCAGTCAACTTAGAAGTGATATATAGTTTTTAATATTACAGATGGTGGACCTCGTCACCATGAACCGGAAAGAAATACAAGATTTAATTTTGAAATTAAATAATTAACCAGTAATCGAGAAATTTATACGAACGTGTTCAACCTGAACTGAGCTTTTACAATTCTTCTTCTCTATCCATAACAAGTCGAAACAGCTCTTCTTTTCTAGCTATTCAAGTCCACTCCCTTATGATCCTCAGCCATGATCTTTTACGACTTCCAACATGTCGTATTTTTCCCATCTTAATGTCAATAATAATAATTTCAGATATACAAAAGTATTCTTTGCTTAATGTGTTGCAGCAGCTCATGCCGTAAGACGTGTCCCAAATATTCCATCTTGCGCTTTTTGACGACTTGCAAGAACAACCACGACATTACGACGGGTTGGAATACTTTTTCATTGCTGCTTTTCTGTGTCCAGCTAATACGAAGCATGCGACGGTACCATTACTACTCGAAGGCTTCAAAACAATGTCTGACGTCTTCTTTGATTCGCTTCCGTAGATGAAAATGCTCCATATATATAATACTGTAGGATCTGTAATCTGATTTGCATGCTAATGCACCTGGAGCATAAAACTTTCCTCAACTTCATAAACTAAGCTCGGGCAATTTAAATCTGGGCCTTAGTTTTTTTTAAACGTAGCCCTTTAGGATAACATTATCCTGTGTTGTAAGGACGTTTTACAAACATGAAGTTCACGCGGACTAACACCCAGATTCGAAACAACTATCTTTGGGTCACACAAATAGTTGTCGCGTGTGGGGATCGAACCCATGACCCCCGACACCGCAGCCAATACATTGGCAACTGCGCCACGGAGTCATCGTTCATCCTTCATTCTCCCCAGCGTCGAGGTGTTTGTATTGCTGGACTCGTTATAAGTAACTGCCAGCTGCCATTGATATTTTTGGCTTCCAGTCAGTGCTTCGGGACACGAAACTTCTAAGCTTCTCGAAAACTAAAGCGTCCCGAAACATTGATTGACTGTTTTCAAGATATCAATTGACAATCCAGCTCTTTTACTACTCTCTTGCAATCAGTGCCTAATTTATTTACCACCTTACCATTTACTTTGATCCCCAATTCACTTACAACTAGAGTCTTGGAAATTACTGCCTCGGATTGCCTTTCTTCCGAGGCATCGTGTTTCATTCTTACAGCTGCTTTCTGATTTCCGTTGAAGTTTTTAATTATGCTAATGATAATGTTTACTATTATCGAGACCAATGTCGTTCAATTGCCTCAAACTCAGATCATGTCTGAATTGATCAAACGTTTTTTAATCAATGAAGCATAATACAACATCAATCTGCATAATATTCTTTAAAACATAATTTTCTTTTTTGTATTATCCACAATCTAGATAACTATATTAAGAAATATTTGTACATTCATGCAATGAATGTAACAATAAGATTCACTACAAAAAACAATTTTTTCAATAATAGTTTGAGCAAATCAAATATTGTAGTGTAAATATTTCTAGGTAGCGAGATGCGGTAATTATTGTTCTGTTATAAGATCACGTTATTAGTTTAATGTTGGATAGTATATACGATTCTTTTAGGAAAATTCATGAGTGAAAAAATATAATCTATTTTTTACTTTGTAATTCTTATACTAAAAGGCATTCGTTTCTCATTTCTCGAGCATTTTGAGTTTCATTTGATAATAAATCAAGATTTGGTATTACATCTTATAACTTAGCGTACCACAACCTACGATGCAGCAGTCGAAATGCGCGATGCGAAGTCCTTATGATGTCTTGTTTAGGAATGGTTTAAAAATGTAACTAATGTAATCTTGTATATATTCATATTAATCTGTAATTTTCTATCACGATTTTGAAGTGGTAAACTATATAGATATGGATGTATAGAACACAACATGAACAATTATAACAAAAAACATTTTAAGGACAGCTTTTATAGCACTCTGTTTCTTAAAACTGTTTTTTTTTTTATGTGAAAAGTTGTCAAGCGTGCAGACCTTTCACCTGATGTTAAGTGAATACTGCCGCCCATGGACATCTGCTACACCCTAGGGTTCCAGATGCATTGACAACCTTTTGAAAATTGGGCTCCGGCCACCTCACTCACCAAACAAAATGCGAAAGTATTATACTTTCACTTTTACGCCGGGTTTCGGTGAGGTTGTGGTACTTACCCGGACGAGCCTGCCCATTTGTGCAAAAGTCGAGGCTGCTGTGTGGCCCTACCACCACAAAACTGTTGATATGTTCTTACTGGTGGTATAAATGTGCATAACCCAACCTTTTGTAGGGTTATGTATTTAAATTTTTCTAAATGGTTTGTCCTTAATTATCTTCACTAATATTTGGTACACCATGGTTGAGCCTGTCCATTTGTGCAACTGCAGAAGTTTTTGTATGGCCCTACTACAATCAAATTTGGTAAGAGAGGATTACCAAAAGCAATGGGTACTTACCACCTAGATTCTCATATTCTTTTACTATATGTATGGTAGAAGGATTAAAGTAAAAAAGAAAACTGTCAGTATTGGACTGCATATCTGAACTTTTCTTATGTGATAAGGTTGTAAACAATCTCATGGTTCATATGATGCTAAGTGATATTTGCAGTTAAATGATAATAGCCATCCTTTGAAATTTGCAACAACTAAAGGGTTGCAAATATTTTGGCCACCCTATAATAGAGTGGGCCACGGCTACCTTACTGACCAGATGCTAATCTACATTTGAGGTTAATCTGAACGAATTGCTGTTTGCCACTTGTTACTTTTAATGTTGCAATGGCTGGGAAACAAAAAAGGTGTTTCTTAACAGTAGCAGCACATTCAAATATTATCCATTGGAATCAATGTGGCACAAACGGCATGTAATATAAACAATATTTTCGGAGAGAAATTTTTTCAAATAAATACACAACGCGTTATTGGTTTGCCCAGTGCAGTACCGGAAATTTTTGACTTGAAAAAGAACCTCATGGTTGTCCAGACACTAGCCAAACAATGATGTTTTCTGTCTCACTCAATCTACAGCCGAGCTAGCAGCAGCTTTTGATGATAGTATCACAACAATATTGGTACATTTGCGACAAATTTGATAGATATAAAACTTAACTTAATGATCGCCATCGCAACATAGAAGTCGACGTTTGCGTTGAGCTGCTCAAAAGGCACAGAAATGACAGAATATTAAACTAACAAAAAATGAACCCTTGAAAAGTGATGCTCTTTCTTTCTTTACAATGATGAAGAGGCTTGTACATCCCCAACCAGCTTTGGTCAATCGGTTGTCCCCTTTTGCTGCACAACAGACAGTCACCAACCTGCAAGAATTGGGGTTGGAAGCTGCTCTCCCTCATCTGCCATACTAACTAGATCTTGCATATACTATTACTATTTCCAAAATTTGGACACCTTAGCGGGAATAAAATTCAATTCCCATGATGCAGTACAAAATGCCTTTGAAAAGTTAGTTGCCTCCCATACAAGCGCTTTTTACAAGAAGGATGTCGGTGAAGGAAAACATTGTTAGTGTGCATATTTTTGAAACAAGATATGTGAAGTCCGCAAATCTGCTGTGGGGTCTCGAGATAGACTATGCCTAATACAATCTATACATAGAAGACTTTTGCCCAGCAGTGGGACATACATCGGCTAAGTTACAAGTTATTGTGTCTCACTTTTTAGAGTTCTGATTACTTACCTTAGTATTGTGAAAAATTTTTAAAGGTTACATGTCATTTTATGTTTAAGTTGAATGAATTTAATAGTGAATAGGCTTTTACTGCGGTAGTCCATTTATCATCTACGGGTGTTTTACGGCGTTTCTTTCGGCTGTTTCTTCTCTGTCAGAGCAACCTCATTACGAAAAGTTGGTCAATTTAAAAAATGACTGTCAATATAGGAAATCTACATTTCTTATTTCAATTAATAAATTATATGATTGTTTTTTGATATTGTGGATCAGGACTTAGTATCAGGTGGGATAGATGTAAGCTGTCTGTTATATAGAAAAATTTTCCTCTTTTCTTAATGTATATCTTCAGTTTTGTTCGCAATCAAATTGCACAAAAATAATAAAATAAATATAATGGTCAGTATGCAGGGAGTATGTCCTGTTTGTCCTGACTCTTATATTTATATAACAAACCACAATTTTTTCCTCATAGAATGAAAATTTTTGATAAGGATGTGTAGGTGGTATTAGAAAGGTAAATCAGTTATTTAAGACTTGATGAAACTCACTATAGGTTAGAGCAAAATCTTACTCTTACATTTATAATTAAATCTTTTAAATTATTTATTTGGTAAGTCGATTCCCACACAGAACAAGTATATGTAAGACCCACAGGTAGTTGTTTCTGTATTCTACAACTGCAATTATCCTGTATAATATATGATTCAGTGTAGCAACTGCTCCACTGAATCATATATTATACAGGATAATGTTTAACAGTGTTATGGTTAAGATTTATGCTTAGAATTGTCAAAAATCTAATATCATTATCACTAAACTTGAGTTCTGTTCCAGCTTGAAGATGGCTACACTTTTCATGACTACAACATAAAGCTAAATGATGTTATACAGCTTATGGTGAAGTTGTTACCTGAAGAGAATTCAAAGCATAAAAATGTTCAGAATGACCCTACAATTCTTGAAGAAAATATTGCAGCAAACAAAACTGCGAAAAATTATGAAGGTACTATTTAAGAAAAATCTATTCTTCTTTTATAGTTTTGATATTTTTATATTTAATTAGATTAAAAATGTAAAATCATTATGCAATATTGACCAGTCATTCAATTTAACAAATTATATCTAGATGCAGAAAGCAGTTTATATGTGGTGGGAGATTTAATAGATGTAAAGGATAGAGAACAAGGAACTTGGTTAGAAGGAAAAATAGTGAGAATAGTGTATGATCCCGATGCTAAATCAATACTTGATGAAAATAATACGAGTAATGTGGAAACAGAGAAAGAAATCAAACATGTTGACTTGGACAAGGAGAGTGATGTTGAGAATGAACCACCAAGAGTTCAAAGTGATGATAGCCCCAAAATTAAGAAGAGAGGTGTTGCCAAATATTTTTGTAAAGCCCCCAGGAGCAAGAAACAAGCAGAAAAGGAAACCTCTAAAAATACAAACACTAAAGCATCCAAAATTACTATGGACCTTTTGTACAAAATCCAATTAGATGATGAGTGAGTTTAAAACAGTTAATTCATTAAGTGTGGACCAAAAAACTAATCAATGCATTTTGGGATACAAAAAGATTTTGAAAATTAATCAGATTTCAACTTATATAAGTATTTGTATTTTTTATGTGTTATTCTTTTATTATTACAGTAATGAAGATTCAGAGTTATATTGTAAAGAATCAGAAATAAGACCGCGGGCACGCAATGTTTTGGACGTAATGGATTTAAAAAAGGGTCAAAAGGTGATGCTTAATTACAACACTGATGAGCCTTCTGAAAAAGGACACTGGTGAGTGAAAATCTTTTTTGATTTTATTATGTTTTCATACATTGTTTCAATTCTTTATCCAAAAAGTGCTTAACTGTCGCGTTTTATTTAACAGGTATGATTTCAGAATAGATGAAATAAAGAAATTTCGGTCAAGCTATGAATTGATTGGAACATTGTATTTAGGTGTTGACTCTGTACCACAGAATGACACTAAAGTGAAAGTGCATGATAAAATATTTGTAATTGAAGAGGTCGTGCCTGTTGACTGTAGAACTGAAGAGTACAAGATTGCAATGATTACACAGCCAGAAAAAAGTGAGTCACATTTTGGTCTTTTTGGAGTTGATTGGTGCTTGAGTTTCGACTGGAGGCTCGGCGTTAATTGTCTGTACTGTGTGCAATGCTGTCTCTCGAAAGGATAGCGTCAGGTGTAAATTTGTCTCAGGATCGCGACCGCTCAACTGTAAAAGCTGTCGGGACGACGAGGCCGCACCGTGCAAGACTGCGGCTGCTGCGTGTGCCTCGCCAAGGAGTCGCCGGAGACGGTGAGGCAACGGTTTGGCTTCTAGGCAGCCAATGTTGAGCGGGAGACTGGTACGTAGGGGGTTTCGTTCGCAGATCGTGCTGTGCGACGAGTGCGACATGGGCTACCACACAGGGTGCCTGCGGCCGGCGCTGGCGCGGGTGCCCGACGGCGACTGGTACTGCCCCCGCTGCGCGCGCGACCCCGCCTCGGTGGTGGCGCCGGGCGCCGCGCGCCAGCTCAAGAAGCGGGCGCGCTCCACGCGCGACTGGGGCCGCGGCATGGCCTGCGCCGGTGAGTACGGCCCCGCCGCCACCGACCCCCGCCGCCCCGCACCGCACCGCACCGCACATCTAACCTCGCTCTCGCGATCGCAGGCAAGACGAAGACGTGCGCGATGCCGCCCAACCACTTCGGCCCCATACCCGGTATCGAAGTGGGCACCTGCTGGAGGTTCAGGATACAGGTGAGCGGCACGAAACGACCGGATCTCACGACGACCGACTGGTGTCCATCTAACCCAAGGGACGTTTCGCAGCTATCCGAATCGGGCGTTCATCGGCCTCCGGTGTCCGGCATCCACGGCCGAGACGTCGAGGGCGCCTACAGCATCGTGCTCTCCGGTGAACAATTTGACTTTTATAGAGAACGTTATATCGCTGTATTCGATTCGTGCCACTAGTCGAGAACGTTTTGCACCGGCCACGATACTATCATATTATGACTGGTCCGCGAGAATTTTAACTGATATTTACAATACGATTCAACAAAACTTTCGACGCTTCTTTCGATCTTAGCTGGGTGCTTGTTTTCTGGGTGATGCCAATATCAATCGAACTAAGCAAGTTGATTTTTTTGATCTCAATAAGGAATGTGAAAGAAATAATATATGTAGGTAATAATTTTGGAGACGCTCATTTATCCACAAAAATTACATTTTGAGTTTCATCTGGAGTGCATAGACCAGCACTAACAATAAAAATTATTCCTAAAAATTCACTTTGATAATTCTAATTGAGGCGTACCTTTCGAACCCAGGTGGGTACGAGGACGACGTGGACAACGGGAACGAGTTCACGTACACAGGCAGCGGAGGCCGCGACCTCTCTGGCAACAAACGCACCGCCGAACAGTCCTGCGACCAGACGCTCACCAGGGAGAACAAGTGAGTGGGGCCAAATTACGTTACGTGCACGCAATGACAGGACGAGACCGTGAGGATGCGTAATGTGAATGAATGTAGGGCTCTGGCGCGCAACTGCGCCGTGGCGGCGGTGAGCGAGGCGGGCGGGGACGCGGGCGACGAGTGGCGCGAGGGCCGCCCCGTGCGAGTCGTCCGCTCCTACAAGATGCTCAGGCACTTCCCCAAGTATGCCCCCCAGGAGGGCATCAGGTCAGTCGATCAGTTTGCACACTCATTATTTATACAACACATACGAATATTAAATGCCAACGTATTAAACATAATTTCAGTTTCCGAGAAGACGGTCGCCACTCGCGTTTACAATCCACTTCACGTGTCATTGTTCTTTTTTTGTCTCCAACAGATATGACGGCATCTATAAAGTTGTCAAGTATTATCCAGAGAAAGGCATATCGGGATTTCGAGTGTGGAAATATCTGTTGCGGAGAGATGACCCGAGCCCCGCGCCCTGGGAGCCTGGCGCCAAGCAATACCCCATTATCGTAAATTGAATTACATTAAACATTTTCCATACCGTTTATGGGCTTTTGCTTCGCTTCGGTTTAAAAAAAACATTATGAAACATAAACTGTAACACGAAACTTTTTTTTCAGTATCCAGATGGTTATTTAGAAGCCGAAGCAGAAAAGAAAGCTCTTAAAGACAAGAAAATAAAGTCTACCAAAGGGAATAAGAAGCGGGCGCTACGTGAGAATAATCAATCGTCTGACTCTGAGGCTGAATCTTCGCCCCCTGTCAAAAAACTTAAAACTTTATCTGAAGGACAGACAAATAGTAGAAATAAAGGTGAAGGGTGATTTATATCGTATTACATGTTAAAATTTAAATTAGCTGGTAATTGTCGTTATATAATAAAATGTTTTTGTAAACACAATTTTATAGGTGCAAAGAAAACGGTTAATAAAAGTCCACCTAAAACAATTCCAAATATATTCAGTATGAAAAGCCCAAAGAATAAGAATAAGGCTGAAAAGGATGATGTTCTTACGACAGAGGAAAAAGAAGCCATTGAGGCGGATTGCTTGAACAAAAAGCTGTGGCGAGAGTGCCTTGAAGTCTGTAAGAGTAGTGGCAAGAAGGTATGTCTGTGAAACAGCTGTATGTTGGTGTGTATGTTACAGTTATCTGTTACATTTATATATGTACATAGACTGTTATATCTGTTTGTTTGTTAGGAGTTCGTGGAGCGAGTGACGCAGGTGTTCCTATGTATCATATGCCAGGAGGTGACGGTGAACCCCGTCACGACGCCGTGCTCGCACAACTTTTGTTCGGTGAGTGCGGTTTGAATGTAAACGAATGCGAAGCGGAGTGGATCGAGTCGAATCGATGAGCGTGCCGTGCCCCAGGCGTGCCTGAGGCTGGCGTTCCGGTCGACGGAGAGCCCGGGCTGCCCGAGCTGCCCGTGCTGCCGGCGCAGGCTGGCCGCCGCGGCGCCCGTCGCCAACGAGCGGCTGCGCGCCGCCCTGCGCGCCGTCATGCCCGGCTACGACGCCGGCAAGAAGTGACCCCGCCCCTCACGCTGTGGCCCTTCACATTCCGAGTAAGCATGCATTGCTTCCACCCAGGTGGACACTGCCGTGTTCACTACAATCACATAAATGCTTAATACGTTTGTAATAACCAAAGTAACAAACCATTCACGATTTTATTTTGATTTTTCACATGAGAGTCGCTGACTCCGAATCTGGAAATATTTAACATCTAGATAACATTTTGTAAATAACATATTTTTTCAATTAAACTGTTATGAATGGTGAGTATTCGAACTACGCTTTTATATTACTGATTGCCACATTCAACATGGTGGTACATTACGGGTAACGTTCATAGGGCTATTTTTAATTAACTTAAATTTTACAAAATAGATTATGAAAATTTTGTGCATTTTATGTTGTTATTTCAACTCAACATAATTATGATATTTGCAATTGTAGTACTTAACAAGTACAATTCATGATTTCCTCATATTATGAACACACATAAGCATTTCTTATATTAATTTAATGATAAAATATATGATACGAATTATTTCCAGACGTTTTAATACCTTAATATTAGTAGTTTTAAATTCTGTATGGTGTAAAAACCAGTAACTTGTATTATTAACTTAGTTTTACTCTATTATTTATGTTCTCAACGCTTTTTTTATCTTACAATTTAGAGAAAATTGTTTTACCACTATGTATCGCTCAATATTTTATATAAATTTTGTTTAATTTTACCGAACCGGTTTGTTTTCTTGCAAATCTTAAATGGTAGGTGTGTAAAGTAATCATGCTAAGGAACTTCTATGTTTGAAAATGATATGGTTAGATTCATTATAAATAAGGTAAAAGTGCAACAGATCAGAAAATTATCCGTGTCGCTGTGTGCAGATCGCACCTGGCATTTGCTATAATTTATTATCAATGTTTATCCGATAATCCATTATTCCATGATTTGTCTCTTTGTTCGATGAAATTGGCAGTATATCTTAGAAAGGTAGTAAATGAGTTCGACACAAGCCTTAACCTCGCACCGAAGAAAGTATAAAACGTATAAAAGAAACAGACCCCGTGAAAGACGTTGACAGCCGTGACATATTCGTTAATGAAAAGTATACGATTCATTCGCCTTATTGCTTTTGCCGCAACATGGTTATCAAGCACGAACACTGCGTTAAATTTGCTAGTTGTAATGAAATTATAAACATATAGTAAATATTATAATAATAATTGACCTGTACTGTAATGTAATATCAATAAATGAGCACTGTAGAAAGAAATAAATAAAAGGCTTTAAATAAAATATATTATGATTTATTTTGTACAGGAATCAACAACTCCCCTAAAAGCTGAGCACGGTATCACGGACGTGTAAAACACATCAAATTCAATAACGTAATTATTCAAAATAACTTCTAATAAATATTTTATCAACTACAAACATCACAGATTATAATAACTTGTGGCCGGATAATATCATGACTTGACATTTAATTATACAGATTTAATCTGCACTCAATAATAATAATAATTTTTATCCGGCCACTTGACGAACAATGTCATTAATAAAATAAAAGAACTAATCGGTAACAATTTTGCGAGGTTTATAATTTTATTATATTCGATGCCTTTAAAATAATAAAATAATCTATGTCGCAAAATAAAGTTTTAATTGTACTGTAATGTGTATTTGCTTGTAAATACTTTAACCTTATTCTATGAAAATGCCACATTGCTCGACACTGAATCTCACTATCGCAGGATTTTGCCACAGGGTCATTATTATTATTATTATTATAAACTATTCTGTTTCGTTTCTTAAAGGTCGTTAATCTACGCTTCGTTCTTTTTTGTCAACTGATGCATTGTCCTCTAACTTTTGCTCAATACTGCAGATCTAGCGGCAAAATCTAATAGAGTGAATGGGACACGATTGAAGCTATTCAGGGTGAATGTTAGGTTAATACTGTATGATTGAGTCTTGAAAGAGACTGCTAAAAAGGAACGAAAATGTTTACCGTAAATAGATATAACTGGTTTTATAAACGAAGTTTTCTCCAGGATAATCTTGTAATTTGCTTTATTCCAAAATTATCTATTAAACACAATCAATGGAATAATACTAAACTTCAACAATTAAATAACTTACTTGGCTGTTTATGGGCAAATAATTGAACAATTTTAAACTATAACAAATATTCAACAGGTATTCGACTGTGTTCTTTCTACAATTACATTGTAATGCTAGGCGTAATTACTTAAAAACTAAAAGCTTAAACGTACGTCACAATCGTGATGAGCGGTAGTACCGCCCGTTACTTTTTTTTTTATTTTCTTTAATTTGCTAGCGTCCGAAAATTTCGTATCAATGTTTAATTCTTGGTGAGAGTTTATGAACGCCAACGGAGGAATTTGATAATAATGTTATTGTTGATTTACAATTGTTTCGAAGACGTCGGTCAATGTGCAGTGAACGCGTTCCCCTCAAAATATGCCACGGACGGTGACCTACGTGTGATGGCACTGCGCCGCCCCCGCTCGGATATGAGCATCAGGGCGCGGAGGCCGTGTAGTTGTGGGCCTCCGTGGCGTTGGCGGTCGCCGCGTCGGCCGCGTCGGCCACGTGGGCCGCGTGCGCGGAGAACTTGATTATGATGCCCTCGAGCGAGGTCCAGGTGCCGACGACGAGGCCCAGCGCGCCGAACAGCACCACTATCACGTTCTTCACGATCATCCGCACGCGCTCCGAGTCCGACACGTAGTACCAGTAGGTGCAGCTCTGGATGAAGGCGGGGAACGCGAGCCCCAGCGCGGACAGGCACAGCGCGCCGAACAGCGATATGAACAGGTCCAGCTCGGGAACGGCGGCGGCGATACCGACTGTCGAACAAATGCCACCATCTTAATAAGTGTTTCTTTTCTTTCCCTTTAAAAGGATACACGAAATCAGCAAACGCACACTGCGTTCATAAAGTACTATATCATCTTCGCGAGAGACCGCCACCCGAGTTTACTAGATCCCTTGTCCGACAGATATCCGGGCCCTAAACACGTACAAATTAAAATTTTCATTACAAAATTAGGCAACAATCAAATTATGTCAATAGTTAAGTTTTATTAAACTTAAGTATGTAATTTAATAAAACGATTTACTAACTAATATTTCACCTACGGGCGAAGGTGACCTACGTTGAGCCCAACAAAATTACTTATAAATAAATTTATACCACGCATGGTCCGCACCATAGCTCGAGCAACTTTGACTTCCTCATACTTAATTCCGTTGGTCACCACTGGTAATGCACAGCACAGTGGCAGGTCCGTATAGCTCGAGGAACCGATAACCGATGAGAAAGAAATTTCTCGAGTCACACCTCATATTGGCCTTCGTAGTGTATCCGTGACCAGCTTTGCTGTTTGCGGGAAGTCGACGGATGCAGATGTCTCGGGGTCGTGTTTAGTGACGGTGTGTGGGGGAGGCCTATGTGAGCAATGGACTCGAGCGACATAATTTTTTGCGTCCAGTTTGATGGCGACTAATGAATGGCGATCATTTATCACACGAATAAAAATTACTAACATGTGAGCAAGACGACGAGAGTCCGCAGCACGTACTCCCAGAGCGTGCGCCTCGAGGAGTTAAGCAGCCGCGTGCCCACGTACTCGCCCCACAGGATGTCGATCGCCACGTAGCACGCCAGCCCGTGCGTTATGAAGATCGCGAACGCCAGCAGGCACTGAACCACGCTCGCCAGCCTGCACGAGAGCGGTCTCTTTAAACGTTCGCCTCTATTAAGTTTCGCAATAGAAAAGGATAGTCTCGTATACCCACGTTTCCGTCTGGGAGGGCAGATTGAGAGTGATACTGCCCGCTGCCGCGTTCCCGTACTGCAAGTATCCGAATAGCCCCATGCCCACGTACAAGATAATGATGCTGATCATCGCACGATTGAGAACACCGAATTTACCCACAAAATCTTTCGGTGTTTTCATCTCGTTCTCGAGCGGCAGGATCTGCACAAAAGATAAGTCACTCGAAATCTCGAAATTCATTTCGTCTACTTATTAGCGGTGGACGGGCCGACGCAAGGGTCATCGGCCGCCATCGGACTCTTGTCCGAGGCTATTTAAGAACCGTAAGAAGTATTTAGAAATCCACTCACCACGCCGATAGCTTCTAACGCAAAGAGGACCGTTCCGAAGAATAGAGGGAAGTCACCGATCTTTCCGGCGGGCACTTTGCCCTCGAGCGTCGGCGTTTCTCTGAATATGTAGTAGAGGATGATTGCGAAGCTGACGATGGTGACTGCGTTGGCGATAGCGGAGAAGGGCGCGAGGTACTTGAGATCGCGCACCCAGTTGATGAGCACCAGCGGCAGCAAGATCCACAGCATCACCTCGGTTACACTCACGTGAAGGCCGAACTGGTTCTTCAGTACGAACTGGATATTCTCCGAGACGAACACCACGTAGACGCAGCAGGTGCCGATTTGGTACACGAGAAGGAACGCGTTCACCACGTGCCTGTATCAAAATTTTAATATAGGCGTTTCAATTGTGTGCTTCTAGCATTGCACCGGGGATCGAACCTAGATTGCTCGAAAATATTGAATTAAAAACGGGCAAGCGCCCAGACAATGAGATAAAGATATTTCTACTGTTTTAGCAGAACTATGAATACTAAAGTATAACAAAAAGATGTAACAGCAACAATATGTACTGATTAGTGTGGGCAATCCAAAAATTTTTTTAAAAAAAACTCAATTTTAAAATAAATGAAATAATAATGATGTTAATAAATTTAACATTACCCATGTTCTTTTAAGAAATTCTCAATATTATTTATTAAGCTTATTTATCTAGTACAAATGACTCCCTTTTGAGATTTATAATAAGCATTATTAGTTTCCTTAAAACATACAATGTATACGAGCTATCTATTTAAAAAAAATTGGGAGGTGTCGCCATTTTTCTGTTTGTGATTCGTACGCGGGGCACATACGTACAGTAATTAAAAAACAAAGGACAAGCTAGCGGACGACCGGACGTTCCTATTGCATATGTGCATAAGTACCCTAGCTGTCAATACGTCAATGTAGTTTCACACCATTCCCAGAAAAGTGACGTGAAGCATCGTATTTTCGCGTTCGGTAACTAATTTTGTGCTTAACGTTTTCATGCATCATTATACTAGCCATGGTAAGTTTTACCACACAGTTTTTTTTTACCGGTTACTAGTAAATATCTTTAAAATACGTTTTTAAAAACTAATTATCTAATTTGCATATGGATATAAAAAGAGATCATAATATTTAATTATTATTTGGTTAATGAGGCACTTTCGTACAGAACCCTACGGAGTACATTCGTAGGCAAATGAAGGTGCCCTATGAATATTGTTCATGTATATGTTATTATAATAATTATTTAATATTCTTTTTTACAATCAATAAAATGTGAAATTAAAAAAAGTCATTTATTTTTTTTCTTGTTGTGAAATTTCCGCCTGCTCGTTTGGCAACTTTTCACATAAAAAAATATTTTCTGTCCATATAAATAAAAAAACTTCTATTTGCAGTTTTAATCGCAATGTATGAAATTACCGTCGTAATGTCGTAAACGCCCGACACTGTATAAAACTACCCCACACGTGGGCAGATTCGTGCGATTGGTTTCAAATTATGTTTAATTTATAATTGTGTCTAACATAAGATATCATCTTTAGATTTTTTTAAATTAATCACAGATTAATATGCTAGCACTGTATGTACTAAGTTCACTATTTAATGGAATAGCTGAAATTGAAATAAATAAAATGTTAAAACTGTACGAAGGGGCCCATCTTCCCCTATCGGCTTTGCAATCATATCAAATTTTATAACTATTCGATTATAAATAACATTTTAAATAATCTAAAATTGTAGAAGTATAAATTAACAAAAAAAAATATTAGCAATTTAAGATTCTAATCACCTAAGTGGTAAATTAAAATATTGTGCATTTTGGTCTCTGCTACTGCCAGAAGCTACCTTCGTTGTATTATTTAGAATGTCTTGTCTGCCTTGAACTGCTTACACAACTATTTATACTGGCATTATGTTTAAGCCTATGATAACATGCTGTTTACGAATTGCTATTTTCCTATAACAAGTGAATTAGACTTGGTAGAATTTTGTAACAAAAATAACATATATTACAAAACTCTTTAAAATTGTCCATTTAAAATTGAATTTTGTACCTTATGTAAACATTGAGAAAATTATCTTCGAAAAAAAACTCGTAATGTTTCCGTAAACCCACAGAATCTAAAAAGCATACAGATGTTGTCTGTAGATAGATATGTTATTCTCAGATAAATGACGTTTTACGTAAAGAAGAATAAAATTGCTCAATGCTATGAATTGAAAAGATCTAGAACAATTGGTATGTAAAGAAGCTGTGATGTAGATGAGTTGTATATACTGACGCGGCGTATGGAGCGCAGGCCTTGCACCAATCGGGGCCCTCGGAGAGCGCCGCCTCAGCCGCCGCAGTGTACGTCAGCGAGGGCACCTTGCGCCTCTTACACAGCACGTAGCAAGAGTCCATCAGCACGTGGATGCAGTAAGTGCATAGCACCCCGATTACGACGGTGCCTATCGCCCCCACTGCGTAGCCGGACTTGGAGAAGGCGTGCGGCATGGCCAAGATACCCGTCCCCAAGCTGCCCTTTAGCAGGTGCAGGAGCGTCTCTGTGTTGCTGCAACCACAAGTAAAAAACTGTTCAGTACTAATTATTTGAGATCTTTGCATTATTCCAGACTATTGTATAAGGTGGTTAATTTTTGTTTTGTTACTAATGCAAATGAAAATCTGGTAGCGGTGTGTAAGTCATCGCAAGCAGCTATGTTGCTTAAACAAATCACGGAAATGAAACAAGGGAACGCAGCAAAGATTTCTCTAAAGATCTAATTACTCAGAATGGCGAATGATCTAGGATTTAATTATATCCCCTGCGTAGCTCGTAGTATGTTTGTCGCATCCCAAATAAAAATGACTATTGGGTAAAAATAACTAGGGAATAAAAGTAGCGTTCAAAAATAATAACGTATCCATAGTACGTTATTATTATATAATTTAAAAATGCTTCAACATAAAGATTGAACGGGTTTGTTGTCCCATAAGTCACACATAAGAACTGCTTAGCAATTTCTGCGTGAATTACGTGAGATTGGTTCTACTTGTATGGTAATTAATGAATAATAATATAATGACTATCCAAGAAGACGCGGAAAATTCCAATAATGACTGTGTCGAGCAAATTATGGGTATGCGACAATTGTGAAACGATTTTATTTGAACACTAGCTGACTCGAAAGGCTGTTTTGCCCTTTAAATTATTTCTATTTGTCAGTCTGAACAACTATTGCTATTTCAATTTTCCATGCAATTTTTACATAATTTTTCATCGTTCAAACTCTCCCTGGACTGCCGCAAATATTTCAAAACCAAAATTAGCCAAATCGGTCTAGCCGTTCGCGAGTTTTAGCGAGACTAACGAACAGCAATCCATTTTTATATATAAGATAATCATCTTCATTATTTCAGCCTGTTTTACTCCACTGTTGAACTTATTTTAGTTTTTTTTTTTGGGCTGCATGAGCCAGTTACGGTATTTGTACCTTACCTTACCTTAAAATCATACCTTACCCTAAAAGGTTATTTTTATTTACTGTCAATTCTGGCAATTATAACAATGGTCACTAACTTTGCCACCTGCGGAGTGCGTATGGTAATCCTTTCATAATACAGGCTTTTTTTTTTCTTTGTGCTGGATGAGCCACTGTTGGCCTTAGGGGCCTTTACAGATCCGACGGACTTGAGGTGGCCTGGCGCACGAGGCGCCTAGCCTGAACCTCGGCGTACTATTATTACGCGTTATGGTGACTAAGCTCGAGGGCTCCCGGGGGAGCCTCGGCTCGGGCCGTCACGCTATTATTGTTACCGGTTTGGGAGGCCGCCAAGCTCTTAGGGCGCTTTGGCGGGCGCTCCATGGAGTGATCAGGCTCAAGGGTCCCCGAGAGGGGACCTCGGCTTGGGCTGTCACTCAGCACGCGTTAAGCATTCCGATTCGAGGGTGCCCGAGAGGGCCGGACCTCGGCTCGATCGGTAGCTATTATCTGACTGGGGGAATTACTAGAGCTAACATTACTACCACTTCGGAGAGCGTTGGCGCTGGGAGAAGAAGTGGCGGAAGAAACTCCAGCAACGCTTCTATCATTAATAGGGGAAAACCTGCCAGGTACGTGGCGGAACCTAGTATGTTTGCCGCACTCGCCGGCGAGTGCGGTGTGTGTTGGTGTGTTTCTTAAGTTTTTTGATCCTTTCGATGGCGATAATCGTCTCATCGTCAGGGAAGTCGAGAACGTGTCGCGGCCTTCGGTAATCGCGGCGGAAAATATTTAGCGGCAAGGGCCTGTAGGTGATGGCACCTACGATAAGTGGGTTCGAAATATCGGCGCGACGCCGACTTCAGGAATTGCGCGATGGTGGGCAACTCTCGATCGACATGTAGGTCGATATTGCGCATGATCCAGGGTGCTCCCGTGGCTCTGCGCAAGAATCGATTTTGAATCACCTGAAGCCGGTGTATTTGCTTCGGAGCAATGTGAGCGAAGACGGGGCTCGCGTACGTCATGATAGGGCGAACTACTGCCTTATATAAGGTCACCTTGTTCCGAAGGGACATTTTTGACGTTTTATTGAGGAGCGGGTAGAGGCGATCGAGTACGAAGGCCGCCCGGTTCCTGACCTGTGTCACGTGCTGGGTGAATTTAAGATGTAAACCGATGGTGATGGCTGCGGCTTGGAGGCGTCGATGGATCAATTCGGGTTAGTTCTGCCTGTGGTATAGATACAGGTGTCGTCGCAACAAGAGCAAGTTCTCATCTTTGACACGCGGCATGTCATTGGTGTAGAGAGTGAACAAGACTGGGCCCAACACCGACCCTTGGGGCACTCCGGCTCGAACGGGATGCGTAGTCGAACACACGCCCTCGACGCGATAGCGAAAAGTTCGATTACTTACGAAGTCTCGTATTATGCATACGGTCGGACACTGGCGATCCTGAGTCACCTGCATCCATCAAGTTACCGCGCACTTGCACTAGTTGGGGGTCATTCTACACTACAATGGCCAATACGAAGCTGCCACTCGAATATCTTTCCTTCCCATCGGTTATCACTTCTTTAAGCCATATAGCCGGCCCATTGTCACTTTAGCTTGCTCATCCTCTGATTTATTTCGATCACGTTTTTCTACTACTTGCTTCACTGTGTATATCTTCGAACCCTATCACGCAGAGAAATACCGACTTTGAGCTTCCTCATACGGCCAGCAGTGAAAGACTAAGTCTCAGTTCTATAGGGCATCGCTGACAACACACATTGATTGAAGACTAAGTCTTCAAACATTGATGAATAGGAAGAAGATTTAACAAGCATAAATATTTTAGACGAAAGTTAATATTTTGAATAACAAGTATAATTTTTAACAAAAAACCGACTTCAATCAGAAAATTTAAAACATTGTTAATACCTATAACATTCAATGATGGCTCTCGATTTCTTTGGGATGCCATCGTCAGATCCGGGTTTCCTTATCATGGTACCAGCCTTGGGATATCTCTTTTCCGACAAAAAGGGATCATAAAAATCGGCTCATAAACGACGAAGTTATCCGCGAAAACACATAAAAAAATAAAAATATATACGGACGAATTGAGAAACATGCTCCCTTTTTGAAGTCGGTTAAAAAGTATTGTTATCTAGAACAAGCATGACCTAGTGTACTCGAGAGTACCTACGTACTCGTATATACATACAGACACTACGATGGATATTAAAAAAAGCGTCATGTCAACTGTAGATCTTGCCCTGTCATGAATAATTCTGATTTTGCTGCAGTTTTTTTTGTGCTTTGCCTGATACATTTTTATGGACAATATGCGCGCTCCTACGTAGGTACCACTACCACGTAATACATTAGTACTGTTTGCTATGCGTCTCGTGCGACAACGTGGCGCGTTGAGGAAAATTTACTCCATCCATTATTTATATGCATCAGAAGCATTTGTATGAAGTCACGCGTAAATTGTATTTGATGAAAAAATTTTAAAATGACGTAAATATTTTTTACGATTAATGCTCCTGTCAAATTGTGGCTTAACTTTTTCACGGTGGTAGGGCCACGCAGCAGCCTCGGCTGTTGCACGAATGGGCAGGCCCGTCCGGGTAAGTACCACGACCTCACAGAAGACCAGGAAGTCCAGGAAGTATGACAAATACTTTCGCGTTTCGTCTGGTGAGTGAGGTAGCCGGAGCCCAATTTTCAAAAGGTTGTCAATACATCAGTAACCCGTAGCAGATGTCCATGGGCAGCGGTATTCACTTAACATCAGGTGAACCGTTTGCTCGTTTGGCAACTTTTCACATTGCAGAAAAAAACTTATAGCAGAAGTTTTATTATCGACATTTTGCATTCTCTCTATCTTCCTATAAGGATAAAAATTGTTAGGACAACTACTAGCGGAACCTTACTTATATTATCTAGGTACACTACTACGCCACATCGAACGAAACTTTGCTGCTCGAAAACTTTTATTCCCCATCACTCATCAATGGCGATGTGGCCTGTCCGCACACACTTCAGCTTGCAACTAGGAACATAGCTCTCTCCATACCTCTTTGTGTGCCTATTAGCTTCTATAAATGGTCAGCTTTTAGAGACCACGTGTTAGTACCATAAGTTCTTACTGGCAATACAAACTGGGTATACACCATAGTCTTCAGGTACTGCGGAATCTTGAACGAGTTAATCTTATATATAAAAATAGATTGCTGTTCGTTAGTCTCGCTAAAACTCGAGAACGGCGGGCCGATTTGGCTAATTTTGGTTTTGAAATATTTGTAGCAGCAGTGTCTGACGTTTAGAGTGAGTTACATTTAAATCGGTTTATAAATAAAAAAGTTAAATCAACTTAAAGAACCACATTGAAGATTTATGCGATAAAACGCGTATATAATAGATACAGATGGATTGGATGAAACAATAGTTAACTATATATTATGCTCTGTAAAGTGATGATTGTAAGTTTATATAAGGTTAAAATTAATTTTAACTTTAGTTCCGTAGGTACTTTATTAGCACGGTATAAAATTTAGTATAGGCGGGCGGAACCACGGCCAAAAAGCTAGTATAATTTATATACAGCGTGTCGTTACCATCGCGACACTGCTACAAAATCCATAATTTAAAAAAAATATTTTTCTAACAAACTAATTAAATAAAAAAGAAACAAAATTTGTAACACCTATACAACTACAACTGACTGATTCATACATTCAGAGACTTTTTCATTCGTAGCCACAGCGTTGCATTACGAGCCTCTCCTTCTAACAGTATGTTTTGTCTCTTTTAAAGTCATTCAACCCATTCATATACTTTGTGACCTTTACAAAAATAAGTTTACGTTACAGTTTTATACGTAAGGATGTTCTAAAATTCTTTGTTTTGGAAAATTTTATAACTCTGTAAATATTGATGTTTAAAGAATGTAAATGTTTAATATAATTTTAAAAAGTTATCCTCTATATGTGTGTTCATTTATTGTCGCGATTGTAAAGACACGCTGTATATTGTTACTTTCGACATTGAGAACAGACGTAGATAGCAACATGTAGGTACATATTAAAGTTTTTGTAATGATTAAATTTGAAATAGCAAAGATTAAAAATTAAACTGAATCTTAAAATATCCGCTGAAATCGCACGGCGACCAGAAGAAGGCGCCATATAAACATTTGGCTTTCTTCCGAAAAAGAAATTACGGAATGCATCTTTACATAGTATAAAACAAAGTCGCTCCCAGTGTTGTACGCTTAGATCTTTTAAACAACGCAACGGATTTTAAACGGAAGGTTTATATGTAGTATACAAGTATACTGTAGTAGAGAAATTCAATGTACATTACAACCGTTCGATGCTTGGGGATGGGGTTCGATAGTTATCTATATTAGCATATAGTTCGTAGAACCGATAATCGTTGGAAAGAATGGTTCTCGAGTGGCAGCCTCGTACCGGCCACTACAGCGTGGGACGAGCCTCAGGCTCGTATTTCGTGGCAGTCTGTGTGGAGGGCCTGTTCGGCAGTGAATTAAAACCAGCAGAAACGATCATATTGAATGGTGATGATGATAAGTAGGTATATATTTATTTGTTTCTATCATGCATGCCGCAATTCAAGATTTACTCACGTGGTTGGATGCTCCACGACTCTATTATCGTATGGTTCATACTCTTCAACTTCTTGCAAGTTCTTTTCTTTCATATTAACCAGGAAGATGCCCTTATCTGCCCCTGGCGGTCTCTTTTCGTCCTTGACGGGCGACAAACTGCAACAAAACCTTTATTTACACCAATGAATATTAGATTGAAAGGTTCATGAAACCGATCTTCATCAGGTCGGTGGCTGGCAACTTTGCCGTTGCCGGAATGCTCTCGTGCGATGGATTTTTTATGTGAGTTTCGATGCAAGATACGTACAAAATAAGTACAAAAAGCAGACACGGCTCAATGCGATTGTTTAATAGAGTTTACAGCTGTTCCAAATAAATTTAATTAATTTATTGGGTAAAACACGATGTTGGTATTATTATCTATTATAATGAACATCAGATAAAATAAAATCTTTTTTTAAGTAACAAAAAAACCAATAAAATCACGTAAATTGTCGATTACATACATACCTCATCTCAGGTTTAATGCACCGTCATTCTCGTCGTTTATAATTTTTATTGTCGACTCAAAAGATGTTAATAATTCTAATAAAAATGTTATTCATGTTTCAGTTAAAATGATTATGAAATTGTAACCAGTGCTTAAGTGATGCCATTTTAATTGGACAAAAATTGGTGTTTATAAAAGAAGGATCCCAAGTGAGACCTCTCAGAGTTGTGGCGGTTGCTCGGCTACGGCTTCGGTGATCATTAGATATCGATTTGCTCAACCTTTGATGGAGCGAACGTTGAGTCTAAATATATACCGATTGGTTTAACCGATATATGTATCAAAAAGCTATAATGCTATGAAGCTCGAGTCATATACACATTGTTGTGCATTGTAAAGGTCTTTTCCCAAATTTTGTTATGTGAGTCAACGTGCCCTTTAAATTTCTCCCCTGCCCATCAAAATGTTTGCCAAAATATGTAGGAAATGAAACTATTTTAAGGATATTACCGCGTTTTAATTTTGATTTTTATTTCCCGCTGTTTTGAACACTTTCTAGTGTTCATGGTCACCGGACAAACGAAAAGAAAAAGAGTTGTTTTGAATTGAACGAAAAAAAAAAAGAATTGTTTAACGTCTTGATGTAATCAAGGTGTAAAGGTATCTTGAGGCCTGGAGTGTTGGTGAGCTTGGATGTAATTTTACAAATTATGGGATCTCAAGTTGATGATAAACCCCAACCATCTTTCTATTTAAATTATTATCCTTGGGAGGAATCGTGAGAGGATTTTCGGTTTGCCAAATCTAATTTAGTGGTTGGGGCTGTCGAAAATATGATCACAAACTGCAGAGTTCTTCAACCGTCAGTGCTTCAAGTCACCTATGTGTTCTTTTATTTTGGATTTTTTTGATTTTTTGTTTGTCCTATATTTTTAAGGGTTTCAAATTCAAGGAAAAAAAAATGATATGATCACGTTCATGTACAATTACAATATAAAGAATTTAAATTTAAACCATTTACAATTTCTCGAAATTCGTTTCAAAATGCTGGACACGATTCATGGACATTTATTTATTTAACCATATATAAATACAGATTTGATAAATTGCCAAGTTATTATTTCTTGGGGTTTCGGATGTTGGTCTTAAATGTCTATGGACATATAATGTAAGGAACTACGTACCTTTACCATATATTAAGCATAAAAATATTAATTCTGGAATCTCCATTTCATAGAGTATATCGTCGCAGTCTATATCAAGCGTCTGACGGGAAACCCGAGCTAGAAAGCCCGGCTTGAGTTTTAGTTTTGAACGAGTGCAAATTTAAGTTGCAATAAATAATTCTGTACGAGTTGTTCACTGAGACAAAGCGAGCACAATGGATAGTTAACGCGGCCGCATGGCGAGCGTCGAGTAAATGCGGGCGCTCCACTCCGTCTCGGCGGAGAATTGAGATACGTTAAGTTGCGTCCAAAAGCCCCTCAAGAACGGACATTTGGGCTGCCACGATAAGTTACAAATATTAATAATTTCTCACTTTGACATGAGGCGGCTTCTCAAGTGTTTATGGGAGGATTAGGTTGTGGACACACTCACCTGCTGGGCACGAAATCGTCAGGCTCGAAAGATGGATTTACCAAGGGCCCGCTCTGTCGCCGCACCCATTCCTCTGCCTCCTGCATTCAAATTGCGCGTTAACAAATGAACAAATACACAAGTAAAGTGATCACAAGCGTTTATCAGTTTTTATCAAGTCAATCGTACAATCGCCATAGTGCTACTCATTCTTTGCTTTCAAGGACAACTGGCTTTAAAGGAACACGTAAATGAACGCATTTAACTCTTGGAATAAAATTATGGCAGGAGCTGAGGAGTCTACCAGAGAGATGTAATCAACAAAGATTTAAGCAACATCCCAAAGCCTGAAGGAGCATCATATCTTGCTGTTCATTCAACCAGTGAAATAGGTACTTTACTGTCTAGGCTGTCTTTCAGCCATAGTATGTATTCACAAATGTAGGACGGGCCCTAAGAACAGGAGGCGTGAATGTTTTAAGAATCGATATTATTTGAAGACCGAATTCGCATATATGCGAAGATAATTGATGTTGTTTTCTTATTCCGGGAACTCGAAGCGAACGTGATAGATTGATTAGTTGATCATAAATCATTGTACGTGCACCGATGGCGAGCTCTAGGCGCCGCTCATTCCTTTGTTATTTTTGAACGTGATAATTTGTCGTATGCTCGTGTTTTTGTAGGCGGTGTGTCCACTCACGTGTTCGCGCGGACTTTTCGCACGATCAAAACCAGTTACGTCTAGTACATTCGAATGAACAAAGGAATTAGTAAAACCAACACGAGTTTATTTTACACAGCTTCGTACGAACTTATGGCCAAAACGTCTGTTGTACAGAGACCTCATAAAACTAATTATTTTGTATAAAGGAAACATAATAGATGATTATTTAAATGACAAAGAGTCTTGGTGTTCCGATGCAGTATGAGAGACATACATGTATAAAGCAAGACGAATTATATGACGTTGAAAAGCAAAAAATTGATTTAGATTTTAATAAGATATGTTTCGAAATCGGATCTATATTTTTTATAAAGATATTTAAATTTTCCATCTTTTCATTTTAATTTAACTTGTTTTGATATACATATTATAATATTATTATAATATCTAAATCAATATACATTTTCTATTTGGTTTTGAGGTATCTCGAGAAGGGTCGAAAACTAATAAAATTATTATGTGATCACTTGTGGGTTTTTAAAATCGGCTCATAAATGACGGAGTTCTGAGGCAACAATAATAGTCCTTTTTTGAATTCGGTTGATCAAGTGATCCTGCTACTTGCTGAAAATAAAACGAAGTAGATAGTTTATAGCATGGTACGCGATCACGGTGGTCGTATCCTAATGTGATAAATCAATGTATCCGCAATAGAAGGGGAGTGCGCAAATAGAATATGTGAAGAGGCCGCGGCAGGTTGACGGTCGCGCGCGTCCGAAGATAGCCGCGACGGGCCGGGGCGCGTCTAACGAGGCGCATCCTGCGATTTGCACCAATCTACGTGCGCCGCTGCCGCTGCCGCTGCCGATGCGAATGTGTCAATCATGGCCGCGTCTGCGCGATGTCTTGAACGCCTCTTGATGCGCCACATCCTGATTGGGCGCAATGAGCGCACAATGCCTCTGTGTCCACCACATGCCCGTTTCGCACTCTACCGGCTACTTAATCTTAAGCGCGAACGTCGAAGGTCCGATAAAAGAACCGTTAGAGGTATCACAATTGTCCACAGTTCAATTTCCCAACCGCTGCGAGTTGTCGGGCGTGCAAAGGATGTGACCTCGCCGGGACGAGAATCCCGCGGGAAGGGCGCGCAAGTCACGGCCGGACGCCGCCGGTTGTGCGCAGCCACAGGTCCACTCAACTCTGTCTCAGCGCGGACACGATAACTATATTCAGTCGTTCATATGAGGCGAATTTTTTTTTAATGTGAAAAGTTGTCAAACGAGCAGACGGTTCACCCGATGTTAAGTGAATACCGCCGCCCATGCACATCTGGCACACCCGAGGGTTACAGGTGAGTTGAAAACCTTTTGAAAATTGGGCTCCGGCTACCGCACTCATCAGACGAAACGCAAAAGTATTTGTCATACTTCCACTTTACGCCGGTCTTCTGTGAGGTCGTGGTACTTACCGGATGGACCTGCCCATTCGTGCAACAGTGCCGAGGCTGCGGCGTGGCCCTACCACCGTAGAATTGAGTGGGATATTTCCGCCGCGAAAAAGACTCGATGATGCCGGATGTAATACATCAATGACAATCACGATAAAACGATTGGATTAACTAAATGAAGCAAAGTAAAAGCAAATTTGGAAGCGCTTCTAATAAAATTATTGGTATTCCATAAATATAACGAAGGTTTCCCTCAAAATGTAGCGTATCACTTTACGCCAAACAGCATTGGGATAGTATTACTGTTACAAATACGTTTGTGAAACAACATTTGAAAAAACGCTGCGAAGTGACCATTGAGTATATATGCATAAATAAATGTTCCTACATAAGTCAGTGGTGGCGGTTTCTGCACGAGGGTGCATTGGTAGAGCAAATTTTCGGATGCCCATTATAAATCGAGTCACATGACTGACATCGATTCGCAAAATCGCGTCCGCGCCGACGGAATTAAACGCGATCTCGATGTTATCGACGTATCGATGCTTTTATGGGCTATTTAAAGCGGCCCCGCGGCGGCCGCGCTGAATTATAAGTAGCCCGTAAAACTGAAATCGGCCGACTCTGTTGCAGATATAACGTGTACTTAGTTAGCCCGGGGTCTTAAATTACTGGCGACCGAACGCATGCTTATTATAAGTCTATACGAATTATGGAAGCGCGACGAAAAGTAACGACAAGTGTGTAAAATAATCGCTTCGTTCACGTGTAATCTCTGTCAGAGTCATATTCTTTGGTTTATATTATGTATACTAATGTTTTTTTTTACTATATTTAGAGCCACGGTTCACTTAAGGTTTTTAAATTAGTGGCTGGCGCAGGGTGATTCAAAGAGGTAAATGATAAATATGTTCTGAAATACGACATGACGAATCGAGCAGGCTACATCACATAGCATCTACAGCACACAAAGTTTTCCGAAACATTATCATATTTTTGGACCTCACACATTTCCATCAACATAAAGACTATGGAAACACACGCACACTTAATTAACAACCATTTGATAACTGAACGTCAGGCCTATTTTCATTGAATCACCGATTCAAGCGAGTCAAACAGACTTCGACAGCTAAATATGAAATTTACAAAAAAATATAAAATCGAGGACCAAGGATTCTCGTGTGTCTATTTCTTAATCAAAATAAATATTATAAATAACGGACTTCTAAAACACCTGCTACCGCTTTTGTAGTATGATTGCGTTTTAATCAACCGATTATTTCACCGCAAGCATCATCTTACTTATACTTAGTGTTCATTCTAAAACTATAAATTTCAAGTTATTAACCGAATTCAAAAGGAGGTTATCGATTGGATCAGTACCTATATTTTTTTCGATGTATGAACACCGACTATAGTTTTGCCAAGTCGTTTTCATTTTATGTATATTTTTACTTTTTATTTTAATATTTTAATGTTTGACATCAAATCTTGCAAATTAAATTTGATTCACTTCCCCGTGACAATGCAATATTATGATGACATGGTGCTGATCTGATGATGGAGCTAGAAGGTGGCCAAAGAAACTTCGCAATAAAACGACGCAGCCTCATCGAGTTAGGTTACATTTGAATCGTATTGATGAGTAGTTTGGGTTTCATTGGTAACCAGGATCTGATGATGGAGCTAGAAGTTGGTCATAGGAAGGACTTAACTCCATCGAGTTTCGGATCGTTTGATTCGTCTACGCGAGTACATTATTTTTAGATGGTTACCAGGGTCTGATCTTATGATGAAACATTACAATTACTAAAAATGTACGATGGGAAAGTATAAACACCGCACCAACTTAACGTATCTAATATATATTGACGACCTAAATGGCGCAGCGGGTAGTGAACCTGCTTCTGCGCCGGAAAGTATGAGTTGGATCTCCATTACATGAAAAATATTGTGTTTTTCCAGTGCATGGGTGGCTTTTCTAAACGTGCCCAAATTCACACAGGAGGTTCAGATTAAGTAGTATAATCGTTTATTGAAATAAAAACAAACTTTTTTTTCTTGACTTTCCATTCCCTAAAAAACAGAACTAGTCAATACAGTAGTCATTCATAAAGGCGTCGTATACTTTTAAACGAACTTGTGTGCGTGTTAGTTATGAATAATCGCGCGTAAGATAAATGAGTTGCCCATAAATCACGCACTTATTGAGATAAGTTCAAATGAATATATTCAATTAATAACGACTTTTGTCATTTTATATAACATTATTTATGTCTAGAATTTAATAAAAAGATTATTATGTGTGTTTTATATAAAATACGATTATGACGAATATTTACGAAGTGACGGTGTCGTCTATTTCTATGTAAAATTGTCAAGCATTCAAACCGCGCATAGCAACAAAAATGTTCATTGGAGGCTTTTCACTGTTACTTGATGAAACGATGATAGATACTTGATGAAACAAAACGACTTTATTATACTTACATCTTGTCCATAGAATTGGGACATTATCAATAATCGGTTTTACCCATTTTTGACCTTATTCGTGCTACTCCGCATAGAACTTGGGACAGAGGAAAGTGTACAAGTTAGTGTCAGTTAGCTTTCGGATCGAGCTATGTTCGGAATTTTACTGCGAGCGCCATGAGGATGTAGAACAAAGGTAACCGACATACGACAGAATTAGTAGGCTGAAGTGGCAATGGATTGGCCGTAACCGAAGGGGAAGATCGGTTCTCGAGTGACGGCCTCGTATCACTCGATCAAGCTTCGTGGCAGTCTGTTGGGGAGGCCTATGTTCTAAATGCTGTGGGAAATTTGGCTGGCGGCTTTCGCGCACTTGCTTTGTAACCAGTTCAAAGCGGATCCTTTGCTAGCCTTTGCTACGGCAACGTAAAAGCCTAATTACATACTTAAATTACGTGTGCTGTAAAACTAAAAATAACGTATAATTCAACTGTTTTGAATGCGTACATCAGTGTTATTTTAAAAGAGAATATTTTTTGTTATGGGTTTATAGACATTATTTATGTTATAGATCACATCGAGCCGTGATAGCTCATTGTCCAGACGCTCGCTTTTAATTCAATATACTCGAGCAACCTGAGTTCGATCCTCGATGCCGGCACCAACAAAACTGCTGATTTACGTGCTCAGCGATAAGGAAAACAAAAAATAAATCTTTCGAATACATGTGAAGTCCCTCAATCCGCAATGGGGTCGCGTGGTGGAATATGCCCTAAAATATGTACAGAGGAGGCCTTGCCCTATATGTGTGTTGTATAGGCTGTTACTTTACTTTTACTTATACTTTATATGTTCAAAATATGTATGTCGACGAGTTCAATAGCATAAGGAGGGACCCGTAAAATAAAGTGTTTTAAGAAGGCATGAAAAAATTCTATAGTCTACATAATATGATCCGTGAACATTATCATTTTTGTCAAGAATAAATTTTGTATATTTGTAAATAGTAATGCAACAAACTAACATAGGCACCTACACAACACTTTATTGCCAGCTTTAGAACGAAACATTTTATTCAAATAAACATTTTTTTATCATGATATGACGCTTTAAATAGCCTCGGAAGTTAAAAAAACTTAATACATTATATACTTATAATTATTTGAATTTCTTTTTAGTTATGAAACCAGACATCACTTTTGCGAAGTTTTCCTCATTTGTTCTTCAATAAGAATCATTAAGGCATAATGACAGTAATAAATACCCCACGAAGATATACTATTGATCGAGCCCGCCTGTCGCTTGGATGGCGTCGGTGTGGTGCAGGTGGAGCGCAGGGCGCACATGGTGTTGCGGGGCGCCCTGCCAACTGCACATATTACCACAAACTATCTGACGTATTCTTATAAATAGTTTTCATACTAATCACGTGCTTCTAAAATATATTGTAACAGCGTTTTATTCAGCGGTTATTTTTCATATTACATTCTCAGGTTCTTAGACACATGAACGACCTATATTTAGGTCATTTAATCATAAATCAAAATACGTACTCTTTTTTAATCCTAACTTTTCGTCTCATTTTTTAATTAGGCATTCACAATTTTCAACACTACTATTATTTACTAAAATCTGACCGGTGCGTCGCAGGAAATAAGTTACTCGTATATCATGTTCAAATGCTACATCGATAAATGCTAAAAAGGTCGATAGATTAGTTTGATAGCTTTTGTTAGAGCAGATATAAACCAAGACATACTGCCATGGAAATAAGAAGTTTTTGTTGTTGCCAGCTTTTTCTGACTTCAAAACTTTTATTTATTGATTTCTTAGGAAGTGAACAATGTATTGTATCTGTCTCTTTAACGATCTTAGGAGTTAGAGTGGCAGTAGAAATAGGGCGCCATAAATATATTTCATCATATTCTATTTCTATAAATCCGTTTCCAGCGACTGCCAGAACACCACTACATTTATAATATCTACAAATGCGCCAAATTCGGGCGAACATGGCACCAACGGCAGACCTTGGCTTTTAGTCAAACTACATAACGAACTGACACATTTTGGTAAATGATCGAAAAGATTCATCGTTATAATGCTCTTGCACTCTAGAGTTATATTTGTTTATTGACGAAAGTATGTATGTGTGTGTGAGTCACTGGGATTACGAATAATTCCCCTATTCGGCTATTAATAGAGTCGTCTTCAAATTCGCGGTACACTCTCTGACACTAAAACAATTTTAGGAAAAAAAAAAGAAAAAGTTGTGACTCAGAAAATATGCATCGTTAGGAGATATAACAATTATTCCATTTAGATACATACAATTAATACATTGAATAATTAAGTTTATCTTAAAAAATTACTATCCGATTATAAACTCACGAGATTTTGTGGAAATAGAGAAATTTGACATGAATCGCGACAATTTTAAACAGCGACATGTATTTTCATTATTTCACGCGTAGTTGAGTAGAAGAGATACTAACATCAAAAATAAATCAGTTTGCATTATTATTATTCAAAATCAAAATGAATCTCTTTATTCAACAGGAGCATTACACTCGGTTATTAATAGTCAAAACACTACCACAGGTTCGGAAAAGAAAGCCACTGTACTGCGAAGAACCGGCGAAAGAAACTCAGCGGGCTTATTTTTCAATTTTTTTTTTAATATAAGCAGTTTGACATGAATTCATTAAACTCTGATTGAAAGAGCGATCAGTTCATTACCAGAGTGTGTTATCATTTAAATAATATTATAATAGCCTTTAACACACATACGTTCTTTTACCATTTTTTTAAATTTAGCTATTGATGCATTTTGAACGTTTTCTGGAATTTTGTTGTAGTAACGTATACGTTGTCCCATAAAAGATTTACTTATTTTGCGTAGACTACTTGTAGGTAGGATCAATTTATTTTTGTTCCTAGTATTTATATCATGAACATTATTATGTCTTGAAAATGTATCCTTATTTTTATGGACATACAAAACATTTTCAAAAATGTATTGGGAAGCAACAGTCAATACCTTTATCTCTACAGTCTGACGTCAAAGCCGTGCCTCTTGTACCGCTATTTTGAAAAAAACCTCTTTTCAGCTAACCTAGAAAATAACTTTTCCGGAACGATATTATTACAAAAAAATTAATTGAAAAAAATCACCTCATTTCTAAATTCAACGCCCTGGCCGCTAATTTAAATCTAAATTGTAAACAGCGAGTCACTTCGCCTTCTAGGTGTACCTGTCTTGGAAGACTCTCTTTTAAAATATTGTTAATGATCATATTTTAAGATTTGACGAGTCATTTTCTAAATTGCTGTTTATATGATAATTCTTGGATTCATGCCACCCTCCCCATCAGACTCGGTGGCATAGGCATTCGAAAGTTATCCAGCGTAGCGCTACCGGCGTTCTTGTCATCAGCCTATAATACGTTAAACCTCGTTAATAATATCATTAGGCCATCAATTGGTGAAGAGATTTCGTATTTGACTGAGGCCACAGAGCTTCACAGAGGCTTTGGGTCTAGCCACTCTGCATACAAGTACAGAAAAATTACTTGAAAACTGCGGAAGCTTTACAGAGCGGGCTCGTCTTCCAGCGAGTGTGGAGGGAGAGTCAGGCTACTGGTTGAATGCATTGCCTTCTGTACATATTATTATTATTTACATATTTTAATTATTATTATGGGGGGGATATTCATTTGTTTTCTCGTCTGGTTGGGTTTATAAATAGAAATAAACATATAGATTATATTATTATTATATAGGCACTCTATTAGACAAGACTTCATTTTCTTTTGCAGTTAGCCTGAGACTTGGAGTAAAAATCAATGAGACATATCGCTGCTGTTGTGGTAAAGCGGTTGACTATCTGGGTCATCATGGCCTAGCGTGCCAGCGCAGCGCTGGTCGTATTCCTCGACATGCCGCAAATAATTCCGTGATTCGACCGGGCTTTAACAAGTTAAGTAAGCTAATGTACCTGACATTTTAGAGCCAAACGGTATGTTTCGTGACGATGGCAAAAGGCCTGACGGAATGATGCTCATTCCCTGGAAAAACGGACGCACTTTGGTCTGGGATGCGATGCGACTTGTGTTGACACCTTAGTGCCGTCGCATGTTTCGGGAACTGCTCGCAAGGCAGCCACTGCTGCAGCGACGGCGGAGTGTATGTAGCGCCGCAAATATATAGCCTTCGCGAAGCATAAGTATTTGTGCCGTTCGGCGTGGAGAGTCGGCTTCGGGCTTGCGTCTGGTTACCATTTCTGATGACCCAAGAGCTGGCTCGTACTTTGGCAAGGGAATCAGCCTCGCATCGATCTGGCCAGCAATTTTTATCTAGTTTAGTTTTGTTTTTTTTGTTTAAATAAGTAGCTTAGTTTTTAAGTAAACATACTTTATGTGTATTATAGTTATATTGTATTAATTTCATCACCCGTTTTAATTAGGTTATATTTTCATAATTTTGTAGCATATGTACGATATTTATAAATGTTTGTAATAATAAATTATTTCTCAATAGGCAAAAAATAATATTATTACAACTGATTTGTTTCTATCAGCCAGTCGGTATATAAAACACATACAGTCTATATACATTAGTAGTGTGTAGTAATATACTAACTATAGGCAAATTTAGGCGGCGTACTCGATCGGTCGTCAAGTAGACCCAACCCAGGGGGCTGTAACTTTGTCAATGAAATAGGAAATGGAAAAAACGATTCGTATTAGCCATTGCGAGCCATCTCCTGATCATTTTAATTTCCAAAACCTAGGTCATTTACATAAAACCGTTATTTAAGTTTATGATAAGTGCTAGTCGTGCAATCAGAAAACTTTAAACGCGCCAATTAGGTACGCAAGTTCTAGAACTTTTAGTCCGTTTATCTCCAATGTACACACTTTAATATTACAATATTGAGAGTTATGGTGTTAAATGATAATTTTTGGTTTCGCAACGGAAATGGATTTATTTAATTGATGGACGCTGATCGATGATGCTTGTGTTTAAGCATTCTAAAAATTTATTTCGATTTAATGTGCAAGAGTAATTCTATTATACAAATGAATAAGATCTGATGATTGTTTGTCTGCTAGTTTTTAAGTCACAAATATTATAAAATATAAGAAGGAAGCCAGACGGAAAATAAAGTCGGCGGATGGACACCTTTTAGAGGAATGTATTAAGATCATAATTAATATCATTTTAGTTTATAATTGTGACAGATCATGATCCTAAGATCAGATCCTACGATTTAAACCTACATTTCCATATGCGGTCTGAAATTCATTGCGCACTGATATGGAGTGCATACAGTTACAAAATGCGTCATTTAAGTAAAGCTGTGGGAGGTGGCGTACTGTTGTGCGCGATTTTCGCTTTGTGTGTGAACGGTGCGGTGTGTCTGTACACGTGTGCGCGTGCGTGTCCGTGTGAGCGGCGAGGGCCACGGCTCCGGCAGACCGGTCGGCGGTACCGGTCCCAGTGGAAAATTACGCGCTTTCGTACACCGGCCGCCGCTGCGGTCGCGGCCGCGGAGGCTCTGTTCTGACGCGATGGCGCCGTATCGCGCACTCGGAGAGCCCACTTCCAATTTTGTTTGCTTTTCCCCTTTTCTTTCACTCCTTGATACAAAAGCCTCGACACATCTGTTATAAACATTCACTGTCTTAGTCACTCGGGACCAAGACATGTACGTTGCAGTAAGCGTTTCAATTCATAATCGGATCATACCCAACATGTTACAATTGCCTTAAATCTAAATGCACACTTTCTTGCTACTTTTTGTTATGCTATTTTTCAATACAGATGTAAATATTTTTCATTCTATCCACTTTATAAAGAATGAGAGCTTTTAAGAGGGGTTAAATTTTTTTGAGTGTTCTGACATTATACGACTATATAATACGAAAATATGTTCAGAAAAATATTTAACCTCAAGCCGCTATCGTAGTTTCTAAGATAACTTTGTTATTTGATATAACGCTGTAATTGTATTTACGAATACCATTCCAAGTTAAAGTTCAATGTGGTACTAGTAAATTAATATTAATTTACTAACGCCGAATATTCGAACCCCTAGATTCGGCCGAGTTGACCGTACCTTCAATATTTTCTTGGTAACTTTCTAGCTTGATGGCACCAGATGTTGGTAAAATCAAAAAAGATAATAAGATTGAAATTGCACATATCTCGTTTTTTAAATTATTGAAAAACAAGTACCATGAGAACAGAGGTGTAGGTTCGTACAGGAGGTGTATGTCCCAAAGTTGCGTTGATGAGCACAGCCTGAGTCTGAGGCATGGTGAAGGCACCTGAGTGCGGGGTGGCGGGCTGGCGGGGTGGGGGCGACTGGTTCCACGCACGCGGCACCCAATTACTCAAGTCAACTTTAGGTGCGCCTTCGGTTGCGTTCGCTCTGAATAGCGAAAAAGGCGATGCCGTCGCCTCGCCAAAATCTTTTTGCAGTCAGGCTTGCATAAAATTGCAAAGTTCAACCTTGCGCAAAACATTACGAAACGGTTAAGTTATTCAAAATAACTTCTGTCTTTTTACCAAGATAGCTTATTAAAGCACACAAACAAGCTGCCGGCATCGAAAGGACTAACGATGTCCAGTGTCCTGATCTTTTAAAAGGAGTTAAATAGAAATAATTGCAATTGACGGTGACCGACTACAAAGTCAAGTTTGTCACCACCACTATAATGAATGGCCATGCCGAAGCATATTTCTTTTTCTAATAAATTCCATCAATTTCTGCAAACAAAAAAACAAAACCTACTACATTTGAACATTTCAGCAACCCAACAAACGGAGTTAGAAAAAAAGCTTACTACAGTTTGAACTGTTTTATTCCCCAAATTCATTTACCTACTTAGTATTTTTAAAAAAACGGCAAATGTTCAAAGGTAAAGTACATAGAGAACAGGATTATTGGTAATGACTTCTATACATGGCAGGTTTACCAAACTGATATAAATTAACTATAATTTTTATTAATACATTACATACGATTTGACAAATATACAACGTGTCTTTACCACCGCGACAATAAATGAACACACGTCTAACGTTACTTGCCAATAATCAAAAAAAAAATATTAACGTTAAAAATCCATAATTATAAAAAAATATTTTTCAAACAAACTAATTAAGTAAAAAAGAAACAAAATTTGTAACATCCTATACAACTACATCTGACTGATTCATACATTCAGAGACTTTTTCAAGCCTTTACAAGCTTTACAAGCCTCTCCTTCTAACAGTATGTTTTGTCTCTTTTAGATTCAGTCATATGCTTTGTGACCTTTACAAATGAACTTTACATCAAAGTTTTATACGTAAGGCTGTTCTAAAATAAACTTTGATAACTCGTTAAATATTGATGTTTAAAGAATGTAAATCTTTAATAAAATTTTAAAAAGTTATCCTCTATATGTGTGTTCATTTATTGTCGCGATGGTAAAGGCACGCTGTAGGTGCGATTCACCTTTAGCATTATAGTGACATATTTAAAAATATCAACTTTTTGGGAAACGTAAAATAAGGATTTGTGGAACAAAAAAACAACAAACGAACAAAACCCGCTAATTGGGGGGAAGTGAAGGTGACAGAAGTATACGTTATGTAGCTTTCTAAAATCGGCCCATGTTTTAATAGGATTCGAAAAAGGTGGTCGTTTCAGGTCGTTTCCTGATATAAAGCCAAAGTCATGATTTTCATAATTAGGTCCCTTTAATTCTAAAGGTGCGAAATATTCTTTATTGTTTACGAAAAAAAAATTGTTGAATAATTCATGCACAAAAATACAATTAAAATGGTTCACAATCAAAATTACCATTACATATTATAATTACAATAGAAATTATAATAAAGTATAAAATGTCAAAAAATTAAATAAAAATAGTAGTAGTAATGGTTTAAAAAATGAAATGGTTACAATTTTAATAAGTCAGGAAAAAAATTTAACACATTGAAGGTTATTAAATTGCATTATTGTCTAGAAACTCGTTGACACTACCTATAATAACATCTTTCAAACAAAAATTCTCGTAAAAGAGTATCAAATTCCTTCAAGGATGATTCAACTTTGCTTTTTCTGATTAGGAGCATCGTTTGGGGCTCACTAAAATTTAATCCGAGCACGCTAATTAATGTTATAAAAATAAATAAAAATAAATTGATAAATGACAATTTAAAGTTGTTGTATGAAAAATACATACATACATGAAAGAAAAACTCATAAAAGCCAATGGTAGCCATTCCTTTTATGACGGTCGGACGGAAAAACGCTCCAAACTTTTTGTGCGTGATCTTCAACGACCTTAAAACATCTTTTGAATAAGTTATTATAATATAACTGATGAGGAACTTGCAAAACGCATACAGCCCAATAATAAGTATTCGTGTTGAAAGTATGAAAAGAGTAGTTGCGCGGTAGCGTAAGCCGATAAGGGCAGAAGAGGAGCGGGGCTAATGCGCACATCCTGTTGATCAGTGAAATTGCAATATAAAGCGATACGGGTTGCGACGTCGCCACGGCTAATATGATGAATTACTACACAATCGCCTAACAAGGCAGACGCAGCTCGGTCGCTGAGAATTGCGTGCCGAATGGCGAGTGTGTTAAGTGGAGCCACTGCCGCGGACAGCACTTTTGCATGACCTCTAAATGCGTCCTATTCAAGTTACACGCATCAATTTAAGTGCTTTCCATCGAAACAAGCAAATTTGCTTGTTTTTGATCGCCAAAAGCGTGCTAATGAACAAATGTTAAGTACATACACAAATACCCGTACTTTCGTGAGAAGCCGAAACAAAACACGCTTGAACGTTCTGTGACAAGTGACCGGTTATGTATGACGTTAAATGTAAATTATAGACGAGTCACACTCAAAATGTATGATTTATGAAATGGTAAAAATATTAGAAACCACAGTTTAATCCATCAATAGGTGAATTGTAATAAACCAGGAAACAATGTGGAACGAAATCAAATGGAAGAATTTCCGATCACGAAAAGCTCTGTGCACTTATTAGCTACCATGTGTAAGAAATAATGCATCAACACTAAACTAGACCCATAAATTGATATTGAGCTACTTGAAAGGAAATTGATGTTGTTCCATTATCAAAGTTGAACGAGGCCAAATCCCGCGAGATTACTGAACATGGGCAGAGTAATGGCCACTAAGGAATGAGGGAAATACTGAGTGACGACTCGACGGTTGAAACGCAGCCAACTTGTCGCGCAACCGTAGAAATCCCGCGGCGAGAGAGCCCATTAGCGGTTGCTTTTAGGAAGTGGAATGGATTACACCAGCCGGAGCTGCCGGAGACAAGGCCGCGCGGTAATTGCAAGGAGACTCGCCTGCGCCTACGCCGCGCCGGCTTCGCCGCTAGAGGGCGTGATTGGTACGCTCGGCTCGGCTGGTATGCTCGCGCCGTATCTGCATGGGTATATACAATCAAACATGTCTTTCTCGAACGGTAAGGACATGGTCGAGGCTAATTAATTCATTCAAGTCACTTTTATTCCAATAATGGGCCCCAAACGATATATATCGAATCTAGATTTAGTCATTAATATAAAATACCAAGTCTAAAAAGAAGGTACGTGGTATGTAATGCACACCTCGGACCTCGACTTGGGCTGTTACTCAGTACCCGTTTAGCATTCCGATTCGAGGGTGTCCGAGAGGGCTATAGTCTGACTGGAAGAATTTCTAAAGCTATCATCCACTTCGAAAAGCGTTGGCGCTGGGAAAAGAAGTGGCGGAAGAAACTCAAGTAACGTTTCTATTATTAACGGGGGAAAACCTGCCAGGTACGTGGCGGAACCTAGTATATGTTTGCCGCACTCGCCGGCGAGTACGGTGTGTTTTCTTAATTGTTTTATCCTTTCAATGGCGATATTCGTCTCATCGTCAGGGAAATCGAAGACATGTCGCAGTCTAAGCCATTTGCGGCGTATCTAGCGGTAGGGGTCTGCTGGTGACGGCACCTACCACTATCGGATTGGTCGCTAAGCATCATCACCCTCCCTTTTATATGTAACGAGCGAAATGAGCACTAGCACATTTAGTGCACTTAACAAAATGAGACCCCGGTGAATAAAACTTTACGATCCAAAGATTTTAAATAAAAAAGCCTTTAAACAACTTTTGTATGCAAGCATTTTTATGGAAAGTGGTAGAAAACAACTATGTTTGTTTTTGAACAAGAACAGACTTCAAAATACGTATTTGTGTTTCCGCCTTTATTTATATACTTATACATTCGCACTAAGTAAGTAACAGTATGTATGTACTCTTAAAGATTTCATATCGTGACGATAGCCCGAACATGTTATTTGTACATAATGCAATTCCTTTGAAATGATATATAAATATATAATTAATGTCTGCAGTTTATGAAAATTATAGTTCAATGTTGTTGTTGTCGTCTTCCCTTGTAATTATTACGTTAAGTTATGATGACATTGCGAATGTGAACAGTCCAAACGACATTGTTAATTTGTAAAAATTATATATGGCAAACGTTTCAACAAATACTTTCGCACGTAAAAGTACGGAGGAGGCGTCGCCTCAGTCATTGTACCTCACACGTTGCCGCAGGTGATGAGGCCGCAGGTTGATTCAGTGACCACGCTTAAGTGTACCTACTTAACACTTAAGTTGGTACCTAAATAACGTTTCAGTATGTATATAAATGTTTTCGAAGAAATATTTCCGTGGAACGTGATTCTTATGTAGCTGTGTGTAATGCGACGGAATTGGGTGAACTTTCGTTGCTACTACAATTTCCTACTAAGCGCTCATGCAATAGAAGCAACGGTGATCTTCCGGATTGAAGTTGGGAGGTAGGTAGCGGATGCGCGGAACGTGTGCCGTGCTGTGTATGTACGAGTACACGACATGTGATGTACTCGTATGTGCCGAGTCATTTGGCGCTTTGGCGCGCTCGAGCGCCACGCGGAAACGAATGCGGTCGCCCTTCAGAACAAGCGACCGCGCCGCGACCGCCATGCGCGACTGTCTCTCTTTCCTCAGCCAATGTTTTGAATGCAAACACATATTGACTCATCTCATCTCCTGTGTGCCATCAAAATATTTATCATCACAACCAATTATCAGCTTTTGAAAATACAATATTTTTAACTTGCTTAAGCAATTCCAGTTTTAAAAACGGAAAACGCCGAGAAAATTGTATGTACTACCTAAACGTACATCCGGAATCACGAGTGTTTTTTTTGCATTTCATGTATTTCCAAGAAGGCGGGGAATAATATAAATGCACCTATATAAGATCAGACTAATGAGGATTTTTCCGATTCTAACTTATAGTCAGTTAAATATTCGATGGCAATAAAATCGCGGTCAAGGCTAAATCCTCAAGCCCTGCCTTTCTTGCTTATGTTCTAAATCTGATTTCATTTTAATTGGAAACGAAACGTATTTTAATGTTTATTTATGAAATCCCAAAAAAGCAGCCTTACTTAGGGGAATTAAGTATAGAAAGTAAATAAACAATATTAAAAATAAACATTGATTGCTGAATACAATTCGTTAGTTTATAATTCCCGTCGCAGTCGCAACAATAAATCCATAAACATAATAGAAAACTGTAATAACATTCTCGCAGAAAAAATGATGTAGATACACACATTGATGTGGCGTCGTCAAGTTTTTATGTACATACATATCTATGTGCACAGTATTATATAACGGCAATAAAGGCAAAATAATTTTGTACCTCTGCGGAGGAACACTTAGCAACAGAAATGAAAACTTGTGGTATAGGTTTAAGGTCGGCAACTGAACTGTCCCAATACGACTTGGCAAATGTATAATATATGTAGCACCTTTAGCTAAGAACGTGATTCCAAGTTTAAAAACTTCATTGCGGACTGTATATTTTCCTTATTCTTTGCAATATGACCTTCATTTGAGAGCAATTTCAAATTAAATTAATGTAATTGTATTGTAATATAGATAAATTAATAGAGATACTGTTGGATAATTAACACCAGGACCACTATGAAAATGTAACGAAATGTGTTAAAAAAACAAATAAAAGTTTAGAGTTCCTTGAAAAATATTTATTTCAGTGGTGGTATACTCGTAGTCCAAGATCGGCCGCTGAGCAAATCGCAGAGCTGTGACATTCGCAAAGCTGAATACTTTTAATGAATACCAAAATCAAGTTCGGGACAAGTTTAGTTCCATTTACGATTCACAAAAATCACAAAGACACGGTCATGTTGTAGGCTGCTACGAGATTTTTTGATTTCAACACCAATGTCAAAGAGCATGTTAAAAAGAAATAGCACAGCAGTTTTGATTGCGCAAATATCGCATGTAATTGTTCAGGCCGATTTAAATTATTTTTTTTATTTTGCTTATAGTTTTCTTATACGTAGCAGTTGCTATTACAATTTTTAAGGTTTGTGACATAATTAGGTATATTAACAAACAGTATACTTCTTGAATTAATAATTACATAAATTTAGGAAATAAGAGGTTTTATGTGGAATAGTGACGTTATCCCACGGAAAATGGCAATAACTGATGGGTCACAAGTTCATATATACACGTTTATATAACGTTGTTCAACGGAACATTCCAAAAAATAATAGGTCACATGTTCATAAATAACGTTGTTCTACTAAAAACTCAGAACTTTTTTTAACGAAAAAACCATAAAAAGTGGGTGACTGTACAACAATTATCAATTGACTCTAAAATAGTATTTTACACTCGTCTATTACATTAGTAAGCTTAGTCTAGTCATTACAAAAAAAATGTCTAAACGTATATATGTCCCTGTAATGCGGAGCACCATTCAGATAGAACGTTGTTCTATTCTGAATCTCAATATCTATAAGTAAGACGAAAAAAAAATTAATGTCATCTGAAAGCGTAGACGATTAAGACTTTCCGACGATAAAATCAAATTCGTTCTATGTGACCACAGAACGTTATTCTAGGCACGGTGCGATATATGTATTTTGAACTAGAACAAAATGTATTTCGGAAATAAAGATTGTATAGGGTAGCAGACTAACGAAGACAGGTGATTTTTTTTTCTTACACCTGTTACACAAGTTGATATAGGGAGGCTTTTTAAGTGTATCCATTTTTCTAAAATAAATTCTAGACATAAATAATGTAATATAAAAATGATAAATATTTAAAATCACTCGTAATTAATTACCTATATCTTTCCGCCCTAAGATTAAAAAGTCAAAAAACTTACTTCGAATAAATGATTTTGATTTGATTTGATTTGATAAGTTATTTAGTTATATTTCAAAACAAATTAAAACGAGATAAACCAATCGGTGGCGTGTAAAGTTACCACGATATATTTTTCTCCGTTTAAATGAAATTACTGTTAATGCATGTCAATAAACGAGAAGTTAAAAGCAGTCATGTTCACGTGGACTCTAGACGGCAGCGCAGCCCGAGGAGTTCGGCTGTGTAGTACAGATTCCGCTCTCAAATCTCACCCGAATTACTGCGTTGCAGATAGTTTGTATAAGGCTGCGATTATCCTCAACGTGCAATTGCAGATTCGAGATACGGCAAATGGCGTCGGTTGGTCGATCGGTACGTGCGAGCCGTGCAAAGTGCACCAAGGGAAAGATAATGACGCCCATTTAGATTTGTCTTTGCGTGCAAATAGTAGAACAAGAGTCGCTATTTAGAGCGCGCGGCTCCGCCACGGCCGCACTAGCGCTGCCTCACCCACTTGTTTGTCGAAGGCTTCGGCTCTTCGATAATCGAATTCTTCGCTATATCTCGAGAGGCACTCAAAGTCGTGTGGAATTTGCTGGATTGATCAGACGTTGTTGCGGTTGACCTCAGTTTTTATAATTTTGAGTGGTGGAGGCACCAGTGTCCCTCGCGCCAGCGGCCGGTTAGCGGCTATGAACTCATGGCTATGCTGACGCAATTCTCCGGAATAATTTAGCATTATCGAATCGCACATTCGGAATCAGATCGCTATCTTTAAACATTCAAATAGATGCGATCAATACAGTACAGATTGTTACCTAATAGAGTAGAGCTACCTTGGTCATACCTTGGTTGCTTGGGAGGCCTACTTACTAATAATACGGTGGGTATTATGTCAGTAGCTTTCAAGCGCCTATACGTTAGCTATTTTGATTTTCTACTTATTTAATGAATATTAACACCAATGCAGCGTACTGACGTTACAATTATACACTACTCGTACTTATAATTTTACTAGTTACTGCCCGCGACTTCGTCTGCGTAGAATAGGCTGAAGGCGTAATATTCAGACAGAAAGACAGATATATATAAAAATATGTATATAGTTTATAGCCTATGTCTTATTCTGGTGTATAAGCTGTATGATTGAAAAGTTTCATTAAAATCCATTCATGCGTGAAATAGTAACAAACATCCATCCATTCTATAACTTTCGCCTTTATAATATTTATTAAGTAAGGATATAATATAATATAATTATAGTAAGGATTATTACCCGCCCCGGTTTCACGGGTGGAATGTATTATATTTATACATATCATATTTATATATATATTTATCGCATCAAGATCCGTTGCGTAGTGTTTTAGATCTAAGCATACGTAGGGACAGAAAGAGAACGGGACGACTTTGATTTATTTTAATAGTATGAAACAAATCTCTCTTTATTAATAATAATCATTACATAGGTAACGACTATTATTAATAAAGAGAGATTTGAATATATTGAAAGACTATCTTACTACCGTTAAATTATTCGCGCCCCTTTTCTTAGATAAAATGAAGCAAGCAATGTCACGACCGAATATTTTTCATCGTTTTCTAAGGTTATTGTATTTCTTCGGCTTAGTAGGGTTAAACGGGAAAAAACGACAAGTTATTGTTCTTTATGTCTGGGCAACCGTTTCTTTTGAGACTCTTTTCCTATTATCGTACCGCCTCACGTGCCAACTAATTGACACAATGCCTTGCACTTTCGATTAAACGCTGTAATGGAAGAGATGAGCGAAGACTAAGATTCGTATTTAGAATTTTCCTCACGAGTTGTGTGCCCATCGCAATCTCGGCAATCTAGCCAACTGCAACAGCCGTGTGTCACTGATGCGTTTGTAACCCATTGTCACATATAAAGGAACAGTCTATAATATTGGTATTACGCTACTGTCTACGACACGAACCCAGTGTCACACGCTCCACATAACCTTAAACTATTTTTTTTATTATTTCAAACGTATGAAGGATACGGCATGGTGTTTTAATTTACCGCAGACCAATGTGATAAGTCAGTAAGAACATAAAATTGAAATTCATAATTTCATTGGCGGCACCATTTGAAACTTAGGCGGCAAGAGTATACAATTTTATTTTTATTTATGATTGTCTGTATGTACTTATCTATGATTGTCTACTAAATATAATTCTTATATTTTATTACAATAAGTTTGTCTTGACCATAACAACAGTCATAATTAGGTCTTTACAACCTTTGTTCTAATGGTGTGTTATACTTTTTTACGATAACATTATATTTAAATAACTCTATAGCTTTAAAATATGTAGAAAAAGTGCGAAAAGATTGTCGCCGCTGTGGGAATCGAACCCACGTCTTCGGCATTCGCGGCCTGACGCTCTAGCCACTGAGCTAAACGGCTGATTACCACACCGACGAAAATCTTAACGCATTCTTGTATGCTGGAAAGGATATAACAATAGATGGCGCCAAACATTGCTTCAAATGCTAAGAAAACAATGTGGAAGAATGCGTTAAGATTTTCGTCGGTGTGGTAATCAGCCGTTTAGCTCAGTGGCTAGAGCGTCAGGCCGCGAATGCCGAAGACGTGGGTTCGATTCCCACAGCGGCGACAATCTTTTCGCACTTTTTCTACATATTTTAATGTTCAATCTTAAGTGCAAAGATTAGCACTATAAACAATTTAAACTCTATAGCTTTATGAATTGAGAAATCAGTTTCTATTTACTGCTTTATATTTATTATATATAATGCACAATTTTAATTTAAAACAACTGTTTGAAGCTACGTACAAGTACTACACGAG